TGTGATTAACATGGTGTTTTTCTAGTGTCTGGGAGTTCATACATGTATAATGTGTATTTATTTACAAAAGAAAAGTATGTTTAAGTATGTCTATCAGTTTTCTAGTACCGATCTAGTAGAACGATGAAAAAAAAAAAAAGTGTCCTAAAAAATTTAAATAGCAAATCAGCACCTTAAGGCTGCAGCAACTAAAGTAAGTCACCATCATTTATGCAAAATTTGGTAGTTTATAGTGACAATAACATAAAATGATATATAAATGATTGTCAATAAATTACATCTTGCACATTCTCTATACTTTGAAGTATTTGAAAAAAATATTAACCATAAGCTATTATATGTAATTTTTATTTTGATATTAAATGCATTATGAAGCAAAAATATAAAACAAAGAATGTATAATTATACAATATGATATGTGACTTTTACAAATTATATAAGCTTTGTAAAGTTTTATGAAACTCTGAGCCAGTTAACACTCTAGTTTCGATAGAGCTTGTTAGAACCTAATTAGATACTAGTTAAACCAAGTAGAGCTGTGCAGGTGTGAATACATGCACTGAGTAATCAAGGGAGTAGTCATGTATAGGGTAGCAAAGCAAGCTATGCAGCCTTAAATTCAGTGGCCACTGTCTTTTTTTTATGTGAAAAGTTGCCAAACTAACAGACGGTTCACCTAATGTTAAGTGAATACCGCCGCCCACGGATATCTGTTACACCTGACGGTTACAGATGCATTGACAACCTTTTGAAAATTGGGCTCCGGCTACTTCACTCAAGAGACGAAATACGAAAGTATTAAACTTCCTCTCTACGCCGGTCTTCTGTGAGGTTGTGGTACTTACCCAGACGAGCCTGCCAATTCATGCAACAGCCGAGGCTGCTGTGTAGCCCTACCACCATTAAACCTTACAGTTGTCTATGGTATCTATTGTATATTAGTAGCTAGAACCAACCCAAACATATGACATAAATAATGATTTAATAAATTGTAGGTTTAATTATTATTTATACCAATTCAGATCAAACATCACGCTTTGTTCAAGACAAAGCTTAAAACATATTTCTATAAATTATTTCATCAAATAGAAATGATGTTTATTACATCACAAAAGGCATACTTATGACGGGCATAGCAATACAATTTTAGTAAATCAAATATAGAATAACAAAGATAAATATGGATCTATTTAACATTAAACACCAGCATGTTGAGAACATGGTTACAAACATGATATGGATAATCCAAAGAGATTAACTGGATGGATGGATGACCAAATTTATATATGTATAATAAAATGTAACTATTATTGAGCAATGAAAAACAATAATTTTTAAATTAATCAGATAAACCTAAAACTATTTGAGTGAAATAACTGTCACAATTCAAAGGCTACTCACTAGTACAAAGGTTATATACAGACAATTAATGATAAAATATTTTGTTTATTAAAAGTGTATCGGACTTTTGTTTCTTGGCTGTGATAAGATTATTTGCAGTTTTGTTTTTAAACAAGTAAATGATAAATTAGCTATTCATTTTGCGCATTAAAATGTATGTGAGTATCAGAATAACATAAACATATAAGGTGAAAATACATTTATCACCCATTAATTTCGTCCCCTAAAGCCTTTAAACAGCTACAACTTATAAACATCAAATCGTACACACACAATAAATATTCTCTTTTATTCATTTACAAACTATAGATTGAATAATTTTAAATAGCAATTCGAACGTACATGAAAAACAATGTAATCTTATGGCGTATTTTTGAATGAATATTGGTTTAATAACTCAATTCAAGGTTGATAAGAAAAAGATGTATCCACTGCTGCTGTCACTGCATGATCTACTTCAATGCGTAATTTGTTCTTACCTGTATAGAATAGCTGGGAATCTGTATTTAACGTTGAAATCCAAGGATTTATAACAAAAATAACAAAGAGTAATCACCAATAAAACTTGCACAAAATTTTGGTATCATTAAAAACCTCAACACTATCAGAAAGAACAACAAGAGAAAACATACCACATAACAACTTAAATGAAATAGAACATGAGAAACATATGAGAATGAAAGAGAAAGCACGCTTTATATAAATTCCATAGACAAAATCAGCTGTTGACATCCGGATACACTAAGATAAAATAATTGTTATATATACCGGATATACTAAAATAAATGAATTTGGATAAAAAAAAAAACATTTTAGGACAAGCACTAAAAAACCTAAAGAATTAAGGCTTAAAGAATTAAGGGTACCCAAAGGGTTTTTTAAGTTTTTGACATTCTGAAAATAATGCACTCAAATTAGTTATGTCATTTGTTTTCGGACATACAGATTCCTAACTTAATCTCATATTATTATAATATATAAATGTTGGATAAGAAATATAAAGTTATGAAAATATTTGGTAAGGGCTTTTATTTCCCTTTTTTAAATCGCTTTATGTTCTTAGCATATTAATGCTATTCAATAAATATTAATATAATTTACTGCAAGGCAAAATTTAAGCTACATATTTCAAAAGACTACATTTTTTTATAATGATTACAAATTCTCTTTTATATTGTATCTTATCAGACTATTTTAATACTCTAATTAACAATTTAGAGTTTTTGTCACAAGGTGGCTCTGTCCACAATATAAGATGTCTAAATACACCGATACATACCTCCCCCCCACCATAAGCCTGATGACAGAAGTTTTCAGGGTTGGATTTTGTACACTGTACAGTGTAGCTGAGTGTACTAAAATTATAGTATTTTTACTAAAATTTCATGCTCCATACTATATATTATCCACATCTAAGAGTAGTACGAAAAATAGTATTTTTTTTATTTCATCGATTAACATAGGTAAATAACCAATATAAATACTTACCATTCAATGCCAATCCAACAGTAAAAAAGTTATTTGGGTTATAATCACGTTATAATATTTTCAATCAATACTACATCAATATTACCATCATTATTATAAATAATTGTCATCAATGAACTATTTACGTATTGACTTCACATGAATTACGTTTTTTCTTTCGATACTCTTGTTGAACAATAACTATGCATAATGCACGCTTTGACGTAGATGTTACAAAGTATAATAGTAAGTAATTAAACAACTAATTTAGCATGTCTAAGTAGACGAAATTTTTATTCGACTTCAAAAATGAGGAGGTTTCTCTGTTCGACCGTATATTTTTTTTATGTCACATGACTTTATTCAATTTTATAGATGACGGGGTTAAAAGTACCGTTACAGGTCTGATGATGGGGACCATAAACAGTTGTGGGAATTTTTCAACGATTTACAGCAGTTACTTTTTGTTGGGTTAACTTCATACGGGTCAATATGCCAAAATGTTCAGCCCGTACACAAATAATACCTAAATAAGATTAAGGTTTTACAATAATTTATGAAAACATTTAATTTATATTGCGTAATAGCGTCATCTCCAACAACTCTCTTTCATCATGTGGCATAGTCAATTCATTTTTTCATTAGTTTTGATTTCCTCTTTTTCTAAGCGTTTCCGTCTATTATTTTGTGTCGCAAGTAGCCGTCGTTTCCTCATCTTTAAAGCATCCCATCACTTAAAACCGACCAAGTGCGATCTATAAAAACGGCAAGTAAAAATAAATATTTTTTGTTCTATTCTTTAGTATTTGTTTTTTTTTATGTATGCTTATATAGCGGCACCAGAATTATCTATGAAAATTTCAACTGTCCAACTATTAGGTTTCTTATGATAAAGTGGACAACTTAGTGGCAGACGGACAGACAAACAGACAGACATGACACTAATAATAGGGTCCAGTTTTAACCTTTGAGTACGGAATTCTAAAAATCCTAAAATAAAATAATTTATAACAAAAAAAACCGACTTCAAACAGAAATCTAAACAGAAAAAACAATTTTATTTAGCACTTAGTAATTCGTATTTTGATTTTTAAATTAAATTTTGAGTATATCATTATAATTTTTTTTTTGTTTTATTTGAACATCTAGAGTATATTTGTTATTGTAGTTACTACTATGTCCAAGTCGTATTCAGTATTCTTACATAATTTGTTTTCATAGACTATTAGTTTGTAAGCCAGGACATTATATGTAAAAAGTTACTTCGGTAGTAAGTAGGAACCTATTTCTATATTTTTTCTAGTACTGTTATTAATCTGTTATTGGTTTGACATAGCTAATAATATTGTGTGTATATAATAATTTTTTATAGTTGTTGTAGTATTTACTTGGCACCAAAGTCAAAATAAAAAAAACTTATTTAGTCATTTATGAGTAATTAAATCAAAATACGAATTACATTGTGATAAGTAAATTTATTTTTACCGTTTAATTTCCTATTTGAAGTCTTTTTTTTTTAATTATTTTATGTGGTCATGTCACGCTACCAAAGACCATAACAAAAGTGCGATTTGTACTCAGTTTATTCCTCCTGAGGATATGATAATAATATTAAATATTAATGGTGAAACTAATTTAGAAGAACTGATAAACTGGGAAGATCATTTAATTGATGATTAACGTTAAAATCAAAATAATAAAGTGTAATTTAATTTTTGTTTAAAATACTATCCTTATTATATTTTGTACTATCTTTTTATCGTACCTAAATTCAGCCCTGTTCTACAGTCTACAGATCACGAAACTCAAATTACTCAAAGCAAAGACTATAGAGTAGAGAGTAATCAGGAAATCGTATTCTATTCGTAATTCGTATCTTAATTCTGTTGTGGCCTTCCTTAAATTTACCTACACATTTTATTTATGTACAAAATAGATTGGATTTGATCCAACTCATGTTTAAAAAAGTAAAGTTTCGTGATTTGTAATTAGGTCAATTTTAAAAAGTTAGAGTAATATTTGTTCTGGGTTACTGTCATGTCTTTATTCTGAGTAACCTTTCGTCATTGCAAATTGACTTATACAATTATTAGTGTTTAATTGCCGAAAAAATAACCGGGGATAATAAAAATATGGCGAAAGAAGAAGATGATGATAATTTGCCAGATAAAGATGCGGCTAAAGAATTTTATGCGAAGTACGAACCTAAAGAAATTATAGGCAGGTATGAATTATATCAAAGTACTTACTAATCAACTTAAAATTTAGCCTCTATCTAGCGTATCGGTTTATTTTACCGTTTTCCTAAATCATTTAACTTTCAAGAGTATACTTGTGTAATAGATGTGTTTTTGTAAAAGTTCACTTTGACCTCCAAGTATATGATTTTCATTATCGTGATCGTTTGATACAAATATTTCTGTAGTAATACTCTATAACAACCATGAATTACATATTTTACTAATAAATAATTTATTATCAATTTCTAATCCTTCTTTATTTATTATCTAACATTTTATTTTTAAATCTTCCATAGAGGTATAAGCTCAACAGTAAGAAGATGTGTAGAAAAAGAAACTGGTCATGAATTTGCTGCTAAGATAATAGACCTCAGTCAGGAATCACAAGATGGTGTTGACACACATACAATGAGAGATGCTACACGCCAAGAGATCCAAATACTCAGGATGGTGGCTGGACATCCTTACATTAGTGAGTGAGTTATTAGTAGATTTTTGGAAAATTCAGCTTCTTCTAGTCCAAATCCAAAAAAATAAATGATAAAATTGATTTGCTAAGAATGACATGACATTAAAAACTCCAACCTTACAATAAAACAGGTCTCATAAATGCTTTTCTAACATAGCATAGCATAGTACATTATTTATATTATATCTAATAAATATAATATCAGATCATGGATAATTGTGTAGTCGTTGAATGATGATTGAATTTAAATTGATTATTCTTAACTTCTTAATAAATTAATATTTATGGTCTCATTTTTACACAACATTTTTAGTGCCAAACCAAGCAATGCTCATTCTATAGGTACTAGATAACTGATAAACATACTTAAACATACTTTTTTTTGTAAATAAAAACATATTATAAATATATAAACACCCAGTCACCTGAAAGAGACTATGCTTGTCACACAATATTTTTCCAGTAGTGGGAATTGAACAGACAGACAGACTTACAGCAGAAAGTCGAGGGTCACTACTCACTATGCAAATCAGGTCAAAATAATGTTGAGAATTGGGGCAAAAGAATTTTGATTTACTCGAGTTTTCCATAAGAATGAATGTTATTGTTTGCACAAAAAGGGATCAACTTGTATTAAACACTAGTGTAACCAATACATTTACTAAATCATATTGTTCTTTTGCAAAGTTATGTTCTAAAGGCATATTTAAACACTCCACTTTGTAATTTGTTGTATTTATGTGAACAATTCACTTTTACTGAATACTTTGCTCCATTCAAGGGCTTGAAACAAACTAAGGCATTAGATGTTCTAGCACTTTTGTTAACCTCTGCTACTTTCAGTTAAAATTTTGCATATATAAATATTTTTTCAACAAAGAGCATTAGATATATTCAAAAATAGTAATAACCAAAAGTGAGCTTCGGGCATTAGTTTAAATTTTTATTTTACAAATAACACAAATCCTTGGACCTTTGTTGTTCAGTGTATATATTTTGTAAGGGCAGCTGTGATAGGGCCATGCAGCAGCTTCGGTTGTTGCACAAATAGGCAGGCTTGTCTGGGGAAGTCTTGTCTGGCTTCGTAGAAGACCAGCGTGAAGTGGAAGTATGACAAATACTTTGGCGTTTCGTCTGGTGAGTGAAGTAGCCGGAGCCCAATTTTCAAAAGGTTGTCAATGGATCTGTAACCTTTGGGGTGTAACAGATGTCCACGGGCAGCAGTATTCACTTAACATCAGGTGAACTATTACACTTATGCGCTTCATCCGGTGGGTGAGGTAGCCGCGGCCCACTTATTTTAACCAACTGCAAAAAGCGACACGACAAAGTTGGTTCCAAAGCGACCAACTTCAGTGTATTACCATGGCAACCAATAACTACTTTTTGACATTTGCCTTGGTTGTGGGTGTTTTTGTATGGAAATGACTGGTTTAACTTGTTTAGCCCCATTTCTATGTAAGATTGTTTTATATAAAAAGCAATGATAAAAGTAATGGGCAGTATTGCAAACACCTGCTACACAACTCGACTTAACACAAGCATTGTTGGTTGAATAGATACAATGTAGCCTCACCAGTAATGTACATACAAACAAGATTGGCTAACCTTAACCTGTTGACCCGCTACACTATTTTGTTGATGTACTTTTAACGAATTAAATGACGATGATTTTATATTCATACTTCCTATATTATCGCTTACATAACACGCAATACTCATATTTAATTAATTAATATCAACAGACCTAAATATGATTGTCATTTTTATATTAAGTAATAAATTATTTGTAGGGTAGAAAACATGTTTGGGGTGGACACAACATTTAGGGGGATGAAAAGAATAATAGATGTGGTCCGATTTGGCCGATATGCACAAAAAAATTCACGAAAATTTCTCGATCGAGAATCGGAAAATCTGTTTCGGAGGAGTTCAATTACAAACACCGTGACATGATTATTTTATACAGCGTGTCGTTACCATCGCGACAATAAATGAACAAACATATAGGGGATAACTTTTTAAGGTTGTAATAAACATTTAAATTCTTTAAACATCAATATTTACAGAGTTATAAAATTTTCCAAAACAAAGAATTTTAGAACACCCTTACCTATAAAAGCGTAACGTAAAGTTCATTTGTAAAGGTCACAAAGCATATGAATGGGTTGAATGAATTTAAAAGAGACAAAACATACTGTTAGAAGGAGAGGCTTGTAATGCGACGCTGTGGCGCGAGTTCTATAGGATGTTACAAATTTTGTTTCTTTTTTACTTAATTAGTTTGTTAGAAAAATATTTTTTTTTAATTATGGATTTTGTTTAACGTTAATATTTTTTTATGATTATTGGCAAGTAGCGTTAGACGTGTCTTCATTTATTGTCGCGATGGTAACGACACGCTGTATATTAGATTCAAGACAAATGCACTATGTCATATATTAAATTCAAGGACGAGGGTCTTCAGCGAATAATTTGATGACGATGATGATGATGCAAAGACGTTTTGTGATATTTTAACTTATTTATTCTTCATATTTTTGTTTTCATATTTTTATTTAGGAAAAGTACTAGGAGATCATTTTCTTCAAGAAATGTATAAACACTATAAAAGTATTTGTTGTAATTGCTAATAAACTGACGACGGAATATATGGAACGATTTTTCGAACGAACTTTTACATTTTCTCTTCTTTTGTACAATTTTAAATCGATGGGTGTAATCCTCAACAGTTGCTGCCACGCTGCATCCGACCTCCTTGTATCACCCATATGGTTGATGTTCTCTTGCCTAGTCTACTCTGTGTACCTAGTGTAAATTTTCTCTGTTAGTCTTGATTCACGATTTAATCTTGTCTAAACCGTCGAGACGTTTCTATATCTAGTAACTTTTTTAACTTAACGGTCTGATTTTAATTAAAATTTTGTAGATAAAATGAACGAAAAGTTTCTTACCGCTGTAGTAAGAACTGACGAAATTCGCCTTTTATTTACATTGTTATTTTAGCAATTGAAGCATCGACTCCCTCAGCGGCGAGTAACTTTTCGTTCCTTTTTTAATATTTAATCTTAAGTGCAGAGATATGCACTGTAAAAAATAAATTTCTAGTCTTTAATCTTTTTTTTTAAATGTGTACTCTTTAATTTTCTTTATGCTAGACATGTGCAACATCCGTGGGGTTGCAGATATCTTGGCACTTTAACAAAAATGCGTACCTCCGTTACTTCACTTGACTTAATGTTATACTTCTGTGATTCGTACAGAAGTATGATATTACTTCCACGCCCGTGTTCCGTGAGGCGGTAGAGTTCGATTAGAAATGAATGATCAATTCAAAGAGTTTGACCATCCTTTTCTCAACTTAAATAACATTATAAAAGCCATTGACAGCTGATTAGTGGACATCTACTTTGATCAGAGTGTTTCAGAAACCGGGCGTTATTCCCTTGCCTCTATAAACTAAAACCTCTTTGCACGTCAGCTCAAAGATCGTTTCGTTCGCAGTCGAGCTTCAGGACGTGTTCGAATCGGAGACCTTTATATTCCTCGTGTTCGAACTCTGCAAGAACGGCGAACTGTTCGACTACCTCACATCGGTGGTGACGCTGTCGGAGAAGAAGACGAGATACATAATGAGGTGAGTGGACGTACTCAGCTATGTTGCGTTGCCAGGTTAAAAGTGCAACGCGGGAATGTCAGGATGGAGTCAGCAGGCGCCCTATGAACAAACAACCGTGATAGCTCTGTGTCCCGGCGGTCTCTTTGTCCGGTGTACAATGAAGCATATCAAATTCAAAGTCAAAGTCAAAATTTCTTTATTCAACATAGGCTTATTTTAAGCGTCAAAAACCATCACCGGTTCACTAAACTGATCTGCCAGAGAAAAACCGGCAAGAAACTTGCGGTCATATAATTTTTTTTTCTTTGAATTATTTCAGTCTCTACACAAAAGTATTTAAGTACAAAATTAGCAGGAGCCAGGAACTTGCACACTTGTAAGTCCCCAGAGCAAGAGTAATATCCACACATTTGTCCTCAATGTATTCCTCAGCATTAATTCATTCGTCTAGCATATTAATAAGCCGTGATAGTTCCGGGCGGCTCGCCTTAATTTAATATACTCGAGCATCCTAGGTGCCGGCACCAATGAAATTATTAAGTTGAGGTGCTAACTTATCATCACATGGACGTGATAAGTTAGCACCTCAACTTAACATGTGAAAAACGTGGAAAAGTACATGTTTTCGAAATAATAACAAAAAAAAAATATTTCGAAAAAATGTGAAATCCACCAAACCGCAGGGGGCCGTGTGGTATGACTAAATAGCCCCTGTACAGAGAAGACCTTTGCCCAACAATAGGACATACCTTAAGAAAAGCCACCCTGGCTTTTCTTAAGGTGCCCAAATTCACACAGGAAGTTCAGACTCGGTAGTATAATCGTTTATTGAAATAAAAACAAACATTTTTTTTATTTTCAAAAAAAAAATTACCATTAAAAAACAGAACTTGTTGACAATGCGGTAGTCATTCATAAATGCGTCGTATACTTTTGAAACGAACTTGTGTGCATGTTAGTTATGAATGATCGCGCGTAAAATAAATGATTTGCCCATAAATCACATTTTGAGATAAGCAAATGAATGTAATTAATTAATTACGAGTGATTTTAAATACTTATCATTTTTTATTTAACATTATTTATGTCTAGAATTTAATTTAAAAAAATGGATGCATTTAGAAAGCCTCCCAGTGTTTAGGTTGTTACTTTACTTACTTATGAACAATAGTATTTTTTCAAACACTCGACTCTTTTAAGCTATAACGTCATCCGGTTGATTTTAAGAAAATAACCCGAGTATAGTGTTTAAACTTTTCCAAAAAAAGCTAACGTTATCACGTGCTCTAAGGTCAATTAACTCCTACATAGTTTGTCGACAAAATTGAAAAAAACGACATCATTCGATTCAAAGGAGCTTTGACATTGTTACTAAGGATAGGATGTCAGTTTTCGTTGGCGTAAAATTCATATGACAATCTATTAACTCCACAATATTAAGGTCTGAATATCTTCATTAGAACTTCACGCAATTAAGCCTTAATAAGTGAACTGCAAGATTAAGAAATACTAAATTAATAAAATACATATTGAAATATTATGTCGTAGGTACATGAAAATTTTCACAATCAAAAGAACTCTCACAGTGAAACACAAATCTTTGTTCACGAATTATTATGAAGTAATTAGTCTATAAAGATTCTGTTTTAATGCACTTTACAGTGTGTCTATTCTATTTTTTTATTATAGACATAGCAGCACTGACACTGAGCTATCACGGCAGAGAGCCGTGATAGCTCAGTGTCCGGGCGCTCGCCTTTAATTCAATATACTCGAGCAACCTGAGTTCGATCCCCGGTGCCGGCACCAATGAAGTTTTTAACTTTAAGTGCTGACTTATCACGTGCCCCGCGGTGAAGGAAAACATCGTGAGGAAACCTGCATATTTTCGAAATAATAACAAAAAAATATATATTTCGAAAATATGTGAAGTCCACCAATCCGCAGTGGGGCCGCGTGGTGGACTATGCCCTGATACCCTCTGTATAGAAGAGGCCTTTGCCCAGCAGTGGGACATGTATAGGCTGTTACTTAGACATAGCAGCAGTATGCATAATTATACATTAATAAAAAGAGAATATATGGCACGTATACGTCACTCAAGGTTGTCTCCCCTACCAGACGAAATGCGAAAAAAATATATTCCCACTCCCCGCTGGTCTTTTGTGAGTCGTAACCTGGGCCCGCCCATTCATGCGATCATTCCATCCTTAGAGAGCCATCGTGAGCCTTGAGCCACGTGAACATGCTATGTCTCTGACAAGACCGTATTAGAAAGCTGATGCGTCGCGCATAAACCTTATGTTAACGTTCTCCGTTAGAAAGCGGTGAATTATTTATTAGTATCGGTAGATTTTCACCGCTTATACTTGCAGTTTTTAACTACAGGTGTATTTATAACAAAAAAAAAAACGAAATAAAGAAACGAATAAAAATATTACAAAATAGTATACGCATACATGTATGTCGCATGTACACATGCATACATGTAAGTCACCATGGAATGGCCTACTTAAGAGAATTAAAATAAAAATTATACGCGAAAAAGCCGTCAAATTAGTTTTATTAAAAATATTCTTTAATTTGATAGATATTTTAAAAATGCGGCGAAACTGTATTGCGATATGATGGCGCGTTGCAAAACATGTTGCTGTTTTCATCGTTTTCATAGTTGCTCTTTGATACGGAAAGAGATATTAGTCTATACCAGTGATTCTCAACCTTTTTTTTGTTGCGGCACATATTAAACGATTTAAAAATTTGGCGGCACACAAAGAAAAAGATAAAAATTATTTACTTACTACAACACACTGCATAAATAGTTTATGATAAAAATTTTAAATATACGAAATAAACTAATATATATTATAATAATAACTAAACGTTTATTAAGGGATTAATTACAAGCTAATAATAAAAATATTTTTAATGCGAAATTTGAGCTTGATGTTTTTTGATAATTTCATTTATATTTGGTCGTAAAAATGACAATACTACTCTCATATCGTCTTCTACATTTAACAATCTTGATCTTTTTTTAGTTTTAATGTTGGCTAATGCCAAAAAATAGTTTTCTTTTTAAATGATATAATTTAATAATATTAACATTATTATATATTTGCAAAATTTGGCGGCACACTTGAAATTTGGCGGCACACAAAAGTGCCGCGGCACAGTGGTTGAGAATCACTGGTCTATACAAATGCAATCTAATTACATCATTTGGCGTAATTTGAGTGCCTCAGTTTGCGCTAGTGTCATATCTTTGTACATAATATATTTGTTTAACTTTGCAAAATCAGACTCCCCGTGTGCCCAATGTTATCTATAAGGGTTTTTTCGCCTCCGTATTAAACACATTGAAGATAACCATTTGAAAATCAGAACAACTAAGTTCAGTGTTGCGTCGACATTGTCACTTATTCAGGATATTGTTGATGACCCGTTGAGTTGATTGGTAAAGTTTTCGGAAACTGCCGGCAGTGGTTTAGGAGTTGCAAGACGTCGGCGTGATGAATATAGAAACGTTAGCTACTTTTCGAAGTTTTAGTCGACCTAGAAACGGGCGTGCATTGAACTTTGCACGGTTTTCGTGTCAGGGGCGCCTAAACCGAAACGGTCGTAATTCGCAAGTAAGTACACACAACATGCGAACGCCGAGAAATATATCAAGTTATATTCATTTAATGTTTATTAGAAATCTCTGTGTATTTGTTATGTTGTGTTTTTATTTATTTTATGCGAGAATTGTAAAGTGGCACGCGACATTTGCAACACCGCCAGGGTTGCAGATGCGTTGACCTTTCAATAAAGTGGGCCCCGGCTACCTAACTCACCAGACGAAACGCAGAAGTATTACACTTTCACTTCACACCGGTCTTCTGTGAGGTTGTGGTACTTAGTCCGGCTACCTACCTATTGCGTGGCCCTACCACTCTTTCCTAAAAAGAGTGGAACGGCCACGCAATAGTTTTGATAAATGCAAAACTTCATATAATGGTTTAAAGGGACTTTTATACAATAACAATTTTTCTCATTTATTAACGACCAGTTTCCCAAGAAACGAAACCGTTCTGGTCCCATTTTAGCCGTGTCAAATAAATATTTTGAGTCATTACTCGTGAATTGCCCTTATCTAATGTTTCCTAGTTCAGATAAGCGTGCCGATAACGTTTCTGACGTCATCGGACCCGTCGGTCTTGGAGCGCGATGACGGTTGCGGAGGTCAACTTTGTGACCGCGGATTAGCTGGAACTGGGCGGCAATATGCTTTAAAGTAATCTACTGACAAGCAGCAATACATCTGGATATGCATAATATGATTGTTTTCTTTACACGTAAAGTTTGGTTAGTAAAATAACCGCCTATTTATCTCCCACTGCTCGGCAAAGGCCTGACTGAGCTAAATGAAAAGCTCAATGTGTTTTATCTTCTATGTTTTTATTACATTTTTAAGCAATGTCTTTGGCGTTATCTAGCGTGTTTCCTTTACAGCTAACGACAACTTTATCGTATAACTTTAACTGATTTATCTGTGGTAGGGCCACGCAACTCACTTCAATGTTGCACGAATGGGCAGGTCCGTCCAGGGTAGTACTACTACCTCACAGAAGACCGGCGTGAAGTGGAAGTGTTATATATACTTTTGCGTTTGGTCTGGTGAGTGAGGTAGCCGGGGCCCACTTTATTAAGAGGTGGCAACGCATCTGCAACCCTACAAGTGTTGTAAATGTCCATGGGCGGCAGTTATCACTTAACATCAGGTGAACCGCCAGCTCTTTCACTCTTCTCACATTAAAAAAAAGAAAAAGTATATATCAGATGTATTCCTTGAAAAATTGAAAACTAGAGATCTTTAGCTAGACACCTTTGCTATTAAAATTTTTAAAGGATATTTTTTGAAAATATTTTACTTTGTCATAAGACGTTCAGAATGCACTGCACTTATCAATAATTCAATTGTAATTGTCGTCTCTGCGAGCGGCAGCTAATGTCGAATCTGCTGTGGTGAGACTTATCTATATCCAGCACGTCTGTGATTTGTTCATCTGTCTTATCAACATGTTGCACGGATAACGGAGTTATGTCGGGTTTGCGAATCACGACTACGTGATTTAAGCACATCTAGTCTTGAAAGGCGGCAAATCACTTGATAACAGCAGAAAAAAAAACTATCATAGATTGATCGTTTGTTTTTCTTATCTCTTTTGAAAATATTTCCCTTGCTTTGGGATATTATCATCCTGGTTTGTAAGTACGTCTTACACACATAAATTTCACGCGGACAAACACCCAGATGCGAAACAACTATCTGTCGGTCACACAAGAGTCGTCCCGTGTGGGAATCGAACCCACGACCCCGGATGCCGAAGCCAATACCTTTTCAACTGTATTTGAGCATTGCTCCAAACAACTTAACCGTGGTAGGGCCACGCAGCAGCTGTTGCACGAATGGGCACGCCCGTCTAGGGAAATACCACGCTCTCACAGAAGAATGGCGAGAACTGGAAGTGTTACACTTCTGCGTTTCGTCTGGTGAGTGAGGTAGCAGACTAAGTTAAAGGTTGTCAACGCGTCAGCAAGCCCTCAGATGTTGTAGATGCCCATGGGTGGCGGTAATCACCTTATATCGGATGAACCGCTCGCTTAACAATTTCTTAATATTAATTTTCTTTATAAAAAAACTTTGATTTGATTAATTAGTGTTATGCGGAACAATGTCTTCTCTCAGGGAATCATTAAGTATTCGTACATGTTGCTTATATATATATACGAGTACTATATATATCATACGAGCTAATATATATATCATAAGAGTTTTACCGTGTATCAGTATCATCAATCATGTATATATAGAAATATGATACACTTCTTTATTTCCATCACGACGTTGAAAGACGGTGAGACAGTTTTCCTCATCAGAAAAGCGATGTCATTTAGGGTCATACGTCCGGAGCGAAGTCGAATTAATATGGTCAAATCTGTTCTAGTAACGGCCAGTTACGATATCCTATCTATATATTATAGATTCAATTAACAAATCCACAGATAGATATGATATTAAAAAAACCGGCCAAGTGCGAGTCGGACTCGCGCACGAAGGATTCCGTACCATTATCCATAAAAACGGCAAAAAATCATGTCTGTTGTATAATCGCCCCACTTAAATATTTTTTTTAGTATTTGTGGTTTTAGCGGCAGCAGAAATACATACATCTGTGAAAATTTCAACTGTCTAACTATCACGGATCATGAGATACAGCCTGGTGACAGTCGGATAGACAGACAGAAAGACAGCGGAGTCTTAGTAATAGGGTCCCGTTTTACCCTTTGTGTACGGAACCCTACAAACGGCCGTAAGAGTGCATTTACCCATTCACGATATGAAAGGGGTGCCCCATTGTGCACTTGAAAAATTGATATTAACTATTACATTGGTGCTATTTTTTTTTTTATTAAACTGAATTAAAAGCGGATGTACGCCACCTGTTATTAGTTTATTTATTTATCGTTTTGTAAATAAATTTACTTTTTAAAGTAAACGTCATTGATTTTTTAATATCTTGGACATTGAATTGGGAAATTTTATCATGATTCATGATGTGAGAATCAAAGCGAGCTCTCTGTTTTTCGAATTCGATTTCGATTTCGATCAGGTATAATTTAAAACATTACGCCGATTGGTGTAGTGGATAGTAAACCTGTCTCTTGTACCGTGGGTAAGTTCGATACCCGCTACTGGAATATCGTGTGAGATGGACGTGTGTACCAGTATTTAAGTGTTTCGGTATCTATAAAATTGTTTTTATTTTCACTATGTTTATCAGTTATCTAGTACCATATTGAAAGTGTTGCTTGATTTGGCTCTTAAACTGTGTAAAATGCTTCCTGGAAAAGTAAAGTAATAGCCTATATATAGCCAACTGCTGAACAATGGCCTCCTCTATGCAGAGGGTATTAGAGGTAGCGGCCCAGCTGCGGATTTGCGGACATCACACATCTACCCTCTGTATAGAGGAGGCCTTTGCCCAGCAGTGGGACATGTATAGGCTGTTACTTTACTTTTTCAGGAAGCATTTTACACAGTTTAAGAGCCAAATCAATCTTCGAAGCCTTTTTTATTTCGAAAAGATGCAGGTTTCCTCAAGACGTTTTCTTTCACTGAAATTAACAATTTCATTGGTGTCGGCACCGGGGATCGAACTAAGGTTACTCGAGTATTAGTAATCAAAAGCGTGCACAACTGGATCTCTGGGAAATGTATATACCTTATTAATGTTATAATATAGCCCATATAAAGAAAATCTTCAATTATAGTATAGACATACTTTCATATATTTATTTATGTTAATTATATATATTATATATTTATTTATGTTTATGTGTTTATTATAATTTATTTTATTATTATTCAGTAAGTTTATTAAGCACACCACCTCCCACTATTCATAAGTTTATTTTCCTTGTCCTAAGGTTGTCTGGAAGAGATCGCTCTTTAGCGATAAGACCGCCTTATTGTACCTAGCTTTTAAGATTTATTTTATATGAACTGTATAAAACTTCTTGTGGTGTACAATAAAGTATATATAATAATAAAAATAATAATACTTACGCCCGGTTTGATCAACATAGAAGTGAACTAATCAGGTGATTGTTCCTTTTGATCATTAAGAATTTTATCATGTCATTTTAGCGTTACCACCCGTAACTTGCTCTCAACCACCAAAGGCTTACTGGAAGAAAATGCTATTTAGCATTAATTTCGCCTTTGTACAAACTTTTAGTACAATAAAGAATATATACAAACAAACAAACAAGAAGATCATTCTAATCAATTCAGAGAGTTTAACCATCCTTTTGGCAACTTAAATAAACATTTGTCAAGCCATTTGATAGCTGATTCTGAACTTCTATGATGATCATTCTTCTATTTCATAAACCGGACGTTAGTCTCCGGAACGCAAACCTGTATTCATAATTTTTTTCGTTGTGCTAGAAAACACTATAAAAGCGTTAAAAACTTCCCTTTTCACCTCATTTGTTTCACCGATATGCTTCTCTAATGATCCATTTGCATCAAATTTACCAATTTTTACGGATATTATAGCGGCTAATTTATGTTCGCCCCGCGACCATTATTGCTGCAAATTCGAAACGCGCCCCCAGTTCGTGATGCAATTTTAGTGAAAATTGTTTATATCTCAACAATAATAAAAAAAAAAAACAAAAGACAATCAATATCTCCTTTGTCGCGTCTGTTATGTAACGAAATGCAGAAACAAAGCGATGTGGCCGACGGGACCAGACCATTGGCTGACCCTCCGATCTGGGCTGCTCTGCGTAGCGCGCAGATAACTCATTGTTTCCGTACGTCACGCCAAATAAGAGACGTAGCTTCTTCCCGCGTGCGACACAGTATCGAGTCGACCGCACTCTGGTTATGAAGCCCTGGTACTTTGCTGTGGGGGGAAATTTTTTCGTATTGTTTGTAACGCCACATTGTGAAACAGACCTCATGGAGTTCGAAGATAAACTTGAGTAAGAAATGTTTGTTGTGCTTATATTGATTTATCATCTTTTATTCTGTTATTGTTATCAGAGAATAGAAAATATGAATATTTAGATACGATAACTATCGTGAATTTGAATAATAGGGACAATAAGTTTATTGTAATTTAGCCAAAGAGCCGAAATAACATAAGTTATTGAATATTTCATAGTAATTTATATAAAATTTTCGTATATTATATTTATACTTAAAAAAACTTGTGGTCTATTAATTAACATTCAAAATTATTAACTGTTTTGGTGAAGTAAAAATTATGTTCCATGAATACGTTAACAGAATTATTCGGCTTACATAGCAATCGCTAACTCTACAGAAGTACGTTATATAAAATTATTTACATAAATGTATTTATTTATAAAAATATAATATAAACGTAGTGTAATATGAAGGTATTGAAAAAGACGCCATTGATAAGTCAATCACACTTATCATTGGCAAGCTAAAATTAGTAATGTATAAAGCTATAAAGTTAACTCGACCGGTATAATCAAATGTTGAAACAAAAACAATACCACGTAAACTTTTCATTTTTTTCTTTGTGTTGAATATTTGTCTTTGAATAGATTGTTGTAATTTTGTATCATCATCATCATCATTTCAGCCTGTTTGAGTCCACTGCTGAACATTGGCCTCCCCCACAGACTGCCACGAAGCACCACCTTGAGCCACCTGCATCCATCGACTTCCCGCACATTTGCACAGGCCGTCAATCCATCTAGGGGGGGGGGGGGGGGGGGGGGTCACTCAAGAACCTTTCTTGTATACTGGACAAACTTTCATAATGTGAAATCTAAGTTCCATAATCAATTTTTTATATTACAGGCAAGTTCTAGAAGGTGTCCGCTACGTGCACAGCAAGAATATCGTGCACCGCGACCTCAAACCCGAGAATATTCTCCTAGATGACCAGCTTAACGTCAAGATCACCGATTTCGGCTTCGCCAAGGTTCTGAAGGACGGGGAGAAGTTATTCGGTGAGTTGTGCTTTTGCAACGCAATTGGCGCGATAATGTACTTTATTTGTTATAGCTGTGCTTGCGACTTCGTCTACGTGGAATTTAAAATAAATAAATTTTCTAAAATAAAAGTATCCTAAGTTATTCCTTATACATCAGCTATCCGCCGGTGAAAGTCCCGTCAAAATCGGCCCAGCCGTTTTAGAGATTAGCTGGAATAAACAGATAGACAGACATATAGACAAAACTTCTAAAAAATGTTATTTTGGTGTAATGCAATGTTGTTTTCGTTATGTACCTAGTTTACATACATATGCATTTAGGAAAAAGCGATTATTTTAATATTACAAACAGACACTCCAATTTTATTTATCTGTATAGATTAATTGAAAGTACACTAAAATGACATTTGTCATTGATAAAAATATTTTAGTGTACTTTTTGGTCAAACATCTTTGTAGATAATATAGTTCGCAAAAAATGGATACAAATAAACAAATACTTCTTCAAACTGGATTTGTAACAAGATCCGATTTTGTGTATAAACATAAATAAATGGCGTTAAAACTGATGATACTACACGCATAGATACATTGGCATCAGCACGATTTATTGACCTTTTTTTTTTGTCTGTCCGTGCAGTAAACATTTTGTAATCGATATTACATTACCTACCTTACACAGCTCAATGCTGGACATTGCAATTTTTAATGGTCAGTTGTCTGTCCGATAGATATAGTCGCGTATGGGACTTTACTATTTTAAACTACATTTTTCATTTGACATTAACAACGATCATTTTTTTATATGGCGTATTTATAGTCTGTTAGTTTAAATAATGGTTGAATAATCTCCCCGACACTACTAAAAAAACTTTGAAGAAAACGCTTTAAATTAAATGAAAGTCTTTCCAGTGCACATTGTAATAAAGGCGTTTTTGTAGATTCGTCTCAGGTCTTATCTGCTATAAACATTTCTAACACTTTCCAGCGTTCATGGTCAAGAAGCAGACTGTGTCGGAGTCAAAATTAAAACGCGATATAATCCGTTATATATATTATAGTTTCATTTAATATAATTAATAGGTAGGTATGTGAAATATTAAAACATAATACAATATCAGCCTATTGCCGTCCACTGCTGAACGTAAGCCTCCCCCAAAGTGCGCCAACTATCCCGGTCCTGGGCAGCCCGCATCCATCCGCTGCCCGCCACCTTCCTTAAGTCGTCAGTCCATCGTGCTGCAGGCCGTCCCACACTTCGTTTTCCTAACCGTGGTGTCCACTCTAACACGTGTCGGCTCCAGCGACCATCAGTATGTCTGGAGACATGGCCAGCCCACTTCCACTTCAGCGTGCTAATTCTGCGCGCAACGTCGGTAACTTTAGTTCTCTGGCGGATGACTTCGTTTCGTATCTTGTCTGCCAGAGAAACCCCAAGCATTGCGCGTTCCATCGCCCGCTGAGCGACCTGGAATTTGTGGACCAGCCCCACGGTGAGTGTCCACGTTTCGGCTCCGTAGGTCATTACTGGTACGCACTGGTTAAACACTGGACTTGAGAAATTGCGGTATTGACGACCCAAAAACGTGTCGTAGCTTCCCGAATGCCGCCCAGCCTAAGCGTATTCTTCGGTTGGCCTCTTTCTCAAAGTTGTGCCGGCCTAGTTGTATAGTTTGGCCAAGGTAGGTGTATTCCTGCACAACCTCAAGCATAGCGCCATCCACGACCACTGATCTCGGGATCACATGACTATTGGACATAATTTTTGTCTTGTCAAGGTTCATACCGAGACCCACTTGTCCCGAAGAATCGCTCAGGCTATTGAGCATAGCTTCCAGATCTTGCAGAGATTCTGCCATGATGACAATGTTGTCAGCGAATCGCAAGTGTGTTATTAATTGGCCATTAATATTAATTCCCCGTCCGTTCCAATCCAGCGTCTTAAAGACGTCCTCCAATGCATTGGATGCAAACATAATGCTCTGCGTAAAATGTATTGTTTGAACCGTATTACTTATCTATGTGACAGGGCCACGGAACAACCCTGATGCACGAATGGGCAGGTCCGTCCGGGGACCTCACATAAGACCAGCGTGAAGTGGAAGTGTTATACTTCCGCGTTTCGGCTGGTGAGTGAGGCAGCCGGGTCCCACTTAGTTACAAGGTGGCAACGCATCTGCACGGCACCGCATTTGGCGGTTATCACTTAACATCAGGTGTACCTCCTGCTTGCTTGCCGCCATATCACATAATTGACAATATTGTTGGTTCCATCTCGAAATTTAACAATATTGTTAAATTTCGAGACTATATTGTTATATACTACTACTAGACTATATAACAATATTGTTAAATTTCGAGACAATAATAATAATAATAATAATATGCTTTATTGTACACCAAAAAAGAAAAAAGTACAGAACTAAACAAAATATTTATCAAGTATTGGTCATCAAAAGGCGACCTTATTGCTACACAGCAATTTCTACAAGAGAATATTTTATACAAGCAATTTCTACAAGACAGACAATATTTTCGAACAATATTTTTGGAGGGCTTTTCACACTACCTTTAGCATTTAAAGTGCGTCCCAGTATGTAAATTATTTTTAACATAAAACTCTTACATTTGGACAGTGGGATTCCTTTTTCAGGAATCGTATCCCGTTGCATCTAGCTTTTTGTTACCTCGTGTTACAACCGGTTCCAAAACAATATGCCTTGCATTTAATTGTGTCGTGTTACTCATTCTACTCACAACGCACGCAAAATACTCGTCCTAACGACTGCGTGGTCTTGTCAAGTCTTAGGTTCTCTGACCTTCGTTGACTATGTATATAAATATATTTCGAACCTAAGAATGAAAAGTTATCAAACAGTAGAGGGATGAGGGAGATTTATATTCAGAAAATATAGTACCGAAACTATAAAAACTCGTGAGATTCACTTTTTAGTTTTTTTTTAGGTAATCATAAATTTACAATTACAAAATCACGATTGTTAGTTACTAACGATAGTTTTTAAATTTCTAATTAAATTTATCGCCTTGTATATAAGCTTTTGTTTTGCAATAACTTTGTATGTGAAATCTTTGTGTTGTCTCACGGTGGTAAGGCCACGCAGCAGCCTCGGCTGTTGCACGAATGGGCTGGCTCGTCTGGGTAAGTACCACGACCTCACAGAAGACCGGCGTAAAGTGGAAGTATAATACTTTCGCGTTTCGTCTGGTGAACGAGGTGGTCGGAGCCCAATTTTCAAAAGTAATGGGAATTATTTGCTGTAAGCCACAAAAATAGTGTCACTTAACCTGAGCCCAGCCAAATAAACAGCCTCAATTCTAAAATTCGCTGGAAATTAATTTACATACGTTTATGTTGATTTTACCTCTTTTTACGCGTGCTTTTAAGACATTATATCTAATTTTTATTATCACTTCCCTTTTGTGGATGGGCAAGTAAGGTCTTTACGATATACAATGACGGTATTTTACATGCCCATATAATATGAAAAATATGCGAACGTGCTAAAAAGGAACCTTGAACTCGGGATTGAAATTGTCTAATCACTGAGCTATCACAAAACTTGTCAATGAGTTCGGAAGCACGGATGCCGCGCAATTGGCCGGACTTTTCTCGCTTTCAAGAGAATACGATGATGTCACTCGTACTTTAGCCAACGTTCTTTTGGCAAACCTTGAGTTTGTTTTCTCAACTCTGTACAAGTGACAAATACGCGTGACGAGTTGCAAATTTGCTAACAAATCTGAAACTGGCTTATAAAAATTTTGTTTTGTAAATTCGATGGCTACCGAGTTACAATTTAGAGAGACACAATTTATATGGCTCATATTTTTTTTTAGGCTCGACTCGAGTCATATTTGAGCATGAGTCCATCATTCCATATGCCTAAGCATTTTGCTATTCATGTACAATTGAAAAGTCCTGGTGGTCACGGCCGTAGCTAGGGGGGGGGGGGGGGGGGGGGGGGCATTGTAGGGCAATGCCCTACCTTAAAAATACCAAAATAAAATTGCGTAAATATGACCACGTTTTTCAATTTCGTACACGTCTCAAGTGATTTCCCATCCTACTTCGCCGGAATTTGTATATTCTTTCTATGTTGTACCTACTGTGTTTTATTTCATGTTTCTACTCCATTTTATTTAAAGGAGAAATTTGAATTTGTAGGGCTTCTAGGGGAAGATCCTACCCTCATTTTAAAGGTGCCAAACCACAAAACGTAATTTTTTGAAAAATCTTTTACCGTACAGGCTGTTAAACTCTACTACTGCATTATATACTATACTATTGCACAACCTACGTAGTAAAGTTCCTTTACGCCATTGGTTGCCTGGAAGAGATCGCTATGAAGTGATACGGCCGCCAAATTGTGAATTCCATTAATTTGTTTGTCTATTGTTAATTTTGTGTATCCTCTTTTGTGTGGTGGACAATAAAGTACTCATTCAAAAACTAAGATACATTATTGTAATAAAAATTGTAGCGTACATTTTTTTAATCTACCACCGTTTCATCATGAGGTTCCTCTAACGGAGAAGAAACAGGCGAAAGAAACTCCGCAGGTATCCTCTTATTCGCATTTTTTTTCTTAAATAATTAAAATATTATACAGCTGTTTTTTTTTTCTTTCTTTTAGAAATAGCTTGGGTGCGATCAACTCATTACCGTGTGTGACATTCATTTCATATTCTAATAATTCTTTGTTCTGTGTACTCGTATAAAAAAGTACCTGGAGGACCGAGCTTTGCTCGTTTTTTTTATGGTAAATGTATTTTGGAAATAAAAAAAAATGAAAAAAAAAATAAGTGTGTGATCGTGATACGAACCGCGGCCGTCTGTTTTGGGGCCGCCCGATTACCGACCGGGCTATTATAAAATTTTTTTTGCGGCGAAATTTACCTTCATATTCGAATGATATTTTTCATTCCCTGAAAACAGGCATAAAAGGGCATTTTCTAAAAATGAAACAGCTAGATCGATGCTTCGCCTCCGAATCTGCGCACATACTAAAGAACAATGCCCATTTTTGACCTGATTGTGTATAGAGGTGAAATAAATATTCAAATTTAGCTTATTTTATTTTATAGTAATTACACTAATCACAATGTTAAAAGAAGGTCGGGGTAAAAATATTTTTTGATATTTCTTTACGCTTATTTTACTTCAAGGGTAAACATATTACCATGTTTTGAACGCACCTTAACAATCCTTTGCATAGGACGTTCCATTTCTCACACTACCAACTTGACTGTATTCAACTTTTTCTGAGTTTTGTACGTGATTTTACGTTTTAGAGAAGTGATTAAGCACGTAATTAACAGTATTTGTATAAAAATTAAGATCAATCTTATTAGTAGTACAGATTTATTAAAAATAAAATAATAAATTATTAATGCAGCATGTAATAAAGTTCGCACGGCTGACGTAAATGGATTTTTTTGACATTTGACAGTTCTGCGAGTGACTCATACTCATCGGTATTCGTCAGTAATTGTGAGTATTTATGTTTATTATTTTTAATCTAAAAATGTCAATCATGTCCTAATCAAACTAACAAAGATCCTATAAATTATATCTGTGACATAACACAAACAACTGTTCAAAAGATCTATATATCCAAAATATGTATTATAAACTCGATGTATGTTTTTTTATTTCAGATTACTGAGGAAGATTACATTTGTAAATCTTATAATGAACTCTTTATGAGAATAATAAACCAGGGATTAACAAGCTGTGATGTTGCTCAAGCTTCAGGATTATCTCAACCAGGTCGAAGAACAGTTTTTGATAATCCTTCAGAAAAGCAAAGACAGATAAATGCTATTATACAAACAAGTACACAACATCACATATTCATGTTTCTACATTGGTAATCATTTGCCAGTGTAAAACTTGATACTATTACTCTAGATTATTTCCCTTTTGTATTTTAGATGTAAATTATTATATCTGTTATTAATTGACTGATGCTGTAATAATTTTAACCACAAATAAATACATAATTGATTTTTTTTTAAAGATGTATAATAATTATTGCTTTATTACTTCTTTTGTAGATATCATCATCTGATAGAATATGCCATTCATGCTGGATGAGTTGTAAGAGTGCTGTCACACATATTAGGCATGTTGCTGAAGTTTGTGGTGTTTCTACTTCTGAAGATAATTTATTTTTTATGTTTCTGAGATAAATTTATTAGTGAACTTATACTATTTGCGTTAGGTACCAAATAAGGCAAGCCGAATCCTATTATGGCGAACATATTCGCTTTAATGGATCATATAGAATAGAAATATGTAGGGAGACAGGAGTTTTCTAGGAGTAATCTGAGTGGAAGTGATGACATAACACTAATAAGAGGAAAAATTAAGTCCTAGCACATTTAAAGAAAACAATATTATGTCTACATTTTAATAGAAAATAATGTGTCTGGCAGAGCTAGTATAGTCGAATACTGTTGTAATTGTTTAGTTGGTTGGCAAACCATAGGATGTTGCACTCATGTTATGACTAGTGTGGTACTTCGGATGAACTATCAAGAAAATATCTCTGTTATAGCAGAATTTCTGGATAACATAGTTATAAGACATTTAAGTGAAGATGATGATAATTAATAAAGCATTCCACTGTGACATAGTGTTTTTATTTTTTTCCCTCGTTTTATTCATCAGGTATTATATTATAGTTTATTATGTATTGTAGTGCAGGGCAATAAAGTGTGTAGGGCAGATAAATGATCACTTTTAACTTACGTTTTTTAAGTAAGTACTTATGTGAGTTGTTGAAATAGCGGATAATGCTCTTGACTCAATTTATAGTGACAATAATCGAGTCTAAGCAGTGACGTAAGGGCAGTCGGTTTCTAGGAATTCACAAGTAAAAAAGACGTTTTAGACCTTAGATAGGCTAATATTATTATTTTAGAGTAAACTTGAGCGTAAATAGTTAGTTCTAGCACTTTTATTTCGTCATATTAGGTAACTGCAAATCCTAACCTAAAAAGTAACATTTTTTAATAATTTTTGGACTTCGTAGACCAGCAATCGTAAAAATGACTATATGATATTAATTTACTAACTTAAAGGTAGTCTTTCTGCTATACCTTGTAACTATACATACACTTTCATTACCAGGTTTTTAAATGTATGGGAAGTGGGCATTGTTCTTTCATGAAAAACGCTGGAGCCGTTTCCGAGATTCCGATACATATATATATATATATATATATATATATACAAGAATTGCTCGTTTAAAGGATAAAATAATAATAAAATAGGCATTTGAATGATGATGATCTAATCAATTCGATTGCAAGTCTCGATGAGTTGGATGTAGATAAAATGCTTCCACTGAAAAGTTTGGGTAAGTATAAAAATTTAATAATTCAAGTAGGCTAGTGTGGTTAAAGTTTACTAGAGTCGTAACGAGGACAAAATGGAAAATACATTGCAAGTGTTGTACAGGCAACGAGAGGCGTTTGAAGATACATATGAACTTTTTGCATCTGTGGCGACCATAGGATGCACTGCAGTGTGCGAATCTACGTTTTCAACTTTAACTGCAATCAATAGGCCTCAAAGGCTGTCAAAAGGCTGTCAAAAAAAAGGACAAAATCAGTTGATCTAAACGAAGTTCTTCGCATTTTTAATAAATAACATGGCGAATCGAAGAATTCAGCTGGTTTAAATATTTTTATTATTATGTTAATTATTATACTAGGTCTGCAGAAACAATTTGATATAAGTGGTATTTTTGGTCGTACCATCTCATCCAAAAATTAATTATTACCTACTCTCAATCAGACGTGGATCTCTACATCCAAAGCTGGAAGATCAACCATCTTGTTCGCTTATTCTTCATCATGCTCATGTTCTGCCACAGAAATTATTTGTCTACGAATAGCTATGTTTGATTTAGGAGCTCATGCTAGTTGGGGCAAATATCCCTTTATGGCCAACCGCTCCCCTGGGAGATAAAGGTCAAATACTTAGGAGTCACTTTCGACTCGCGTATGTCATTTAATACGCACATTAATAACGTTCGCAATAGAGCCACGTTCTTCTCCGGCCGGCTACAAAATTTAACTAACGCTTAAAGTAAAATGCCCTTAAGGCACAAATTATTATTATATAAAACCTGCGTACGATCTATTATGTCCTACGCATGCATGACCTTCGCCCACACGCACCCTACTCGCTTGTACAAATTGCAAATAGTACAAAATAAGTTCATACGCCGCGCAACCGGTGCGCAGTGGTATCAACGCAACGTCGACCTGCACAGCGATTGCAGACTCCCGACGATTCGCGAATATTTTAAAGACCTGACCAAACGGTTCTTCGATAGAGCCGAACATCATCCCAACCCTCTGGTGGTAAGCGCAGCAAATTACCAACCCGACACAAACGCGAACGTCAACAAGCGTCGCCCGCTAAACGTCCTCATCGACCCGGTCGAGGAAGGGGACTTAGATACGCCGGACCCACCGCCGGGGGTCCCGCCGGATAACACTACACCAACAGTTAGTGCAACAACAAACATACTAGTTCGCCCTCGCCTCCGAGCACGGCGAGACCAACAACGCGTACACAAGGTACACCCGCGTTCCGGGGCGGTTCTCACCGCCCCCAGCCACCGATTAGCTAAATGCACAGTCGACGGCCATCGGGGTTTCGGTCCGAACCGCGACCTCGATGGCCCTTAGATGAGACACCATAGTTAAACGCACGCATGAGCACATGCGTGGCCCTACCCACAGCGGAGGGCCCAAACCCGTGGGTTCTGGCTAGCCCACCGGTTCTGCGTCAGATGAACCTTTAATAGTCTCGGGACTGAAAGTAAAAACGTCAGTTAATACAAGATACAAGAAGGAGCTCATGCTTCGAGAGCAAATCGATTATGATAAATTTAATTTAATTGTTTACTTCCACCCTACCTGTAATCAATGCTGCCCTACCTCAAATTCAACTCTAGCTACAGCCCTGCTGGTGGCAAGTTGTGTTTTTTTATTACGTTGGATCGGCATTACGTGGGGTTTCACAGGAATATGAAACAAACATTCTTATCCTTACTTATATTATAAACGCGAAAGTTTGTTTGTATGGATGGATGTTTGTTACTCATGTTTGTCACGCAAATACTACTGAATCGATTCTAATGAAACTTTACAAGAATATAGCTTATACATCAGAATAACACATAGGCCATAATTTATATACATATTTTAATGTTATGCCTTCAGCATATTATACGCAGACGTAGTCGCGGGCAGCAGCTAGTTTTATATAAAGCACTTGCAATGTCAACGCAAAATATACCAGGAGAGCATAAATTTCGAGCACTCTTCGCTCTGTCCTGCAGAACTTTGCGGGACTCCGGGCTACCTCGCGCCGGAGACCTTGAAAGCGAACATGTTCGAGGACGCCCCGGGTTACGGAATGGAGGTCGACATGTAAGTAACGGCTGGCCGCTAATTCTTTTGAATTCATACACTCCACTACTGTTCCACTGGACACGCTGACGCACAGCCTGATTTTGTGTGTATTTTTTTTCTTTTAACTCTTGAATTTATTGCATGCCTGGTCGTTGTATTTTCTTATTTCTTGGTTAGTTATATATTTTTATTTCTTCTAACTATTTTGAATTTATGCACTCCTGTAAGTAACTGAACACGGAGTCATACAGCCTGGTTCTGTTTGTGTTTTTTTTTTGAAGTGAAAACTTCTTTTAGCACGGTACGCATATTTTTAGATGAGATAAAATGTCTTTTCTCGCGATACCGTTACGAGACGCAGCAATAGTGTGTACTTAATTGAATTTTTGATTAGAGAATTTGATTTTACTATGTCCAATCAACGCAATATTAGCACAACGATAAATTATTTAAATAACTTCGAATCAAAATTGTATATTTATCTGAAAAATGTCTAACGCGCCAAAATAAGTTTTCACTTCTGTGGGCACTCGCGGAGTGCGCAACCCGTAATTTTTAAAAATTTTATAACTTGAATTTATTGCACTCCTAGTCCACTGAACACGCCGACATAGAGCCGTCAGGTTTTGTTAGTAACATTTTTTTAATTTCCTAAATACTAAATAAAGTAACAGCCTATACATGTCCCACTGCTGGGCAAAGGCCTCCTCTATACAGAGGGTATCAGGGCATAGTCCACCACGCGGCCCCACTGCGGATTGGCGGACTTCACATATCTTCGAAATATTTTTTTTTGTTATTATATCCTAAATACTATTTTTTTTAATTACAGCTGGGCCTGCGGCGTCATCATGTTCACTTTGTAAGTTCTTTATCAACTATTTGCACACATAAAACACTTCATAAGGTGATAGGGATATCAATTAAGCAATTAACATAAATATTTACTTTATCTTTTTTTGGTAATTGAATAAAAATGATACAATGTATCAATGTTGACATCAATTTTTACTTTGTTTTTTTTTTGTCTTGACCTAATATCGTAAATATAACGCCTAATAGTACCCAATTTTACATATTTTACTACAATTATTACTTTTTTAGGGTTCCGTACCCAAGGGATAAAACGGGACTATTACTAAGACTCGGCTGTCTGTCACCCGGTGGTATCTCATGAACCGTGATAGTTGGACAGTTGAAATTTTCACAGATAATGTAATTTCTGTTGCCGCTATAACAGTAAATACTAACAAAAGATTTACGTGAAGCCCCCATACAACAGGACATTATTTTCTTTGCTGTTGTTATAGATAACTTTGTAAAACTGTGTTTAAATATTTATCTCTTCGTCACATTTTGATGAGAAATTTCGCTGGGCTCAAAAACTAAGACGACCAATTAACCGTTAAATTCGTTAACTTATTAAAGCTTGCAGTCTTGTTTTATGAAATATCATTTGGCCATTATATTAATTTAATTTTCATTTAGCACAAATTGATAATTATCGCCGTCATTACTATCTGTATAAGTTTTAATGAAGTGTTATGTGTAATATCAAGTTTAAATATTTTTTTTATGCGAAAAGTTGTCAAACGAGCAGACGGTTCACCTGATGTTAAGTGAATACCGCCGCCCATCGGCATCTGCCACACCCGGGGGTTACAGATGTGTTGACAAACTTTTGAAAATTGGGCTCCGGCTACCTCACTCACCAGACGAAACGCGAAAGTATTTGTCATACTTCCACTTTACGCTGGTCTTCTGTGAGGTCGTGGTACTTACTCGGACGGGCCTGCCGACTGCGTTATAGCTTAAGTTTAACAAAAGACCAATTTTTCTATTGGGTGTCATAACTTTGCCACAATATGGCATCTGGGTATCCATACTGAATTTTGACTTATTGTCTTTAGTGATGATTCTTGATCGTAAGATTAAGACAATTCGATTAATTGCAAAAAGTAACTATTTTACGTATTTTAATGCATTTAATTAGATTTAAAAATTTAAATTCCCGACGTTTCGAACCCTTTCCAGCGTCTCTACCGTGGACATTAAATGCTGTAAAGGGTTCAAAACGTCGGGAATTGTAAAATAGTTTCAATTCACAATGTATAATATTCGCGTAAAAACAAGAAATCAATACAATTCGATTTAGGTAAGAATCACCAAGATCGATTCACGCGTTTGGTATCTAGAGTGGCACAAGGAGAAAGCATACTTAGGATGTCATTTTACCCTCTTTTGTGTCGTGCAGTCGGTTAAAAAAGTTAACTGGCATTCATTAAATTTACAGGTTAGTTGGCTGCCCCCCATTTTGGCACCGTAAGCAGATGGTCATGCTGCGAAACATCATGGAGGGAAGATACTCCTTCACCAGCCCCGAGTGGGTGGATATTTCTGGTCTGTATTCACAACATTTATGAATTTGTATAAATCATATGATTTTGATAAAGTCTTTACAATAATTTACGTCTTTAAACCCATACGGAATAAATGGAGGCACTATGTTATCCACATTTAAACAAACTATCCAAACTATCCCTCAAAGACCAATGTATCAGCCACGAAAATTGAATTGAATTAATTGGGATTGTTTGTGCTCCTGATATGTGATTAATTATGGCTATTATGTCTTATTGTTGCCCGTAATCAGTGCATTTGATAACAAAAATGTCAAGAAATATCGCCGAGTATTTATTGCTTAGGACAAAGGTCGAACTGTAATGACTAGTCCGTCGAATATTCTCCATTATCGAAAAAGGTTTCTACTGAATTCCATTTACCTTATTGATGACGTAGAGCCCCTAATCATCCTAAACATCATTCAAACGTTTGGTCCGTGATTTATTTCTAAATGATCCCTTATAACCTAGAATGTTGATGTTATCCTTATGCCACTATCGTTTGTATGATGATATACAGGGAGATTTTTTGAGAAGTGCCCAAATTTACACAGGAGGTTCAGACTCGGTAGTATGATCGTTTATTGAAATAAAAAACAAAGTTTTTTTTTTCCAAAAAAAAAATGCCTTTCTATTTATTCCCTAAAGCACAGAACGTGTTGACAATGCGGTAGTCATTCATAAATACCTAAATTTTACTGTGCACGAACTTGTGTGCGTGTTTGTTATGAATGATCGCGCGTAAAATATATGAGTTGCGTATAAATTACGCACTTTATGTGTGTGAATATGTTTAAGTTATTATGTAGTATAATACATATAAATATTTTAATATAATAATTGCATCTACCACGATTTCTCACCACTCCCCGGGTTGACTGGGAGAGAATGCCAAAAGACATTAAGTTCGCCCTTTATAATCCTTTTTATTTAAAGGTTGCAATAAAGTATAAATAAATAAATTCCCTTACGAAATGAACGGAAGCAATTAATGATTGTTTCTTTTAAATTATACCCGATTTCTTTAAAAAATACTTACAGAGGAGGCCTTTATAATGTCCCACTGCTGCGCAAGAGTTGAGCTGATTCACTTTTTTTTTAAATATTATATTTTTATTATCATTTTGTGCATGTGTCGTTGACCACTTTGACCACCTTGACGCGTTATGAAGGATTATTCTATACATCATTGATTCGCTTTGTTAATAAACGATGATAAAAATATTACAGAGGATCCGAAAGATCTCATAAGGAGGCTACTGGTTGTGGAACCGAGCGAGCGAATTGATTTGCGCGACGCTCTAATGCATCCCTTCTTCCATACTGTGGTGAGCGTCTTCGTATTTTATGGTGTCCTAGTACTTTTCCAGCTAATGTAATATGCCAAATGAAAGTTAGTTAAAGGAAAATCGGTGATATTTTTGAACCTTCCGAGAGCCTGGTATCTGGGTATATAGTTTAAAATACATTTTTGGTATGTATTTGAGTTTCTCTTTAATAAAGGTAATGTAGAATTCGTATTGATATGTCAACCAGCCTCTGTCAAACGATAGCAATATCAAATAATTGTAGAAGTGGCCGAACCACTTACTTGATTTACAATCATTTGGAGGTGTTAAAAACTTTATGTACTAGAGAAAATTCGCTTGAAAGTTACAATTAACAATAAATACCTACGCTATTAAACATTGCAGCGAAATGTTTAATCTTGCCTCATAGTATTGGGCAAGTATGTATGCGAAGATCTCTCCTTTAATCGTATGTATTTATTCCATTTGCGTTGTCTTTTGTAGCGGTTGAGTAGAGAAGAAGTTTGATATTGACGCACATTATTTAAGGTTTAGACGTAAAACACAGGAATAATTAAGCAATATGAGATATCCAGTAATGTGATAAAGTAGCTACAGCATTATCGTTTATTTAATTTTAAATATTGTATTACTATCACTTTTAAGTAACTTTATATAGAGAATGCAGTATTCTTGGCATGAATTTCATCTTAGTGACACACCGACACCGACAAATGCTGTTCAAATTTACCGCTTCGCAATTGAGTATTTTATGTGAATTTCTTACGCTTCTCTTAAACTTGAAACCGCACTTTATACGGTGTACGGAGCACTGCAAAGCTTATTGTGACTGAAATTTTAAAATTCTTTTTTATTTTATGCTAGCCTAGTTAAAATTTGCTCATGTAAATTTAATAAAATCAATGTTAATGATACATATTTAATATTATTATGGTAACAAAGTAAGTGTCTTCAATATTTTCCGTTATAAAACATGTATGATTAATAAACATGTATGATGAATAAAGTGCTTTAGAAATTAACTTTAAAATTAAAAAAAAATTCTAAAAGGCAAACATTTTAACTGGGCTGACATAATATTTGCAGAATATGCACATTTTCACCCACACTGTTAAACCAACAGAATGCATCCTCAAATTTCGAATGATTCAAAAATCAACAACAGCATACCGTTGGTTCTTTTAATTTTCTTTTGCTGGAATGTTTATATAAACCTCCTACAATGTGCTTCGCTCCTGGTAGCTATGGGACCAGGACATGACGCCGCTCAAGAAATCGCTGACTGGTACCAGCCGAAGGATGTCCAGGATTGAACAATTGACCATGGTAATATGGCCGTAGGCATCAAATAAAATTTCCCATTTGCATATTGTTATGTCATAGCAAACAGCCCACATTACGTTCGTACACTACTGACATTTGAACATACATGACATAACCCAATTTTCAAAAGGTTGTCAATGCACCTGCAACCCTCGGGTGTAGCAGATGTCCATGTGCGGCGGTATTCACTTAACATCAGGTGAACCGTCTGCTCGCATGGCAACTCTTTTCACATAAATAAAATGAACATATCAGATAATACGCACTAACTTTTAAAAGGAAAAAAATAACAGACCCGTAGAGGTTTTGTTACTTAACAGATTTTTTTTAACATTATTGATCTAAATGTTGTTAAGAATTTATCTTGTTAGCTTTTATTTGGAGTAATATCGTGTAACTTTCATACATATTCGCTTGCTATTAAAAACTGTTTAAATAACATAGCGTTAACAATTGCTGTCAACATTTTGTTTCCCATTAAGTTTAACAAATATACTGTATTTCAAAAACAATAAATGTTTCGCCTCGACAAGTTATACCAATGACGTCACAATACCAACACACAATCACACGAACATTAAATTACGCATATGATAAAGTTAAACAGGACATAATGCAAATGTATGCAAATTCTTAATTCTGTTCTATACTTAAAACCTTACAATTATCGCTTGAGCCTAGTTGCACGAGACGCATGTTCGCACGTTATCCTATTTCAAACTACCTTGCGCTCTCGCTACGCACAAGGTTGAATTATCATCAAGACAGTGGCCTGCAGCATTGTGGTGTGATGCGTAAAACTCTGCCATAAATATACGTACAATTACGACAATAACTCGAATTGTCAGTATAAATAACTATTCTGATATTCAACGCTCAATTTTTTCGGCCGCACTATATTCCGTGCGTTGTAGCGTGGTGTAAGCTTCTAGTATTTGATTCGGGGAAAAAAAACTGATTTATTATAATCATTATAATAAATACATTGAGTATTACGAAATTCTTGGAAAATATACATTAAGAAGAACTGTAATTGAGAATATGTTTAGTAATCCATTGATATCCATTTTTATATTTATCGTCTGTGGGAAGGCGACGCAAGGAACGTCACTATCCGTGCGCTCCAAGTAATAAAATACAACATTGCATTGCCTTGCCTACAATGTAGCGCCACATACCTATTACAGAACTTGATAGGCGTGATTTGACTGACATCTTTCACCCGCTTACACCCGTTATTACAGCGCGCGAACTGTATGTATATTAGAATTGATTACGGAGTGCAAAAAACTGCCCGCCAATGCGCTGCCGGTCGCCGTCGCATTGGTGTGCAACAGGCCTAAAAAGGTTCGTCGTTCATCGATCAAACAGGCGATAAAATCGGGCGGTTTCAACGCGCGCGCCAAGCTGCGGCTCGCCTTCGTGGTGGTGCGGGCGGCGGTGCGCCTCCGCCGTTTGCCGCACACGGCGGCGCGCGCTGTGCCGCTCGTCGACGCGCTGCGCGACCCGTACACGATGCGCGCCCTGCGGAAGGTCAGTGACCTCTGCGGCCGTTCTGTGCGCCTGGTACCTCGGCGCCCGAGAATGCACAATAGTTCTGCTTTTTTTTATTTTTTTTTATTTTGTGTGATTTCTACGTCCACTTTGTTTTTAATTTAATTTGGTGCGTTAATCCTCTCTGTGTCTCACTCAAACTCTCCCTCTCCCACTAAAATATAGTTAACAATAAGTACAGCCTTATTTGTGACAACTCACCAAAGCAACTTTGTGTCATCGTGAGCAGGAAAAAAGTTGGATTTAGATTATTAAAAAAAAGTTATGGACGGTATACATTTATCGCTTGACAAGAGGTTTGGCCATTTCAGAAATGGCAAATCCGAAAATATTTAAATTCATGATCTATTTTTCTTTGCAAATTTAAAAACAGTGAACAATATTGTTTAGAAATAATTCTTAACTCAGTTGCGGTTTAGAAACGACCCAATAACTCGTAAATACAACAACCAGACTTAGCTAACGAGATAACATTAGAAGAAATTTATTGAATTATTAACTATTCACTTAACGGCTACAAACATACGCCTATTGCGGTAGCGTTAGAATGTGTTTCTACAGACTATGATATATGTATAACAAATGATACATATCGTAATCCTAGTGAATTAACCCGAATATTAACATCGATGACGCGATCCCAGTAGCGAGAAACTTGTTACCCGTTATACGCTTGTCACCATCTTTTACATTTTAGGCTTAAAAATCTAAAATTTTAACCATCGCTGCTTATTCCTCCTAGACAAAAAGCCGAACTTGCGTGAACATGTAACGGGTATTTTGAAACTGTTAATTAGTTATTTATTACTAGATTCATTATATTTCGGAACATATGTATTATCCAGGTCATCGACGGCTGCGCATTTCGAGTGTACGGCCACTGGGTCAAGAAAGGGGAGGGCCAGAATCGCGCGGCGCTGTTTGAAAATATGCCGAAGACCGAGCTGAAAAGTCTCTACGTGAGCAACCTGAGCCGATAGCCGCCGCGGCGCCGCTTCTCGGTGCACCCGCTCTGCAGTCTGCTCTCCTGGTTTTTTGGTAAATATTGTTCGTTATATTCTCGCCTTTAATTTCTAAATAACATTTCGTTATATAAAATTATGATCATCTTTTCAATGTAATTTAACAGAAGTACATAAAAATCTCTCTTTACAAAACCATCATGTGCGAGCGAGACAGAATTCGATTTATTGTGAAGAGGAAACGATGGGACAATATTCTCGTATGCCAAGAAAATGTTCCGCATGGTGTACGTCAAGTTCTTCCTACATACGTTTAAACCTACCTATATGTTGATCCCTTCGGATCAACTTATAGGTAGGTTTTAAAATTATATTTACCATTTTTGATTGTTGTATATTCATATGTTCTTTTTTTGTCAGTGGGTTGCTTAAAATTAAAAATTGTAAAATTATAGCTTTAAAAATATAGCTAAGGGATATCTAGACCACGTCAGCTTTTCAGATTTTTGAAGCTACGATGCCACAGACAGCTACATGATACACAGACAGACACACACACAGACATGTCAAACTTATAACAACCCTCTTTGTACATCGGCGGTTAAAACAGATCAATTTCCTTGCGGTCTTCATTAATGAAACATATTGCTTCAATTATTCCAGGAGTTATCGTGTACCAGGGCGGCAGCGTCACGGAAGAAGTCGAGCCCCGTCCCGCCGACCGCTCCGACCCATAATACCGCGTCCCGTGTGATGTAGGATGTAGGTTAGTCTTAGCAACGCGTGCAAATCGACCCCTGCGCCGTAGCCATCGCTGTCGCTTGCTTTGAACACGCGCGAATCTAGGCCGATGCGTTACGTTAACGCCTTACGTTACGCGTTTACGTCAGCCCCCTCGCGGTATCGACAACGGTACGATATTAGAAACGCAAACCAGTTTATTTTGCAGTGCACTTTTGGCGAGCTCGTAAGCGACTATGGCAACCATATTGTTAATCGTACTCGTGTGATCGAAGAGTTTCTTACACTGTTACTATACGGTAAGACGTTGTTTCTTTCTTTTCTCAAAATTAAAGGTGAAATATAGCGGATAGTGTTTTTTAGTTAGTATTATGTGTGATTCTGACGGTTTTCATCTCTCTAGTTTTTAACTGCAGTGTTTGAAACGCTTTTAATTTGTCTTGTCCCAATTTGAACTTTATCCGCATCAAATTTTTACATTAAATATAACTTTGTGCAAGAGATGATTAATCCATCACAATAACCTAATAGTGGTTATTAGACAGATAGTTAGATGAATTGCCATTTTAGTTGGAATATTACGGTCGACTTGTTACATGATTCTGAGTATTATGTTAGAGTATTGCTTGGATATTCAATTTTAACATCATCGGAAAACTTCAATGCAACTGAAATAAATATAGGCATTTTTAAATTTTACTGAGAAAATACAGAAGGTATGGTCAAATTGTCAATTGTACAATTTGAAGTTAAAATTGAATTTCTCGTGTATATTTTCAATCCTCAACAAAGAGGTGCTTTATAAAGACAGTTGTGATTAACCATTTTCATATATTTTACTCATATAATACTGCATTATAGCAATGCAAACTTTGCACTTGATGCAATTGCTTAGAGGTGAACATCAAGTTTTACATATTGTAACTTCATTTTATATGTACCAATCTTTAGTTATATATACGTATATATATGAAATATATAAACATATATAGAAATTAAATGTATATATAAAATAACCATACATATATATTATACCTACAAGAGGGGCCTTTGGAATAACATACTTTCGTTAACATGTGCTGTATACTTGTTTGTTGAATTAAGTTCTTATGAAGGATAGACTTTCAAGGGAAACCGCCTAAGGGAAGTCAAAAATCTTTAGCAGTTTCTAATCAATCTTTTTGTTCATTCACAATTTACCTACCTATTTACACACTTCATAGTTCAGTCGATTTTCTTAAATTTTACTTCAACGAAAGTATTAAGAGTAAATATAAATTATGATATTATATACATCATCATCATCATGATTTGTATGAACTCATTCATTTTAAACAAAACAATTAACCTATTTTCTAGGATTGTTCCCTTTTTTATCTTCTGTGAAGCTATTAGAAATTAATTCTTTAGTTAAATACAAATAAAATTCACATCATCATTATTCTAGAAAAGAAAATATAGGAAACAGCAGATAGCATGGAATATAGCCAAAAACAATTTTGTCTATTTTTATAAGGGTTTGTGTAGAAAAAGCTGAACACCTTTTTATGAAATTTAAAATGTATGTCAGTTCAAAACAAAGTGGTCCATATCCTATTTGTTTATAATAAGGACATCACTTTCTTTTGATTTGATATTTTTATTGAAATGAATCTTTAATAGAATAGGTCTATTGTACTTGCGTAAAAACTCAAACACAAGTATTAACACAGTACAATATAAGAAGCAATACACATTTTTATTATATTGTAGTTTTTTAATATGGTGGTGCCTTTCGAACAATTAAGTAGTTGAAACTTCCATAAATTAAATTTGTTCACTTTGACTTTTAATCTTTTGTTTAAATTGTTTAGCCCATGTTTTATAGGACATCAATATACAAACATATGTATTAAATTTTAATATACATTTATATATATAAGTATGTATATTTTATCGATAGCCATTGCAGCGACTATTATTACATATATATTTGTATAGCAAATAACATCGTTTGAGTGTAAACCACCTGTTTAAGAACAACCTGTAATGTAAAATTAAGTATGAATTATATTTAATAGCAATAATCTAATCGAATAATAAAATATATTTAATTATAAATATTTGGTATTTTATTCAGCCTTAACAAACATAATTTTTATACACAAAACAAATATCTAGAAATTTAATTTTTTTAATAGTGCTAATCTTTGCACTTAAGATTGAACATGTGCAGAAATTAGCACTAAAAAAAAATTTAAATTTCTAAAAAAAGCAATGGCGACATCTTTTTTTTCGAATTATTGTTCTAAAAAAACGATATTCGAATTTTTTTGCCAAGCATTGCTTCAAATGCTAATAAACAATGTAGATAAAAGACGTTAAGATTTTCATTTGTCAAAAGGCGTGACAATCAGCCGTTTACCTTAGTGGTTAAAGCGTTAGGCCGCGAATACCGAAGACGTGAGTTCGATTCCCACAGCGGCGACAATCTTTTCGTATTTTTTCTACATATTTTAATATGGGTATCTAATTTTATGCATAATAATTACATTAACCAGTCTAGAACAGTTGTTACTTACAGAGCTGATGTCTAATCTGCTGTAATGAAATCTTTACAACAATTAGAATCTCTAGAATGGAGTAATCAATATATTTGGAGTCTGAGAAATATTATGGCAAATTGTTTCTATTAAAATAAGGCATGGTTTAAGCACTGCATAAAAATCTACAATGGACAAGTAAAAACCTATTCACTCTTCAAGGCAAGAGCAAATAGGTTTTTACTGAGCTAGCGCGCTTACCATCAAAGGCTGCGTCGCGTCTTACCATCAGCTGGGATGGCAGTCAAGTGCTGGCCAGTTCAAAAAAAATATATTGAAAAACAAAACCGACTTCAAATACCTCGCTCTGTATTCATTTTATAATTGATTTACAGGAGTTCCCCGAGTACCTCCGGAGCCCAAGTACAATACCAATGAACCTAATATAGGACCACACGGGAAGCACCAGCTCTCAAATCAAAAAATAATCATCAGAATGGATTCACCGAAAGTTATGTTGATAAAGTAATCACTTGTCCGCAGGCACTGGCGTCGAACTAAAAATACTTAATTTATTATTTTTAAAAGATAAGGTAAAGTTAGCAGTACATAACCAACATGCGAGTGAAAATCAAGAGATATTTCCACTCGCACGCTTCGACCATTCGCTAAAAAACAGGTTCGTTTTTGGGTATCACTTTTGCATTCAGCCGTAAAAGGGTCATTGCGTATCTTCCTAAATACGCAATGACCCTTTTCAGTTGTTTTAAGGACGCAATTATATATATATATGCATATTATACAATTTACTAATTGTTTTAAAGTTATAATATTAACAAAGATATAATTGCCTGCTTCCCCAGCAGTTGCTTTAAGGAGGCAATTATATGTGTATATTATACAATTTACTAATTGTTTTAAAGTTATAATAGCAGGGTGACACTGAAAGTTTTTATAACTCTCCAGTTAAAAACATTGCCAGTAAAAACTTCTTCTAAATTTTGAATATAGAATAATTTGATGTTTTGCATTAATTTGTCATTTGTTTTTGTGAATTGGCGGAAGTCCTGATGTCTGGTTACACCTCAAACTGAATTTAACGCGAGAAAATTTTCGTTGTGGTCTTACTCAACAACAAAGCTATGGTAGACATCGATTAGAACGAATCCCATTCCGTGCCACTGTTAACAATTTATTGATTCAGCGTGAGCTGAAGTGAGTGTGATAATCACATTTGAAGATAATATCAGTGTGGCCCGCCCGACGCACGATAGAGGAAGATAAGAGAATGACCTACCAGAAGGCTATGGCAAGCTTAGGCATCGGTATCAGTCAAGTAGAAAAATAATTGCACTACCATTTGGGCGTCAGGAAGCTATTTTTTTAAATTATATTGAATAAAGAAATTTTGGCTTAGACTTTGTACCAGATGGATTCCCAAACTATCGCCTTCCCATGGATTGGTGTCGCGATGTGTCTGAATTAATTATCAAATCGTCACAGGTGATGAAAGCTTGACATATTGCTACAAATACGAAACCAAAAGACAATCTGCTCAGTTGGGGTTTCTTTAGGAGCATCGGCCAACTAAGGAGAAGGAAGGAAGAAGAAGTCTAGGAAAAAGTTTACTACCTCGTTCTGTGGTCGGAAAGGTCATTTCGCGACCGTTATGCTGAAAGATGGAAGGACACTTAATGTAGACTGGTATGTCGACTGTTGTTTCGGAAAATGTTCGACATCAGCGTCCTCGAAGCTGGATCCAACGATTCAGTGCACTCCGCGAAACGAACAATTGAATTGACTAAGGCTGGTGTCGCAATAAATGAGTCATCCGCCATATAGTCCCGACCTGCCGCCCTGTGACTTTTATGGAAAGAACCTTAGAATCAAAGATATACTTCGTGATATTCCCCATACCAGCCCTGAAGTTAAAAAGATTGCGTTCAAAAATGCTCCCTAAGGAAAAATGGTGGGTCCATTCTTCCTGCTTTTCTGTGGTTCCATCGAATGCGTTGATGTATAGTGAGGAACGGAGACTACTTCGAAGAAAAATAAAAGTATTAGCGTTTTTCTACATACATTGAGCCGTTATGGTTTTCTGAGAACTTTCAGTTTGACCCATGTATCGTATAATTCTGAGCGACGGTGTTTCGATGCACGGTCACCTCAGTTTAGGTTATAGCTCAGTTTGATTGTAATTCTGTTTTTATTACTTTGTAGCAACGTTTTGAGAAAAATATAATTAAACAAAACAATTTTTTTAACGTGGAGATATCGGTTTATTGATACCGAGCCTTGTCTGATTGACACCGACTGAAGGTGTCAATCAGACAAGGCTCTTCGAGAGCAGATGACGTCCACCACCTCAGGGTGGGCGCCATCTGCTATAATGAGCGGTCACGAGATCTCCATTACAACACTATCCCCTCTTTGGCATGGCAGCCCCGTTGAAAAAATGTTTTATGAAAATTAAGAAAAAGACTAGAAAGTGCAAGCTATAGTAATTACTTATAGAACATGATTGATGATTTATAGAATATTAATATTTTGTGGAAATGGACCTCGATGGTCCATAAAATTCTTTAGTGTATTTGATAATTCTGTATATTCTTCATCAACATTATTTTTCAAAAAGTCGTTTCAGTTTGAGTATTTTTATAAAAACAAATACGTATTGTAACTAAGCACAATATTCGCGCTAAGTTACAAAACAAGCGCAAGAAAGTTAGGTGGCTACTCAAAGTTTCAATTTACGCAGTTTCGTTTCCCACAAAAACGAGTAAAGCAAACGGATCGTCGTGAGCAAAATGCTTTGGGTTGGAGCGCCAGAAATAAACCTGCGCAAATTTCAAGCGGTGAAAATTAGCCAGACGTCAACTTCTTATTCCGCGCGCAATTCAACCGGGCGGCGGAGTGAAAGTCGGGCGGGGACGGCGCACGTGTTGGGCCCGACACACACAAAAGTAGGCGAGTACGCGACGCCGACCGCTGACCGAACAACTGGTTGCGAGAGAGGCAAAAGTATGGAGTGTTAGATAAACAAATGCGCGAGCGTGCCGCGTCACCGGTCGACACGTTTAGGCCAGCGCCGCATGCTGAGCCGTTCACGATTAGACTCGATCGACTCCGAGAGTAGCTCCTTTGAGTAACCAGTAATATAAGTACGGATAATAGCGCCGAAAACAGCAGCGCAAATTTCCTGGATGAAATGAATATTTGTGATTTGATTGAAGCTAGTTCGGGCTTAGAAATCTAAGTTATGTTTTTAAATAGGATTTTAAGGATTTTTTTAATTTTAATAGGTAGGATTATAAGATGTTGTAAGTTCCTACCACAAAGATTAGACAACAATATAAATTATTGAAAAGTTGACGGATTAACTATGAGTTCTGCATATTAAGTAAAAGGTCCTGTATTAAAACTATAAATAAATTTAAACAAATAAGTTCGTTAAGAAAATACATTCGAAACATGTTTCTCCGCTGTCAAAATTCGAACCTGCGCCTTCCAGATTACGCGTCCATGCGTACTAGCCACTAAGCTAAGCGATCGATATCCTCACCGATTCTTATTTAAATTTAAGGTCATATTTAATTTCTCGGTGCTCGAATTAAAACGAAAAATGTCGACCTCGAAGGCAAAATAAAATGCAATAAAAATTTGGATTGAAGTGATCAGCGCCGCAATGTTAGTTCGCGAGCTAATCGCGTGCGTGAGCGGGCAGGCGCGGCCCTAGCGGAGCGGCGCGTATTCGATCGCGCTGCAACGGCATCGATCGCGCGAAGGCGGCGCGCGGTTGGCGCGTGGTGGTGGTCACGTGACGCGCGCGCCGCGCCGCCATTGGGCGGGCGGTGCAGCGGCCACGTGAGCGGCGCGCGGCGCGCGTGGCCAGTCGCGGCGTGACAGCGGGCGCGCTCGTACAGCGCGCGGCCGTGCCGCCCCCCAACATGAGCCTCCTCGACACGCTGCTCGAGGCGGCGCGCTTCATCGAGCTCCAGGAGCGGCGCCTCCAGGCCGGTAAGTCCCACGCCGGCACGCAGGGGCAGCGCGCGCCCGCACTCCGCCCCGCTCTGCGCAACCGCCCTGGCGCCCGCCGCTCTTGACCTTGAACGGCACGCAGCCGCGGCCCGCCCCGCCCCACGTAAACAAAGGAAATCCGAATTTCGCCGGTCGCAACGTGTTACCGCCGCGCAGCGTATCGTCGCATGCAGCGGGATAAAATATGCACAAGCGACCGCACGGCGTCTAGAAGCGACCGGTGAGCTAGTTTCCTTCGTCCGTCCCGCGACGAAAAACCCCGCGCGAACGCCGCTCGAATCGGTGCACAAGCGATTCTGACCCTTGTCAAACTTTGGTAACTTTGAGTTGTGAGTTGTTTATTATGTTTTTCAAGCGTATGACGTTGGTGTAAGTTACTTGTAGAGTTTTCTAGCAAAACAGTTTGCGCGCGAATGTGTAGGGATCCACGTAAAACTACGAAGCAACGCACACACGCCTCTGCCCTGTTGCGTGTGGGTGGGCGATGCCGTTTGTACATTTCACCCAGCCTGCGTGTTTTCCTACGATTGTTTTCGAACGCGTACTGTGTAGCGTACACTGTGAGGTGCGTTTGTGTTGAATTCGATTTCGCGGCTTGCGTGACGCATTGGCCGCTGGGACCGCGGCCCGAGCGGTTTGGTCAGCTGATCGAGGCGTGCGCCGTGGGGGGCGGGGGGAAGGGGGGGGGGGGGGGTGTTGCCGTAGAGAGACGGCGGCGGGCGACGGGGCGGTGCGGGGTGAGGGGGACAGCCGTGATGTGCACACGCATCGCATGCGCGACACGATGCATTCATAAACACCTTAAATACACTCGAGGATTTAAAAAAGAAGTAACTTAAAACTAGCACAAGGCACAGTTGCGTAACGTTCATGTAGTCGTTCATTCGACGGTGGCGTATCGTCGGACGGCCGATGTTCTCATCGTCCCCGGTACATTATCGAACTAGATAGGCTCGGCGAATGGCACCACGTATCTTTTAGTCACGAACATGCCTACATAAATAGCGAACATAAAGAGGACTCGACAACAGGATAAGAGTTCCGAGAAAACGATGCCCCGTTTAATTCCTTTTGTTCTTCATTTAATAATTTCAATTGGTAAAACGTAAACTTCTTACATAGTGCAGTCACAGAACACTCAGCGCTGATTGATGACGATACATTATTAGGTGTATACAAGTATGTGTATCACATAAACGAAACGTGTATGTTTACGTTTACATAAGCAGGTACCGCATTCGACGGCGAGACAGGAATTTTTTTACAGCGAAGAGGGTACGTGTCTAGTGGGTTCCATTGCGAAAAATATACGCTAAAACACAACAACGTAGACTCGCATGCGACAAAAGAACAAGCGATGAAACAAAAGGTAAAGAGTTGGAAGGTAGACAGGCCGCTTGTTCTTTGGTGCTAGACTAATATTTCAACTATTATTAAAAGGAAAAAAGTAACTTTTAAGCGTCGTGTTCAGCAGCTCATAAGAGAGAACAGGGAAAAACACACAAATTTACTATAGTTCCTATTTGAATTAAGAACGGCTAATCTTCCCATGCGTTTCTTGAACAATGATTCCAAATCGTAAATCGAAAATTTTCGTTTAATCTCATCGAACGTGTTTGGGAGACGGCTGGCAATTGTAGCGTCACCGCAAGGCAATATGGTCGGACTATAAGCGTTGTTATCGTGTTTACACGACACTTATCAATGGACGGCAAGCAGTAGAGCCACACGCGTGCCGTAATGTTGGAATAACTAACTGGCTCTGACCGCGCCGTGACGCGTCCGCTAATTTCTCGTTTCTCGTGTACTCATCGATAACGATGGCGACTTGAATTCCTGCCTATGAACCGACTTGCGTTTGGCCACATACTTGCAACCAAAGGCTCTTCCTAACACTTTTGCAAACCGCAACCAAGTGTGGTTGGAAATGGAAAAGAATCGAGAACGATTGTGCAAAGACTTTTTTTACATTTAATACGTGATACGTATTCTTGCTGTTACCAACTCTATACAGGCTTTGCGATAAAAAGTTTTCTTCTCCATGATCGAGAACGGCCCAATAAACACCGTTCTGGCTTCAATTGCAGGTTGCAAACGAGTTGTTTGCGAGCCGTAAACAAAAATGTATAAATACCTAACAACTGTACAATAAGCCAGAAAATGCGATTTCGCGTCGACGGATTTGCACTTCACAACATTCCGTTCTTAAATAGACTAGTCGAAGTCGGAGAAATTGTCTGTCGCAGTCAGGAATGTTTTAAATTGTGTTATGTATATTTTTTTTTTCGAAATCAAATACCTCAACTTGTGAGTTTTTTTTTTACAATCGAACAATCGCACCGTCAAGGCTCGCGTGAGGCCGCGCTAGTACCCGGCGAACAGAACGGTGAAAGGGATCGCATGACCTCGCCACCTGCGATTGCTCTGAGGACGCGCGCGCCCGCGCCAGCCATAGAGTCGACACGTCTACTTATTGTTTAGACGCACTACGATTTTATGTTTCCTTTGTACACTACATAAAAGTGCAGTTTTCTCGGATTATAAATTATTCAAAATTAGCAACAATTTCCAATTTAAGTTATCCATTCCCAGACCTTTCGAAAACTTTTCTAAAAGTCAGTGACACCAGTACAAAATGTAATTTACATATTCCGCGCCCGTTTAGAGCCTTGATGTATTATTGAATTGAAATATTCACTTCTTTAAATCTTACGCCCGTGGCGACAGACGACATCGAAAACCGGACTTGACTTGTAAATGCAGAGCCAGGAGGAAGCAATTTGAAAACCTATGGCGTAGCGTTTTAACGCGTTGCCTATGCATTATAGTTGGTCACCGCTACGCTCCACGCGTCCCGTTAAGTGTTGAAATTTCAACAATTCCGTGTACGTGCTGCATTGAAAATTTTGGCAATTGAACATACCTTATGTGGAACAACGACCCGTGGTATAAACCCAATGACAATAATATCTTATGTATATTTGTATATAATACCAATATACATATATGATATTATTAACAAACGTTTGTAATACAAATATAGATATGACACTTGCGCACTGAAACTGTGGCGCTCAAATTATGCCAGTTGGTGTAATTCTTTAGACTGCTATCTCTTTCCGTGTCATACGTCCTATACCGTCTGTCACATTCACTCATACAAGGTCATATAATGTGAATGTATTTTTAAACGTCGCGCAGTATGGACATGCGTCATCTAACTATATTATGAATCCATGTTAGTGATGCTTTAATGAGTAGCTTTGAATGTGCTTTTTGCTCTTCCGTTAGCGTCTAGAACGTTTCCCTCACATTAAATTGATTAAGTTGGGTAAATTAATTTAACTGTATTCCTAAATGAGAAATTTTAGTGCGCTTCATTATTTAGACACTACCTTTCGTACATTTACGATTAAAATTGTATTACGATGCCCGTTGGAATGTTTTTGTTAACGTGCTGCCAGACGCCTTAATTAATGTACTATATTTAATTACTACGAAATTCAGTGTGTTCATGGGATGATCGGATTGGGGATAGTAAATAGTAGTAAATTTACGGCGAAAATTCATGCATTTTCTCTCCAGTAATTTTGGCAGTTTTCTTTTTTAAATAGTAATTAATGTTTTTTTATTTGATTATAATTTTACGTAAAAGTAATATTTACTTTAGCTTTTATCCTTTCCTTGATGAGCTTTATTATTGATGACGTATATTAGTAACAACATACATTCAGATAAATGCACATAATATTTATATCTAAATTTGTATGTTGGTGTATTTTTTGGGTTCCGGGTTTTACCCAAAGGTTGAAACTGTTTGTCTGTAGCCAGGCTGTATCTCATGAACCGTGGTAGGCAGTAGAAATGTTCACTGATGATGTACTTCTGTTGCCGCTATAACAACAAATATTAAAAAACAGAATAAATAAAAGTTGGGCTCCCATAGAACACATGATTTTTTTTCCGTTTTTATAGATAATGGTAGAGAATTACGGAACCCTTAGTTCGCGAGTCTGACTCGCATTTAGACGGTTTTTTTTATAATGTAATGAGTAATGTAAATAATACAAATCTCGTGTTTTCTAATGCAAAATGTCAAAGGAACAGCTGTTAGTGTATTTGTATTTTCAAATCTTCTGCAAGAGATCAACAGCCTTCAAACCTTTGTTCAAGAGTGAAAAAAAATTTTTACTTATTTTTCTTTTGTTTCGCTAAAGAAGTATAAATTCTTAAGTAAATTATAAATTTTTAATTTAGTGTGATAAAAACAAATTGTTATTTACAATTTGGTAATAAATTTTTGTGCGACTTTGAAAAATTATAGACTGCAAATATCAACTTAATAAAAAAAACGAAATAATATTATAATAATAAATATCTTCGGACATGATTTTACACTGTTTTATAAGTTACCACAGTTGGTAACTGAGAAACATACATAAAATTAACATTATCAAATCCAAACTATAGATATAAACACCCAGCCATTGAAAAGTTATATGTTTTCCACACGCTATTTCAGCAATGAGAATCGAAGCCACGCCCTCTGACGTAAGTGGCAGCTACACTATAAACCGCCAATAAGTTCGAATGATAACGATGATGATTAACGATAGTCATTCGTTTGTAATTTACAAATGTTTACTCCGGCAAAATAAAAAAAAAAAAACTCAGGGTAACTACGCAGCAATAACCGATAAATTTCGGAGATAAGCTGCCGTGTGTTTTAGATACTCTGCTCGCTTTGAATTCACACTTGAAATTTCCGCCTTAACATGCTATGTGTAAAGATGCACCCCGAATTTACACTTAAATTATTATAATCACTTCTATTACAATTAACTCAATTCACTAGCTCGAAGCAACTCAAGACAACGTGTTACGTCTATCACTCCAAAACGTCAATTGCCGCCAACTAACAACCGAACAGCCATTTATATTGTTGTAGGTGTTGCCACCATAAACTAATAGAAATACTCTAGATCAGTATTGCCTACTAAAATATTTATAACCCAATTTTTATGTTTGCTAACATATGTATACGACAAACTATGAGATCTTTACTGTAGCTATTGGTTATAGCTAAAAGTTTAGTACTAAAAGTTTAATACTAACCACTACTACATACAACATCATCAATCTATGAGATCTGCGCTAAAAGTACATTGATTTACTGTAGCCACCGATACTATAAGTTTATACTTATTCATAAACAGTTTTAAATCAACACATAGAAGGATTCGCTGTTTCCCGAATGGACTTGTCCTTACGGAGATGTACTACCACCTCACAGAAGGCCATCGTGATGTGGAAGTGTTATACTTCTGCGTTAGCCTGTCTGGCGAGTGAGGTAACGAGTTCCCGTTTCATTAAAAGGTGGCAACGCATTTGCAACCCTACGGGTGTTGCAGATGTCCAAGGGCGGTGGTTGTAACTCAACATCAGGTGAACCGCCAGCTCGTTTGCCATCTCCTGACATAATAAACAAAATAATTTTCACAGTCCGATTCAACGATAGATTTGCAGAAGACCATTGGAATCACTTTACATCAGTTCAACCTATTTCCATGTTACCATCTGATCACAAAACAAATGCTTTAAATGTACACGCTATTAGAAAAAACTTATATTATTCCTTACATTATGGAATAATCTAGTTATGGATTGGATCATTATTTAAAAAAATACATTCCATTTATAATTGTATCAGCAGGAACTGACATCGAACGGAGGTTTTTTGTTACACGAATCTTTTTTGTATTACTCTTAGCACTAACTCCATATTCTAATGCCGCACATATTTTATCATTTTGCTCCAAAGCTTTAACAATGTGCAAACGCTGACGTCATTACACGTGTCACCGATTTCTCCACGTGTAATTTGAGGCGCGTTTAATAAATCGTCAACTTGATAACCCATTAATCACTGTATAAATTTTTGACTAAATCGTGAAAGAGGAAAAAATCTCGTTACCAATATACATCGTTGGATTTTATTTGTAAGGTGTTGTAAAGGATTGCCCTATAGATCTCGCCAATCATTGCTGAAAATGCAATAGGACGAAAGTATATAGATGTCAAGATGTACGCGCCCTGAGGTCATCGGCCGCTTGGCTCAGTTGGTAAAGCGTCTGGGCGAGAAATCAGAAGACGCTGGTTCGAATCCCGCAGGACTGAAAGTTTCTACAAAAATTAAAAAAAATGTTGAGTTTGAAAAACAAATGTTTTACACTGATTCAGTTGTGTTCAATTTCTTTTTAAATTGATCGCTAGGATCGTGGCCCGGGCCAAATTGTTGAATCGAACAAAGATATTGTTGATAAGCACTAATTACTAAATGAAATAATTTTTACTTTTTAATCGCGTCAATACAAGAAATCACTGAACTATAATAACTTTAGTATTCTGTAAATTATAATTACTATTAACTAAAGACTAAGTCGAGCCCAACGAACAGGGTTTAAACAAAACAGAATTCTAAATAACCTATGTGACTTTTCTTGTATACTGGACTGGCCCAAATTGAGAAAAGATTTAAAAGTAATAAAGCAAACTACTTTCTTTTTGTTTCGTGTAAGAAAATGTTAAGCGAGCGGCCGGTTTAGCCAATGTTAAGTGATAACGGCGGATTAACGGTGGTAGGGCCACGCAACACTGTTGCACGAATGGGCAAGTCCGTCCGGGTAAGTACCACGACCTCACAGAAGACCGGCGTAAAGTAGAAGTGTTATACTTCTGCGTTTCGTCTGGTAAGTGAGGTAGCCGGGGCCCACTTTATTTAAAAGTGGCAACGCATTTGCAACCGTGGTGTCACCGGGTGTTATCAATTAACATCAGGCGAACTGCCAGCTCGTTTGCCACTTTCTCACATAAAAAAAATATATCAATTCCACTACATACGGTCTCCATCACATTAACATATTAATAATAGTAATAATTAAATAATTCCCGTACGCATAAAACATGATGCCTATAATTAACCTTTCTCAGGTTTGCATTAACTAGCATCATATTTTGCAATCCTAGTGTGTCAACACCCTTAATCTGTCTCAGCTGACATCCAAAATATGATAAACATATCTGTGGACGAGGACCTTGACATATGAATTAAAAATACAATAACAGATTCAAAAGTACCTCGTTCCGGAACTAGCTATGTTCTCGTATAGACCAGCGCATGTATTGCATGAAAATAACAAAGAAGAAACATTAAAAGTCGTGCATAGATTTGTTTCGTGTGAATATGAAAAAAGAAATTAGTCCGTTATATGCTGAGGAATGTACAAAAAGCGATTGTATAGTCCGTCTGTAATTATTCGATTAATGGAGTGCACAGATTAGCAAATACAAATAAATATCTATCGAGAAGTTAATTTAATCGTTTGTTCACTAAAAAAAAAAATCACTTTTCTGTGTTAATTATTGCCCAGTATTTTCTAGTGAATTGACAAACAACTGAAGGTTTATAATTTAATCAATTGTAACATGAATAGTGCCGGTATTCTTTGTTTGTGAAAAAGACATCAGATGCTCAAATTGTTAATTGGTTGCCATGGTCATACCGTTAAGTTGATGGTGGCTTTGCAACAGAAGCTTATTATCGCTTTGCAAACAGAAGTTGGTTGCCGTTTTGCAATCAGCTTCTGTTTGCTACATGTCGCTTTTTGGCTGACTATTGATGTGCGCGCATCCTAAAAATTACACTCATAATTTTTCCAAACGCGCCAAAACCAGTGTAACTTCAATAAGTTAAGAATTGAGACAATAAATTAATTGCTTGTTTTTTTTTTTTTAGGTTATTTATTCTTATAGAATTTATAAGCTTCATGATCTCGTTAAAAATGAACATTATTTAGATCTGACATAGCCTACATTTAAAATCCCCGCATTAATTTGCTTTGGTGTATTTTACTTTCAGTCTGTATAGCTTATGTACTGTCTTAGATTTTAGGTGAGAATTTATAATAAATCTTGTTTCGAATTCATCACGTAAAGCTAGCGGAGCTAGTAAACTCATTATTCATTTGAAATTAAACAAATTCGAGAAAATTTATCGAGATAGTCTATAGATAGTCTCTGTCAGGAAACTATAGAGGTTAGTGAATTTCAAATCATTTTAAACTAACTATAGTTTATGCATATTTAAAAAAGTTACATTTAAGGAGGTTTTATTTATTTATTTTTACTGACCCATAAGCGGTTATTTCTAATGGGTAGGTATGAGTGGACACGCAGCATGCACGGAGTGGTGCGTTGTTAAATAATAAATTCATTACTTTAATCGCTATCACCGACAGCACGAGGGAGCTTTCGCACGATACCGACTCCTATCTCGGCATCCGGTGGGTGGAGTCCCCCCGCGTTTCCACTTCGAGTCCCGTGTCGTTTTATGTTTCATATTGATTGCCGCAATCACCGGCAAGCTGATTCGTGTTGCTTTATTACGCGCGATACGTATCTGATACGATCCGTCCTTTTGAAACGTAAAAATATATTAATAAAAGTTTCAAACTGTGCGCACTTCTTTGCTCCTAGTAATATTTGAACTCGATTCCGTTGAAACATTTCAGTAAATTCCCCCAGTGCACCTCACCGAGAGTTTGGATCTCTCTTGTTTCACGCCAAACGTGAGACCGGCGATTTGGTGTTATCTGGCCGGTCCAGAAATAGAGTCTAGGCGTGATGCGCTAGCTGGGGTCGCGTCGCAACCTGCTAAACCGGCAGGTGTGGTTACACGGGGCGCATGAGGCGGGGGAGGTGTTTGTGCGGTCGCGCGGGCGGCCGGCGGCCCGGGCTGCACGCTGCACCGCGCCAAGGTCAGCCGACGCACGCATGCGCCGTACCCATCCCCCCTCCCCCACCGCCCCACCGCCCCACACCCGCCATGGCCAAACCGCACCCGCGCCGCTTATGTGTTCCTGTTACCCGCTCTCCGAATAACGCCCGCTCCCTCCATTTTTCAACATCACTGCTATTCATCCTATCGTCTGTCTGGCCAGCCAACGTGCGTAAGTTCATGGACGTCGCTCGCAATCGAGTTGCTTAAAATTGCTTTTAGTAGAAAATACCAATGAATACAGAACGTCCAATAAAAACGGTCAATATGTTGATATTAAATGGAACGCTTTAAAAGTTCGTAAATGTTCAACCTCCGTATAACGTTTTCCGGCCGTGTGTTCCCGATTCCGAAGTTCAATTTCGCGGACCGACGTCTAGCTATTCTTACAGTGATCATGTTTGTATCTCGCATGATCCAACCGTAGACATAAACATTATGAAGTGTACAGATAAAGATAACACGTGCCATTTGCTTGGCGTAGGCGCGGGCGGCGCGAGTACGTCGGAACAGCGCACAAACGCAACGGAGAAATCCAATTACATACATCTGTTAGTCCGTTGTTTATCATGTTGGGTTTAATTCCACTTTATCAACCGTAACAGAACGCTATGACGATTCCTTCTTAGTATTTTCTTCGGCTTTTGTTTTGTACTGCAATGTTAATGGAAATGGATTATTAATTATGTCGTGTCGGTCATTTAGGTTTAGTGATAACGCATATCAGATTTTGTCAAAGGTTAGCGATGTGTTTAGACCTTAGCGCGTTTCGCTCGCGTCTGTCTTTGCGGAGGCCGCCGACGGCGCCCACATTTCATTAGAAAGCTAAATAGCGTCGCGTACAACACAAGGAGCGCGTCGCCGCTCGGTCGCCTCCTACGTCCGCGCCGCTCGATTCGGTTGCAATGTTCCATTCACCTTATTCGCCGGCGTCGAGGTTCAGTGACTCCGCCGGCGACCGACTAACTCCTCGGACACGTCATCGGCGCGCTCACGCCGAACTCGGCGCCCCCTGTTAAAATTCCGCCGGCGTCCGCCGCCGCGACCTCGTTTCGCGGGCGAGCGCGACTCGCCACCCGTACGGCGTTATGTAAAGTGCTGAGGCGGACGGGACGGTGCAGCGGCGAGCGTTGCGCTCGGCCGCGTGCGCCCTCCTCCTCCCCCCCCCCCTTCCCCCCGTCTCCCCCTCCAACTCCGCGCCGCGCAGCCAGCGCCCCGCGGCCCGCCTCGCCTCGCGATTTCGTCGGTCGGTTTCACCGGCGCGGGTCGCGGCGGAGCGGGGCTCCGGAGGTCGCGCGCCTCCCGCCTCCGCGCCCTCGGGCGACGGGCGCGACGCGTAGTTCGCGTCAGTCGTCGAGCGGAGCGCGTCGGCGTCGGTAGGCTCCACGCGCAGACGCGTTGTCGTGCCGCCGTTGGACGCGCGGCGTGCGCCTTCCGCGCGAGTTCGTGTCTCGGTGGGGTGCGTCCGCGAGGGCGACGTGCGCGCGCCGGCTCCGGTCCGAAATAGCGTGCGTTATCACCGCGACCTCGGGCGGCGGGACGAGATAGCGCGAGGTCGGCGGCACCTGCGCCGCGGCCGCCCCACGTGCGCGCCGCGCCGCTGCAGCCGACAATTAGCGGACGTCTGCGGCCGCCTCCCCGGGCCGGCCGCGTCTCGCCCTTTAGGCCGTCTCGGGCGCGAATCGAACTTTTTACGTCCGCCGCGGCCGCTCGGCTAAATCCGCGCGCGAACAATCGCTCACGTTATACGCGATAGTATATCGGTACGGATAACCTTTCCTACGCGTCTGACCGTCGAGATATGCAATCGTGCGATAGTCACTGCAGAAAGGCCCGTCGGTGTTCCAACACGTCGAAATAATTAGTCCTTTATTAGTGCATCACCATAATACGATAGGTTACGTAATTGAAGAAAGCTTAACAAAGGATCGCAAAATGTTAGCGGTTGTTGGACGTTTGAACGTATTTATACTTCTTTTTTTATATTTCTCGGATCGTATTACTTTATACGTATATCAATCACTATTAGCTTAAACACCTGTCCGTGCGTTCCGCTTTGTGGAACGTCAACATTTCGTCTAAATTCCAGACATTCTAATTAGGATTTTAACATTATACATTTCCTTTGTCTTCACAGGGATCTAATTAGTTTGTTATTGAACTTCCGTCTTATTCTTTCACACTATTTCCATGTAACTGTTATTATAATTGTATCTTATCGGCCATTTTAAACATCTTTTTTAATACGATTAATTACTTAGCCCGAATTAACTGTCGTCTCGGCTGCTTTGTTTAAATAATATATTTTACTATTTAGAACTCGCCAACATTGAAATCCTCTTGGTGACTTCCAAGAATAAAATGCGTTTATTTATTGATGCCGGACGATTCTATAATTATTCGCTTTTATTATCTTCTGGTTTTTGACAGACACCGTTTTAACGATTAGGATTCATACATTAATTATTTTCGTAAGCATTTAGATAAATGCTGGTGGGCTCGAGATATTCCAGAGTTTAAAACATTTTAAGTTTAACTTTCTGTTTATTTAGGCTTGACATAACTTAAAAAAGAATTTAGTTGAATGAATACTAAACTTAATAGGCTAACATAGCTAGTTTGTCTTTGAGCATGCAATCCCTATTCTTTCTTTTTTTTTCTTTTAAAAACCATTGCCCTTACTTTAAGATGAAACTATTCTGTGTTGCAAGGACGTTTTACATACATAAATTTCACATGGACAAACACCCAGATGCGAAACAACTATATGTGGGTCGCACAAATAATTGTCTCGTGTGGGAATCGAACCCACGACCAGTACCAGTGGGTTACCACACTTAGCAACACCTTGGCGACTGCGTCACGGAGTCATCATTCCCCGTCAGATAATAGCTACCGATCGAACCGTGGTCCCGCCTTCTCGGGCACCTGCGAATCGGAATGCTAAACGCGTTTTGAGTGACAGCCCAAGCCGAGGTCCCCTCTCGGGGACCCTTGAGCCTGGTCACTTGAGCGCCCGAGCGCCCTAAGAGCTTGGTGGCCACCCAAACCGCTGAGTATAATAGCGTGACGGCCCGAGCCGAGGCTCCCTCGGGAGCCCTCGAGCTTAGTCACCATAACTGCGTAATAATCATACGCCGAGGTTCAGGCTAGGCGCCCCGTGCGCCAGGCCACCTCAAGCCCGTCGGAACTGTGAAGGCCCCTAAGGCCAAAAGTGGCTCATCCAGCCCAAAAATTATTCCATCCAAAATATTAAATATTCCATTTTCATCGTATTAAAACCTTAAGTAGTTATTAGTTATTGTTTTATAATTATAATCAGCTGTGCCCGCGACTCCCTCCTCGTGGAATTTGAAATGAATAAAATTTCTCACATACAAATAGCCCAAGTTACTCTCTATTGCATCAGCTATGTGCTTGTAAAAGTCCTGTCAAAATCGGTCCAGCCGTTTCAGAGATTAACCGGAACAAATAGAGACACAAAAATTTGAAAAAGAAATATTGGTATATTTACCGTGCATTAATTAAAAGGGAGTTATTGTATTAACTTTACAAATAGACACTCCAATTTTATTTATCTGTACAGATATTTTTATGTAAAACAAACGATAGTAGCTAAATTAAACTTCCATTATTATTTATTGCACTTTAGTTAACTTTAAGTACACTGTTTACTACTGATTTGAATCTACCATCAATTCATATAAAATACGTCGATTATTTTGTTGAATGTTACTTACTTAAATGAGATTATGTTCGTTCCAAGCTTTTCCAGAGTTTTCTTTGTCTTTAGAAGGCTTAGTTGAGGAAATCACTCGAGGAAAAGCATCGCTAACAATACTAAGCGGTTGCATTGCCAGTAGAGACCTGCTCAAAATATAAAATAGGCGAATAGTTATTTTATCTAGGCCAACGTTTTGTTAATTGGAAACAGCGTCGCGCAGGGCCGGATTTAGGGGAGGGCAACCAGGGCTACAGCCCCGGGGCCTGCACAATAGAGGGGGTGTTGTGGGGGCCCTACAATAGAGACTTCGGAAAAAAAAATTGAAATTCGGAATAGTAAACAACTTTTCCTTTTATATTTTTTTCGCGTTTTACCTACATTACTTTGTACAAACATGATTACATTAAACATTAACAGAAATCAATGGAAAATAATTTGGGGCCAAGGGACCTCCACTCTCCTTCGTTGCCCCGAGACCTCCAGAAAATTAACTAAACAAGTTGCGATAGATGCGTGGGTAGGACGATTGCAAACGAATACGGAGTCAGTGTTCGATGCCCAATTTTCGTATTAAAGCAACATTCGAATTTTCTTCGAGTGACGCTTTAGTCACAATTGTGAGATAAGTGTGGATTAAAAGGAAGCAGCGATATCGTGTTTAGTGAAAATCAAAGCTCAAACTACCTCTGTTGTAGGTATACGTTTGTTAACATGCCACCGGGGTTAGTGCATTTTTTTTTATTCGTTAAACATTACACTGCTTTTTTAACAGCAGTCTACATTTTTTTAAATGAATTAATGTTTATAGTGTTTATTCTCTGCACTGAAGATGAAATTAGAAAACGGCTACTAGGCTTTGTACCTGCATCCTATGGGATACGCTCCCAACGCTCTAACCACTGGGCTCACTCTTATCTTCACACCGACAATAATCTCAATGTATTCTTCTTATATCTACTTTGTTTTTTACAACATTTTAAGCAATGTTTGGGGTTCTAAATCTGTATCATTAAATCTTAGGGTCATTACGATGTAAACTGGTTATAAATTATTTTTCTAGTGAGCTTGAAATTATATAGGTCCATAGTATCTTTTTGTAGACTGTGGCATCACTCAAGTACAGTTTTATAACTTGAACAAAAACTGAACAAACGACGCGTTTTTTTTACCTGAGAAAGTGGCAAACGAGCTGGCAGTTCACCTGATGTCAAGTTATAATCGCCGCCCATGGACATTTGGAACACCCGTTGTGTTGCAGATGTGTTGCCACCTTTTAATAAAGTGGGCACCGGTTACCTGACTCGCCAGAAAAGACGGAGGATCGTGACACTTCTACGTCACGCCGGTCTTCTGTAAGGTCGGGTACTAAACCGGACGGACCTGCCCATTCGTTCACCAGCGAATACTGTTCCGTGACCCTACCACAGTTCAATAAGTTTCTTAGTATTCAGTTATATTTTTTTTTTATGTGAAAAGTTGCCAAACGAGCAGACGGTTCACCTGATAGTAAGTGAATACCGCCGCCCATGGACATCTGCTACACCCGAGGGTTACAGATGCGTTGACAACTTTTTGAAGATTGGGCTCCGGCTACCTCACTCACCAGACGAAACGCGAAAGTATTTGTCATACTTCCACTTTACGCCGGTCTTCTGTGAGGTCGTGGTACTTACCCGGATGGGCCTGCCCATTCGTGCAACAGCCGAGGCTGCTGCGTGGCCCTACCACCGTTGATTTATGAAATAACTTGGTGTTTTTAGTGTTCCGTTCCGTTCTCAAAGGGTAGAACGGGATAAACTATTACTAAGACTCCGCTGTCTGTCTGTCACCAGGTTGTATCCCATGAACCGTGATAGTTGACAGTTAAAATTCTCATAGATGATATATTTATGTTGCCGCTATAACAACAAATACTGAAAACAGAATAAAAAAGATTTTAGTGGGGCTCCCATTAAACACTCATGATTTTTTTGCCGTTTTTAAAGATAATTGTACGGAACCCTTCTTGCGCGAGTCCGACTCGCACTTCGCCGGTTTTTTTGTGTTTTATCAAATGCATTGTCTAATATTTAATGGAATTAACGCTATATGAAATTTTACAATTCTTGAAAACTCAAAGCTTATATACAAATATAAGAATAATAAGGATTAAGGGATAAGATATAAGAATAATAAGGATTTCATTAACGACCAATAAACGTACACATTTGTCGATTATTACGATGCCCCCAATATTTCTGTTACATAATAATTACCGCAGCTGGATTCAACTTAAATACACCTGTTTCCGATTTTACAGTCGTGGAAGAAACTAGAAATGATGATTAACAATCAGAATGCATGGTCCACATTTGTTTATTATTATTTACTAATCATGAACTCTTGATAAAAAGGTTAACAACAGATCTAATTATTAATGATATTAATTAATAATGTAATTCGCTGACAAGACAATTTCATATATGTTTATTTCATACATATCTTCACGTACACAGAAGACCGGCGTATAGTGGAAGTATAATACTTTCGCGTTTCGTCTGGTGAGTGAGGTAGCCGGAGCCCAATTTTCAAAAGGTTGTCAACACATCTGTAACCCTCGGGTGTGGCAGATGTCCATGCGCGGCGGTATCCAGTTAACATTGGGTGAACCGCCTGCTCGCTTGGCAACTTTTCACATAAAAAAGACGCTTTAACCACACGCTTTAAGCTAAATGGCTGAAATCAGCGTCGCACGTTTTTTCTAGGAATTTAAAATTTGTACTTTTTCCTATTACAATATTTAGAATTTTGCTGACGATATTATATTAATAGGAAGATAGATGTTTTCGGTACGTAAGAACTGACGAGTTTCATTCTTATTACATACGTATTAAAATTATTAATTGTTATATTTGCACCGAGCCGTTTCATTTCTTATTTAAGTAACTAAATTTCAAACTCCTTGACACACTTCTATGTGCGTTTCAATATCTCCTGAAATTTCCGATTAAATCGGCATTTCTTTTTGCGTCTTGGAATATGCAGAAACAACGAAAGCGTGTCGTTCAAACTTTATTTATTTAATGAGCGATAATTTCAATCGATGCAACTTGCACTTCTGATGACCTGGTACAAGTCTGCCTTCGATTTAAAATGGCCGCTTGATTAATTTTGCGATAGGTATTATATAAGCCTGCGTTGTTAATTCGTAAGTGTTACAATTTTTTTACTGACACTTCTTTTTGCACCTTGCCTCCATTAAAACTGTGCGTATTAAGTGCAACATTCTCGCATTTTTATGTGAGAATGTAGCAAGCGGGCTGGCTTTTCACCTGATGCTAAATGATGACCGCTGCCCAAGGACATTTGCAACACCCGTAGGGTTTTAAAGTGGGCCCCGACTACCTCACTCACCAGACGAAACGTGGAAGTATAAAACTTCTTCACGTACTTGCCCAGGCGGCCCTGCCCGTTCCTGCAACAGCGAAGACTGCTGTCATCGCTTGCAAGCTTTGGAGTCTTTGTTTGACACGCCTAACCTTTGCTTAAAAGCGAAGCATTTGTAACTCATTTGTCGTGTGCCAATGTCCATTCTCCTTAGTGTAGTAGCGCCCTTAAGCAGTATCAGCTGTTGCACAAACGGGCAGAATCCGGGGAAGTACCACGGCCTCGGTTTTCGGTTTCGTCGACGGGTGAGTGAGGTAACCTGGGTCCACACCAAGTTTGCCAATGCATCTACCATATACAGCCGCGGTAGCTCAGTGTCCGGGCGCTCGCCTTTTATTCAATATACACGAGCAACCTAAGTTCGATCCCCGGTGCCGGCACCGATGAAACTGTTAATTTTAGTTGCTCATTTATCACGTGCTCAGCGGTGAAAGCAAATATCCTGAGGAAATCTGCATATTTTCGAAAAAAATACAAAAAAATTAAAATGTGAAGTTCGCCAATCTGCAGTGGGGCCGCCTGGTGGAACTACACCCTAATACAGAGGGGAGCCTCTGCCCAGTCATCCTTTATAGGCTGTTACTTTTTTTTTATTGCATCTACAACCTCTCAGATGTTTTAGATGTCCTTGGGCGCCGGTGTTCAGACAACATCGGCCGAAACGTCTGCTCGCTAAATTTTTACATAAAAAAATAAGCGACGGAGATCTGTCAGGCAAGACGATTACATTAAAAAACAAATCAAATTCATTGATTTCCAGACGTCTGAATATTATGGACATTACAATCGTTATGAACTGATGCCAATACGATAGTTTCGCTATTATGGCTGTCATTCTTAATACCAATTGACGGCAGCATCTAATAAAAACTAAAGTTTTTTTCGATAATATTTGTTACCATTATATTAAATTGGTTTTGTATCGTATGCACACAAGCATGTTTTTCTTGACGAAGTTTTGTAAGGCAAAGAATTACAGAAACAAATTTCAAAACCTAACCTATGTTTATAGTTTTAATCACTTCCGTAAATTAAAGATAAAAAATAAGACAAATTGAAAAAGACGTTTCACTACATGGTATAAAACAATGTCTGGTCCTATGTATGCTTAAATTTTTAAAATTACGCAACGGATCTTTTGCAATTTGATTGATGCAATTTTTTTTTACTAGATAGAGTGATTCAAGAGGAAGGTTTATGTGTAAATATGTATGTAACATTGCACCCGCGCGAAGCCGGGGCGGGGTCGCTAGTTCAAAATAGAAAAAAGATCATGTTTTAACTTTATAATAGGGTAGGCAGTAATATCTATTTCTTTTTTTTAATGTCAAACGGGGAATTTTATCGCAATCTGGTTGGTCCCTCTCTTCTATCCTCCCTGATGCAGAACAACGCGCAATATGCATTATCCGTTATCCGATGGACTTTATTCGGCGGCATTTTCAATGTGATCACAATTACCTTATCACACGACACTGATAGAACGATAAACCGTACGCATACGATTTGGATTTTTATCAGGAACAGCTTGGATCGCGATCAGGCTACCATATATAAGCAGCGTAGTGTCCAGGCGGGTGACTCCCCGTTCTCTATCAAGCAGCCAGAAACGATAATATTTGAGAATAAACAATACTTATAAAATATCTTTAATCCGGTAGCGGTCTATGGTCTAAATAACCATTCAAATGGGACTCCTTTGTCGAGTAGAAGACACATATTATTAGATATTTTTATAGACCAACGTCACATCCAAACGGTATAAAAAGGATAGCGTATTTAAAGCAATAGGAAAAAAGAGGACGGCAAATGTTTTTCACTTTCAAAATCTCCAGGTGCATTCCTCTTTCTTGTTCCCGTTGTAAACTTATTTGCTGCTTCCTTGGACGTTTTCGTGACGTTAATAACATATGTTTAGTATAAAACACAATTGTTGTTCGCAGATTTTTATCGTTACGCACACTACCGTTTTATCTGTGCGCTCGCTTTAAATTAATTATACTCGAGTAGAGTTCGAATTCGAAACCGCCAATAAAATTCTCGATTGCAATTTTTAAGTGCTTCTTTATCACGTGCTCTGTGCTGGAGGTAAACATCGTTAGGAATTCTGCATAATAAATGATGACATATATATACGTATATATCTCAAGGATAATTGATGTCTGAGAATCCGCAAACTTTACTGGAGATGCGATGCCAAACAGCTGTGAGACATAATATGTTATATACATATGTATATATGCTGTTACTGGCTGTACTTTGCTTTAGGCAGTTTTATTTGAAGTATTGCGAAATGTCGATTGCCATCATTGTGCAATTGACTGTTAGGTAGGTGACACGCGTCCTACTTATTCCATTCTTAGATCCTCTAATGTGGAAATATGATTTTTACGTCTGAAACAGCCGCGCTTACAGCGTATCGTGTTACACGTATTCATATTACAAATTATTCTCCTTATTGATTTTGTAAGCCAACACGCCTTATCGCCTCTGAATTTTTACATAACCTCTTTCAGTTTTTTTTTTATTACTAATCTCTGTTAGGAGTTCGTATTGTTAAAGTTGCAATGGAGTGTGTTTATTTTACTGTCTCATTTTTCCAATGGTAATCCACCTTGTTAAAGGGAGGATTGGAAAAGAGTATATTAATTATTAGATAATAAAATACATTTCGAAAAAAAGTCAACTTATACTTTTAAATGATTAAACTTGGATATTATGGTTAAGCGAACATTTCAGATTTTATAAAATTTTATTTGACTGAAATCGTTGCACGCTATGCTATATTTTTTTGAAATCTTACGTGTCTATGAGTAGTACAGCAATGACACTTAATTGACTTAATGGCAACTTTTCGCGGCAGGGACTTAACAAAAATTCCAGAGTATTTTGTTTTGTTGGCAAGCATTGAATTTTAGACATTCGCCGGCTTTGTACAATCGCGTCCTTTTACAGAGGGACCCTTATAAAAATTACTTGAAAATTAATAAAAAATACGCTTTGTCAGATACGTTAAGTTTTTATTGCTTTTCTATTTTGAATTCATTATCTGTATTTGTCCTATAAAATTATGGATTTTAGAATTAATACCAATATTATCTTTTATTCGCTGAAGAATTATTTTAGTTTGAAATTGTTCCTTGAATATTGATATTTGTGATTTAAAATTTATTTGAGTTATAGTTTTTACTTTGATATGTTTGTAAAGTATATAACTGCGATTGACATAAATTGGGTAGTCGTATCTAAATAGGAGTAAACCCAGATCGGATCTAGTGCCCGCTTAATTGGGCCAAAAATCAACTACGTGCCTTCTCGATTGGTCCGCGAAATAGTCTTCAAAAATTTCCCGTTGCGTCACGGAACCCGAAACAATGGAGGACGATCCAATCAAGGCATATATCCGATAACGGCAATAGCACATAACCGTCGGTCACAGTACCCGTTACGTTGGATTACATAACATATAAAAATATAGCGCCGGTACACGTGTCGCGGCATCCAATTGCTTACGTAACGCGCGCGTTTACGTTTCCCCCAGAGCGCCTCGTCTCCGCCGTTTTGGCGATCGGTCCTTAGCAATATGCCCCTTACCTTTTCATGTTTTCCTGGTAGCGATTGGTCTCATTCTCTTTGCCGTATGAATCCATCCATCTTATCTACACATCTTATTTTATTCATTCAAATATAAATTATAATAATATTCTTATTAATTATACTTGATTCTTTATATGTATATAATTCTACTAAACTCCTAAACGGCTGGACCGATGTTAATGAAATTTTGTATGTCAGTTCGATTTGAGAATGGTTTAGATTCATTATTCATTTTCCACTAAATTTTTTTTATGAAAAAGTACAGTATCCATATAAATATAAAAGCACACATCTGATTTATGTTTGACACCTGTCTCAGCGGGCAGCGAATGATTAAACCCATAAACAACATTCAGCTCCTCAGTTCAGTTCCTCTTTCATCCTTCGTAATACATTGTACATAATCTCTTGACGTTCCCACGTAATACGCATTGTCAATGTCGACGTGCGCCTACTAAGTTTCTAGAATGTTTCGATGCAAGCAGTGTTATTAAAGCTCTATTGTTTGCGGCCCCAGCACGTGCACAATCTAACGCTACGCCAAGCGGACCCGATAACGCTGCCTACTTCTGTTCAACAACTCCGCTAACACCTGTTTAGTTTTCATTTTACTCGTATTCCTTTTACACGCCACGAAGTTGATCTTGGCTCATTCACTCCTGGTGCGTCACAGTGGCGGCTAAAGTTAGTCGGGCGTCGTGGTAATTCGCATGTTCTCCGGCGCGCCACTATAAAAACTTGGCGTGTTCGGATTCTATTTAGACGCGGGTTCGTATCGGTTGAATATTACAAGCGGAACAATAAAGCCGATCTTTATCGGTAGGTTTCAACGTTACGGACGCTTTGGAAAATTTGAGCGTGCTCGTTCGTTTGCGTTTGATTCCGTTTCCTTTGTGCTTGTTGCTCGTCCGCAATGTCTGGCGAGCCGATCGGCGTTACTAGGGCGGCATGATGTCTTAGGAGGTGCACAGACAATCGGCGGTGGGGGAGGGGGGGGGGGGGTTCTACACGGAGTGCGGGGGAATGCACGTGCCCAGCCACTGTGCATGCCATGCGTTCGCAGCCCTCCCCTCACTTGTTGAGCGCACCAAAGCGCCACTACCGGTGTCGCCGGCCTTCACACCACTTCTGTCTCCCTCGCACTTCACTCTCTGTTTCGCGAATATCATAACTCGCAGCAAACGACGGATACTATCGTATCGATTTCTAACTTCACCACTAATGTCACCTCAGGCCCGTTACAAGTGGCCTAATAATCTAGTCTGAAACATCATTTGCCTCGCCGTGCGACGTCGTCGCTTTTTCTATATCTTCAAGGGATCTCGTCGACTAGATCTAGATTCACAACCTATATCTGGGTCAATACTCGGTTGTTACGTTCGCTTCCGTCTACGTATTGACAAAAAGGCTTCCCTGGAAGTTTTACAATTCTACTTTTGTAGGGCTTACAAACCGTTGCGCAAAACTCTCTGCGTCATTCGCGACTTCGTCAAAGAAGCCATACAATTCAATATTCGCAATTTAACTTTCGTAGTATTTCGTCGAGATCTCGAACTTTCGAAAGATTAACAAACGTCTATAAAAATTATCGATCGTCGCGAACGCACCCGCTTATTGTGAAACTTTTATATCAACTTACAGAATGATTAGTGACCAGTGATTGAAGTGATACCGAACACTTTAAAAAAACCTTTCAGTGATTAAACGCTTTATTAAAATAAAATAAAAAATTACAAACAATCGAACCAAAATGACAAGGACGCATTTGGGTGCAACGGAGAGTTGTGACCGTGTACTTTAGCGAGGTGGCCGTTTGGACGTATGATGGGTATACTCATGGAGACCGCCAACGGGAATTTGGTCACCGCCAGCTACCGAGCGAGGGGAGCAGAGTCCGAGCTGTACGTCGCCATGGGGGCTCCGGGGGAGGCGTATTACACGGACACTTTGCACACGATCGCCATAAACACCAGGGAGACAGAGTTCGGCAGCCTAGTAGAGCCCGTGCCGATCACGCTGAAGACTTTCGCGCCGTTCCACGGCCACGGCTTCGGTTTGCCGCAGTCGGTGATATCCCCGGTGCCTCCTGTCGCCCGGCCCGAGTACGACAGGCCTGTCGCCGTCCACAGGTCTGAGAATGTCGGTGACAGGCCCGTCGCGACCAGCAGCAACCCTAGCCCGGCTAAGGAAGAGCCGAAAGACCAAAAAGTCGCCAGGCCTCCCAAAAAGAAGTGGATCAAGGAGTATCTAGGTGAGTTTCCTATCACTAAGGTCGTAATCGGTACAGATTTTGAAGCCTCAACTGTAATACGTACGCTCTAGGGATATGTGAATCACTACATAGTATAAAACAAAGTCGTCCCGCTGCTGTCTGTCCCTATGTATGCTTAGATCTTTAAAACTACGCAACGGATCTTGATGTGGTTTTTTGACTAGATAGAGAGATTCAAGAGGAAGGTTTATATACATTGCACCCGTGCGAAACCGGGATGGGTCGCAAGTAGTTCATAGATTAAAGACATAGCTATAACAAAAGAACACTTTGCATCACAGCTGCGTCTGAAATGTTTTGACCAAAATTAAAATTAGGTTCATACAAAATTTAAATTTGATTGCCAAATCTAATTTTAAAATATTAATGCTAGCATAAAAATAATCTCATAAAATTGAAATTATTCCTCCGCTCCGATACAATCGTTTCAGTGTTATAAAAACGTAATTAGTGTTGATTTAATCATTACGAAACGGACTTGCGGATTGTGGATTATAATTAATGTCTTTTGAAAAGGTAATCGAGGATGTTGTGAATGTGGTTTTTTTAAGAAGAAAAACTTAAGCAATAATTTTAATAACAATATGTACCTACTTTCTTTTATAACGGGGAGTTTACGTAACGGGAAAACGTATTTCTCCCTCGAGCTCTCGTAGGCAGGAATCGATGCGGCCCTGGTAACAAGCCAGACGTCATTTCTATAGCCCACGCACGGTTATCCGGTTACCGTCGCAACCTGAGGGCCGGGTGAAGGAAGTCGCGATAATAACGTAAATTTATTTCATTATATTTCGCATTTCGTTCTCATTTCTACGCGAATCGTCTTACAAGCGTGCTGTTAAAAGTAACTGTTACTATTAGGATTATTGTTAACTTGTTATCGTTTATCAACGTCTTTTATCTTTCGACTGAGTGAGCAATCAGTTTCGAAGTAGGCATATTTAAATGCATAGGATATGATAATGATATTTCCCTATGACTTTTAGCCATACCCATGTCATGTTTCCGACGCACTGTCAGCCGATAAAGTGTACTGCGCTTTTTATTCCGCCTCGTATCTTTGTGGAACTCGTAGACGTCAAGGTATTCCTCTTACCAAGGTCGTAGTGTGCACGCGGTCCAACCAACGACGCGGCACGCGGTTTCTTATATACTGTTATACATATCGACACAACTTTTTGCATAAATTTGTGTACATTATTCATATACCCTAACACGATACACATTGAACAGTGACAGCTTTTAAGGACAAGCGTTATTTCCGCTACGACAGCCGTGATAAGTTTCCGATTTGTATTTATTTTATTATTTATTAAGCGAGCGTCTGCATTGGACGATACCGTGATAGCTTTGTGTTTAATTCAATATACTCCAGCAACTTGTTTCTTTATTTTTTTATTTATTTTATGCGTCACGAAATTTAAATAACATTTAACACAATTATTGCATAACAATGTTGGAGAAATTAGTCAAACCACTGTCAGATGTTTACGTAATCCAAATAACGGCCAGTATTCTGTATGCAAGCAGTGCGACGTTTAATCCAATAAAGATGGACAAAGTTGTGGCGTTGTGTAACCTATTAATTGTCACCGTTTCATGCACATTTCATGAAATTACTATCTGCGCAGCTCTACTGCGTGAATACCTACCCAACAAAAATGAAAAAAATATATAAAACATGTTTTATTGTCATGATTATTTTATAATATAATTGTTTTTAAATCTCCTTTAAACTATTTTACAGGGTATAGCTCTTCAAATTATTTGTGCCTAAAACCGACAGAAATTTGTATGCTCCTACCGCGAATTTTCTATCTGTTTTGTTATATAAAAGTGAAAGTTTATATCATTTGTCTTTATAGTTAATTACATCACAGACAGTTCGCCCTCGATCAGCGTTTTGTCCAAGGTCTTCTTCGTTTCGTGTTTACCATGCACTGGGTGTAAGGATGTGGCACCGTTACGAGAAAGTGTCACCACATGTCGCCGCATCTCTTTGTCCGAGATAATAATGACTGTATCATGAATATGTTCTGAATGCCTGAATACGCGATAATGCGCAATCGCATAAACCGAGTTCTTAGAAGGAGTTGTTTGTGATCCCGTAAGTTAGTTTACCTTAAACATCAGTTTGGTGGTTTGATGATACCTTACTTATTTATCTACACTTGTCATTTGCTTGACTCCACGGTTCTTTTCTTTAGTGGAAATCAAAACATTACCAGGAGTTAAGAACGCCATATCAGTTCTAATAACGGACGGCGTCCGTTACACGTGGCGGGTGCTGAGCCGACCGATTAAATGTATCGCAATAAATTTCTACTTGTGTACGAATAGCCGACACCTTATTGCTGGGTTATTGACGCTGACACGGCCACGCTGACACATTCGACACGTATGAAAAATAAATATGCGTACTGTTCTAGAATAATAATTGTATAACGTTGGCAGAGATTTAAATGATTATTTTTTTTATAAAATGATAAAAAATATTATTTTGAAACAAATATCATTAAATATTTTTTTTTACAATGCGCCCGCAAACCGACCTCCAAAAAACATGATCACCAATAATAAATTTTTAACGTTAACCTATTCCAATTTATTATTTTTTTTTAATTTATAATAACATCCAATATTTACAAGTTTAAAGTTATTTAATAAAACCGTTATCAGTTGCATTTAAACAGAAGAGTAATGGCACAGAGGATAAAGTTTTTAGTTAATTTTCTTTTTTTTTAGAAGCCTTGCCTCATTTGACATGTCACATCCTAAACGAGGTGTGGAAATGTGACATTATAGCATGTTTATTACTCAGTGTTGTTTATTATTTATGAGTTCAATTAGCGTCAGCTATTTGTGAATAAGAAAACTATCTTTTCTGACATGGTCTAGCGTTCTAAAGTTTTACTATATTTATCATATTATAGCGTTATCTGTTTCTAAATCGAGATAAGGACCAAAACTAACTTCACATCGACTGGTCAACAACGATACACTGGCTAATACTACGCTTGTTATCGTTTGCTTTTATGATTGCTTAGTACATATGATTATTTTCGTGTGACGGTGACAAGCGAGGGTGGGTACTTTGATGTTAATTAATATCCGCCGCCCATTTAACATTTGCAACACCCGTGTGTTATATGCGTTGCCATCTTATAACCAAGTGGGCTCCGGCTTCGTCACTCATCAGATGTAGAACTCAGAAGTATACCTCCACTTCACGCCGGTCTTCTGTGAGGTTGTGGTATACCCGGACGGACCTGCTTGCAACAGCGAAAACTTGCGTGGCCCTACCACAGTATTTAATATTTCGTTCAACGCGGTAGTAGTGTGCTTGTCTGTCAACTAAATTAATTATCATTTCACATACATAACATATACGGCCCTAATCCGTCGCCGCAAGATTCTCGACAACGGTAAGTTACTTTAACGATGTTCGATATTCGGAGCCGGTTTATTTGTACATGCGAGTGGCGCCGCCGGCGAAGCATTTCATCTGTTTACATATTCGCGCGCTTTAGTTTTGTATAAAAGCATATTAAAAAAAAACTCGCCCGGCCAACTTTTTGATAACGAGTGAAATAGCTTCGGGGAATTTATTGAATTTCTACTTCTACCGTTCCGTTTAAGAGTTGTGGGAGTTTTTTTTTTACTATGCATATTTATGTATCCTTGGTAGCTCATACTATGCCAAAAGAGAATAAACGTGATTTTGTCCCATCTCTATATTTTTTCTATTGTGTCACTTGTGCTTGATTGATAAAAAATATATATTTTATTATAATCTGCTATCTGCATTTATATTTCTGTAACTGTTAACGCAGCACCATTTTGCGGTTTGCCTACGTTGCACGCGTCGAAGCGTGCCCGTCGGCTCGACTCGTCTCAATTGAGCTTTCGCTGGGTGGGTTGTGAACGGAACTTGTTGTTGAATCATTGGGCATGCGCGGGCAATTCTTGCTGGTGCGTATGTGTATAGCCTACGATAAGCGGGCAAATGTCAATTTTCGCTCCGTGGTTCGTCGGTTATAATAGTGCGCACAGCGCCATTGCCTGTGCATTACCCACGTGCGCGACGACTACGTAACGTCCCTTGGACAACAATTATTTCGTTGCAACATCGATAGGTTTCTTGTTACGCAATTGAAGTAATCGTTAGTGCGTTGGCATTATTTTGAGGTGCTTCGCTCTATCGTTTAAGTCGTCCTTACTTCTACGTAAAAGTTTGGCGATGATTGCGTAAAACTTTCAGGTTATGTGCCAAGCCATGATCGGGCGTCTCCTTCTAAAGCTTTGTGGCACCGAGCTAGTTCGGAAACGTTCGGGCCGCGTGACGACGAGCCACGTGCCGGGTCGAACGTACCCCTTCGCGTTAACGCCCCCACCCTTGTCTTATCAGTCGCAGTGGACAACCTAGCCCGGTCTATATTCTACTTTTTATACCAGTTCTAGTACACCATATATCTTGATTTAAATTTATGTTCTTAAAAGGATAAAACTACGAATATACTAATTTGAACTTAAACAACATAGTATTTTGATACGCGACTGCATTTGGCAAAAATATTTGTATTCCGAATACACTATAAAAGAAAAATAAATAATATTATTTTCACCGAAATTACATCATCAACTAGCAACATAGCGAATTGGTTCGCGATAAACGAATATATTTTCTCTCTGAATGAAACAAAATAAATGTACATTTAGAAAAGCTTTTTATTATTCATTCGATATCGAATCGTTTAACGATGGGAAAAAGGGGAAAATGGACTGAAGCTATTGTCTATTCCTTCTTTGAATTGTTAATGTCAGATTTATTTTGCTCATTCCGTTTTTTTGTTTGACATTTTTCATCGGCTATACTTTTGGGTTGGCATCTCCTCTTTATTTTATTTATTACTAATTTTATTATTTTATTTTATCTTTTACTTTTCTTATCTATTTTAATGTTCACATTAAACTTGCAATCTTACGTTTTAAGTATAAAAAACATGTTTAATTATTTTAATACTACGGTTATCACTTATCATATTGTAAATAAATTCGCGGGTGTCGGCCGGTATGTGGTAGAGTGGGACGGGGAAACACGTTTGGCAAGACGTGTGTTGGAATTGCGCGCCGCCATGCGCAATTCTACCAGGAGAGCATCATTTTTGAGAGGTGTTCGCATTTACTTAGAACGTAGACCGTTCCTGCCATGCGTCATATTTATAGGCACTCGTTACATTTGTTAATACGGTTGTGGCAGCAAGTACCTATTAGGAATTCAAATATTTACAATGTATCGAAGAGAAAAAAATAACGACGTAGGACTGGCTACTAACAGTTACTAATTAAATAATTTTTTCGTTAAAGTATTAATCTGGTTTTAATTCGGGTGATTTCTCAGATTTAATTATACTCGTAAATATTTCTTATATCAAAACAAATAAATACAATTAAAAAAAAACATTCCGTCTTAGGTGCTAGTTTTAAAGCTTTGTAATTTAATTTTTAATTGTATAATTGTATAAATGTTTTATGATTCGTAATTTTAGCAATAATTGAATTGATCAAATAATTTAAATAATTTTAGAAACGTGATTCGAGTTTCATAATCCCGCTTTCGTCTATTTATAATCAAAGGTCCTTCGCATACACTAAATAAGTTCTATCAAATGCTACTAATGGCGGACCAAAATAAAATCAAGGCGTTATAGAAGAAAACTGCCTTTTATATTGGTTACAATTAAATCTAGCAAATTCATGTTAATAAATCGTGGAATGGGACATGAATAATATTTACAAAAGCAATTGTTAAGAACACACCTTCCAATTAAGCGTTTGCTATAACAAAGTTTATAGGTTGAATTACTGAAATAGCCACGGCCAATTTGCGCAGGTCAGTAGTTTCCGAAGGGGTGTTACAGCCCCTCCGAACTCTAATGACGCACGACTTGACCCACCCCTGTTGCATAACCGGCCCTTGTTGGCTATGTTATCCTGGTAACGTTTGCGTCAGACAGTTGGAAAGCCTCGTCAGTTTTTTGCTGATTTTATTCTTATTTTTTTATTACAGAAAAGAAATACGTAGTACTAGTTAAAAATGGCGTATTTATGAAATAAGCATATTATTAGAATAAGAACAAAGGCATCTTGAAGTTGATAAGATTGGCGATAACAAAGTTATGTCATGATAAGAATAATTAACGTTATCTTTTTTTTAAATAACCAGGGTAACTTGCTTCTTAATTTGATGGTATTGGCTGGCGTACGTAAATATTTTAGGATAAAAATACAGCGGTGCTCAACAAACCATAGAAAAAAATCGTACTCACATATAATATTATATTAAAAGCTATGGATCTTAATATATAAAATAGTAGAATAATATTTGATCTACACCTATCGCAATTAATATATTTTCACTAATTCCGATCTCTTTGTTCTGTTGTAGTTTTACACACTTAATTATCCAGCATATAATTGTTGTTAAACACGTCATAAACTATTCTATCGGCGGCATCTGATTGTTCATAAAAAATAAATAATATAATTAATTATATTAGGTTGGGGAAAAACTTTTGTCGCAAATAATATGTATGTAATTATAATATAATCTCTGGCTATACCTTTTGTATCTGGCTGTTTTTGGTATCATTAAAAAGTTTTTTCCAATTTCAAGTTAGAAAAATGTGTGATTTTCATTTGTTTTTATTACTGTTAAGATGAGTGATTCTAATGAAGAAATTCGATACATTTTAAAAGGTTACTACAAAAAAGGTAAAAATGCAACGCCGCGAAAAAAATTTGTGATATTTATGGACCTAGTACAGTGTCTGTGAGAGTAGCACAAATTTGGTTTAAACGTTTTCAATCTGGAAATTTTGATGGCAAAGATGCACCTCGCTCTTGGCGCCCTGTTACGGATGAAATGGATGCCATTTTTGGAAAAGTGCATCTTCAAGTGATCGGCATATCAGTAGTTTCAATGTAGCTGAAGAACTGGGAATTGACTACAAAATAGTTTTTGCGCATTTTCGAAAAAAGCTGGGTACACAAAAAAGCTCGATATTTGGGTGCCTCATGAGCTCACTGAAAGAAACCTAACGAACCGTGTACTCATTTGTGATTCTATATTACGACGTAATGAAACCGAACCATTTTTGAAAAACCTGATAAACTGGTGATGAAAACTGGATCACGTACGACAAGAACGTGCGAAAAAGGTCGTGGTCAAAGGCTGGTCAGGGTTCACAGACTGGCAAAACCCGAGTTATCTCGCAACAAGTTAATGCTGTGTGTATGGTGGGATTGGAAGGGCATTATTCATTATGAGCTGTTACCGCAAGGCAGGACCATTGATTCTGAACTCAGCAAAAATTAAGAGAGATTGGCTGGGAGGTGTTAATGCATCCGCCGTATAGTCCTGACCTTGCACCCTCAGATTTCCACTTGTTTCGGTCTCTTCAGAATTCTTTTGGCAGTATCAGGTTAACATTAAAAGAGGACTGCCAAAACCACTTGTCACGGTTTTTTTATCAGAAGACCCAGAATTATTTCTATAGTAATGGAATCATATCCCTACCTACAAGATGGCAGAAAGTTATCGAACAAAATGGCACCTACATACTTTAGTTAAATGTAAATAAACTTTATTAAAAAATGTTTTGAATTTTCATATAAAATGCGAAGAAACTTTTTCCCCAACCTATTATACTATATAATTTAAATTAATGAAATTTAAATTTATAATACAATATCACCTGTACCATGTAACAGAAAATGCTTGTCATGAATGAAATTTTCTTCAATCTTGTTAAATTTCCTTAGTGTCATTTTATTCGCCTACCTAATATTCCAAATACAAAAACATCAAAAATAAGGAAAATAAAATGATAAGTCTCACGTACTAAAACATTAAACACGCCTACATTTGTTGTACTTGTTACTATTCATTTCAATCTAGTCGTAGGTAAGCTGGATTATGTTAAAAAACGTAAAAGTTCATTGTATTCGAGCGGTAAGGATGTTTGTCAGTCACCAGTTCAATAGCCCTGGGACTATCCGCACCTCTACACCATCACCAAGTAATTCTTATTCATTCGAAAAACTATCTATGAATAATTCCTCCAATCGTTACCTGCGCTCCTGGTACCTATTGTTTTTCTCTTTTTATTTTTCAAAGACGATATGGGTGTTGTAAGCTTGATTTAACCGATTGGCCCCCATTATCATTTATTTTATATCCCATTCAGACTGTGGGCATTATTAGTTGAGAAGTTAAACATTTTTAATGAGAAAAAAACCAAAACCGATTTCAAATACCTCGCTCACCATATATTTTCTGTTTCATTTTGAGGAGTTCGTTGGTCTGATATCACCGGAGTCCAAGCCAACAATGAAAACGACCACAGCCTACACGGAACCCAATGCAATCAGCATTTTTAAAAGCGGGTCATAAATAAAATAACCGAGTTCATAGTTGATGATAAACATTAAATAACTGGTTCAAACAAAACATACTTTTTCAAAGATACCTTCTCAAACGGCCTCCAATGTATCTTCGTTATAAACGTCATGACTTTATTTGTAGCAAATATGCCTTGCCTAGCCCGTGATAATAAGTATTTTTTAATGTCGATCCACCTCATGTTAATTGATTACCGCCACCTGACGTGTTGCAGATGTGTTTGGCAACATATCTGCAAAGGCGGTCCCCGGTTACCTCACTTACTAGACAAAACAGGACTGTTCGGCTGTGGTATTTGCCGGGACGAGCCTACGTATGGACAATTTGTGCAACAGCCGAATGTATGGCCGGGCCGTACCATAGGCCAAAAACTTAATACGGACTCTGACTGTTTTTTGCCTATCCGAAATCATGTCATTTTTAAATTAGCAACTGTGTTACACAATTATTATTTGTATATTTGCTATTCAGGTACAGAAGTATTTCTATTTTTAATAAATGTATGTTATATTGAAATTAAAATATGCGTAGTGAACGAAATTGATTTTATAAACCAAGTCATATAAATATCAAAAAATTTAATTATAACAATATTCGCCATTTCCCGCCGCTTGATTTTCCTATCGAGCAGCTGATTTTCGATGTTGTAACTCAAACGTAAAATTATTAGCGAACGTTCTGACGTCATCTCATTGCGTTACCACGCCCCCTTTCTCCGTCTCGCTTTAAACATGTGAAGTCTCGCTCGTCGCCGAATCGATCTGATAATTTTCCGATACGTAATATTAAACTTTAACGCTATAGCATTCGGTTGATTATAGAAGTGCGGCAATGTTAGCGGGAATTAATCGCATGTTGCCTTCTCACTCTTCGGGTATAGCGATTTCACTCGTCTGTAGTAAACCAACGTCTGACGTTTTATGCTCGCCTAGTACTTTACCGCCAGGGACTGCAGCCGCCGACGAGCGTTTGACACGGGTTTGACAAGTGCTGACCGCGCTAACGCGGGCGCGAGAGGTGCTGTTTCGCGAACTGTTGACGCGGGAGAGCGGCTTATTGAGCGTCTTCGCGTCGAATGTGTATTAATTTAAATGGAGGGAGCACACTGACGTGTCGCGTTTTTTCGCAGAGGAGGAGCCGAAGTCGCCTGTGTCGGTGCGGGTGGTGAATGGGGTGTCGGTGGCGCCGCGCAGCAACGGCGTGGTGCGCCCGACGACGCCGGTGTCGGTGGCCCCCCCCGCGCCCCACGCGCCTCCCGCGCCCCCCGCGCCGCCGGCCTTCGCGCTCGAGCCGGTGACCGCGCCCGCCGTCCCGCCCCCCGCGTCCCTCCTCGACTTCGCACAAGAACATTCCAGGCCGCGCACCACTAGCAACAGCCACGGGTGCGCTTAACCTCCTTCGATTCATGCTCGCCTAGTACTTGCGGTGTTTGAAACGCCTGGGGTATTCGAGTGACCCGCGCAGCAAACCGTGGTTGCGCCCGACGACGCCGGTGTCGGTTCCGCGCCCCACGCGCCTCCCGCGCCCCCCGCGCCGCCGGCCTTCGCGCTCGAGCCGGTGACCGCGCCCGCCGTCCCGCCCCCCGCGTCCCTCCTCGACTTCGCACAAGAACATTCCAGGCCGCGCACCACTAGCAACAGCCACGGGTGCGCTTAACCTCCTTCGATTCATGCTCGCCTAGTACTCGCGGTGTTTGAAACAGCTGGGGTATTCGAGTGACGAAGCAACTCCGTCACCGTCTTCGGTGTTTTGTTAATCAATTTTAAGACCGAGCGCGCGTGAGGTTATTTTTTATTCAGATAAATAACGTTTTGAAATTAACAAGATAAGGAGTTTGTCATGTCTGCTGCTTAAAAATGAAGTAGCAGCGTTTATTATAAATTATGTGAATAATATAGCAAACGTCCCTTATAAAACGGGCTTAACTAGTGACTCAGTAGACAAAGGATACTTAGTAAAGTATGCTTTGTCCCCTGTGGGTTTAAATTTTATAAGCAATATAGACGTATATAGCACATGTTAAAAATATGTAAATAAAGGAATATTAATTGTGATGGCAGTATACACCTTATAAACCACACCGTACAATGATAATCTACAAAACCACGAAAAACAAATATACATATAGCCAACACAAACAGCAAATTTTTCTTTATTTTAATAGTGTGTAGACAGATTAGTTAGTTATCCGCGTAAGCTATACACATTTTTAAGTTTGTCACAAAAAATAAAATTAAAATGGACAATTTCAATATTCAAAGTAAACATCCATGTATTTGTTAATTTTGCCTTTGAATCGATTAGATACATCTAGAACGTTCAAAGAGATAAAGAAATAAATGTAAAAGAAATGGAAAGGGGTCATAATGGAATAATAAATTTATCCTTGCCTATCGTCCTGGCACGTAGTAGGCATGTATGTCTGCGTTTAATTTTCATCCGATTGCTGTCAAGGTTTGGATATTAACAAAAGCGTATTGAATATTAATGCAATGTGTCCGATGTTATTATTCATCGTCCGATAGATCGGGCCTTGCTGCTGCATGCATCATTTATGCGCTACCTCCTGCATACCTAAAAGCTGCTGCCATAATTATACATTACTGAACTTTTAGGGGAGAAATGTTTTTTATTGAATACAATTTACAATTATGACTTTTTTTATGAGAAGGTGGCAAGCGCGCTGGCTGTTGACCTGATATAAAGTGATAACCGCCGTCCATGGACATTTGCTATTCCACCTTTTAATAAAGTTAGCCCCGCTACCTCACTCACGACGAAACGCAGAAGTATGACACTCCACGCCGGTCTTCTGTGGGGTCGTGGTACTTATCCGGACGGACCTGCCCATTCGTGCAATTGCAAGTACTGTTGCGTGGCCCTACCGCAGGCAGTATTAGTTTATGAAGCCCGAGAAATATTAATGCATCTCGGATTATTTAGTTGCGAATCTCCTTTCGATTTAACAGCAAAAACTTGGATACATTGCAACAACTAGCTATGCCGATATACTAAAACTTTAAGCCTTGTGAAGACTTAATTTTAACGCTGGTATTCTTTTATCAGACCCCCTCAGATCCCCTCCCCACCATCGGTCAGCAGCAGCGGTAGCGGCAGCAGTGGTAGCGCGCCACGCGCTGGCACACGGGAGGTGCACAACAAACTCGAGAAGAACCGACGGGCCCATCTGAAGGAGTGCTTCGAGCTCCTCAAGAGGCAGCTGCCTGCCACACCCGACGACAAGAAGACCTCCAATCTCTCCATCCTCGGCTCTGCCATCCGATACATTCAGGTGATTTATTTATTTGGCTGTTTCGATATAAAATAAATCGATTTAAAAACTAATTCTTAATATAAATTGGTTATCCTATCAGTCGCCATATTTTTTTCAATGATGCAGTAATTTAACTAGTTTTTTTTTTTAATTAGAACTGTTTGTTTCTCTACGGTAACAACTAAATGCGAAGAGTATGTGTAAATAGAAAAGAGCACAAATGAGTACTACTCTAAAAATTTTTTTTTCTTTAAAATGGTTCAATAAATACGATGAAACTGTTGCAAAAATTTCGCAATAACGTACTAGGATCGCAAAACATTCAAGGAGGTCCCTCGAGTCGATACATATTTGGATTGTAAGCTGAGACGTAATCTAATCTTACTTCATTCCGGGTACATATTGATATTTACGCATGTAACGAATACTATTTATTTTTTACATATAATTATTGTAATTTAAATCAAAAATTTTAATACCTCTCATATTATATTGAACGTTTTATTTATTTCATTAAACTGGAATTATTTGTAGTAAATGAATATTGAAATGAAAGCACAAAGCAGTATTAAACAATTCTTAAAGACGGATCTTAATTAAGATTTCCTCGGGGTAATATTAACAGGTACTTCGTCGGAAAGAGCGCGAGTGCGAACACGAGATGGAAAGACTGGCCCGAGAAAAGATCGCCGCGCAACAACGGCTCGCCGCTCTGAGAAGAGAAGTTTCTGTACGGGCATCCGTGCGGCCCCGTATTATCGGTGCGTTGACCTTCGCTCGACTTATGCGCTCCTGGTACATTTAGTCACAATTATTTAGCTTTGATTGCGGATTTGCCATATAAGCCGCAAAACCAAAAAATAATTTTTAATGAAAAAAAAATTGTGGACTTTTACCATTGCAAAGTACAACCGAGGTAGGTTTTAGTTTGTTTAAAATTTTTGTTTTTATAAAATCTTCAAAAAGATAAATAAGTTTTATAAAATAAAATTTATTTTCTATTCTTCTATTTAAAACGAAACTTTCAAAATGATGAATGAAACTGTCAGCACAATACATGTGAAAATAGTAGGTACCCATAATAAATGAAACAACAATTCCTTGAAGAGTCTGAACTGCTTCTGTCTCATGTTGCCCTGGTATTTTTTGTTTCGTAACAGCTGACTGTGACCTATGGATTAATTTAATTTTCGTTGAAGCCAACTTGTCTCCTCTCCCTACTTACTCGCTCGTACATTTATTAGTCTTTTTACAAATGGAAAAATATTAAGCCATTTCATGTCATGATTATAATTCCCATATATTTTTTTCGTTCATATTTATTTGAAATAATAGGTAGGTCCTAGTTTTTTACTAAATTACAAATTTATATCGCTATCATTTCAGATGGCGTAGAAGAGAAGGATGTTGGTGTAAACGGTCAAGTTTTAGGCATACCAATTAGTGTAAGCAGATTTATTAGACATTTGAAATCATTTAAAATTATTGTTTAAACTGCTAAACCAATGTTATTGATCATTAATAATTACAATTTTATAGATTACTTCATCTCCACCACGGTCTTTATCTCAAATGGAGTCGTCACCCCCCCGTACCCTAAACTTGAGTACGAAGTTGCGCACGCTGCCGATACAAATCACTCCAACCACTTCGCAGGTATGTTCGCCTGGTACTGCGTTAGAAATTAGAGCTGACCTAATCTCGGATTAGGAATTAGGATAAAATAGCCAAACAAAATGGACGCTATCTTTTTCATAGACTCCACGCGTATTTTTGTTTTTCACAATATTATATATTATATTATTTTTTATGTGGTGTAAACATTTATCTTTACGCAATGGATTGTTTTAAATTTGATTTCATTACTGTTATTACTACGATTTCTGTATTTATTATATCATGATATTTGGTATCGTTTAATACATATAAAATATAAATAATTTCAGGTCCTTCGAACTTCATATGGCGCTAGGCATAATACCTTAACCCTAACAACACTCGCGCCAGCTGAATCTAATACACAGGTAAATTAGTTACATTAATTTTATTAATAGTGAACTCACAATTTTACTACAAATTACATGTTTTTGTTATCTTTTAATATAATTTATTAAACATTTAATAATAATAAAGCACAATTGATAATAACTAATTTAAATGTTTTCTTATTAATTTTAAATTTTATTAAGAAGCATTTAGCATATGTTAAATTTTAAAACTTGTTGAATTAAATTTAAATTTTAAAACTTGTTGAATTAAATTTAAAACTTTAACTAATGGAATTTTTATTATAATTTTTATTTTATTTGCGACGTTTTGAAAGAAGTGTTCAACTTTGATAACATAAATAATCATTACATAAATGTGTCATCTTGCTTCATATTACAGAACGGGCAAGCGGTGGAAAACGGTGTCACAAATACACTCAGCACTACAACCTTAGTACATCCCGCTCAAATTCATCTGCCTATTTCTCAGGTAATTATTTCGTTTCTCTTACTGTCAAAAACTGTGTAAATTCAATTTTCACTTTCTTAAAGTTTTAAGACACATTCCTATGGTCATTCAAGTAACGCCATCTATTTTGTTTCCATAGTAAACTTATGGTAACTAACAATGCCAAAGCATATCAAACATATTGCATATAGAGAGCTCTAATCTTGTTTAAAGCTACAGCCATATTTTAGCTTATTGTCTACTACGGAGTCGTCAAAAACGTCGTTACACGATTTTTCCTTGGAAAATTTATATAAGTATTATTTGTTAACTTGTTAACTTTGGTGTTGTTTTCAGTCTCATACCCTAGATTAAGGCAAAATTTAATATTTGAGTAAAGTTGATACAATACCTATAAATAAAAATGTAAATACATACATAAAAACGTGGCGCAGTTTCCAAGGTACTGTCTTCGGCGCCGGTACTCGGGGGTTCGATCCAACTCGATACAACTTAGTATAAGCGTGACCCAGAGATAATTTTTTAATGTTGTTAAAAACCAATAAAAAACTTATAATTGTTTCGAATCTGGGTGTATAATTTTATGTATGTTAAACGTCCTTAAAACACAGGACAATGTACTCCAAAGTAAGGGCAATGTTTAAAAGAGAAAAACAATCGTCGACACGAATGGCGTAGTGAGTAGTGTACCTGCCTCCTGGGTCAGAGCGTGTGGGTTCGATCCCCACCAGTGGAAAAATATTGTGTCATGAGAACAATGTATTTCTATATGTCTGGGTGTTTATATATCTATAATATGCATTTATTTACAAAAAAACGCATGTTTAATTATGTTTATCAGTTATCTAGAGCCCATACTATAAGCGTTGCTTAGTTTGGGACTAGAGAACGTTTTGTAAAAATGTGTCCTTACATATTTATTTAATTAATTTAATTATATCGTGCATTAAATTCGTGTAAATTGTCATTAGGTGGTTGGTAGTGGAGGCTTGGTGGTCGGACCCGCAGCCTTACAACTGCTCTCGGCCGGTGGGGGGCTGCGAGTTTTGCAAGCGCCTTCAGTTCATACGAACGGTAAATCCATGTTGCCCTAGTAGTATGTCAATTTTTGTTTACATTCCTGCTCGTTTGAAAAATGTTATTGTGCTCTCACATTTTGTTCATTTAATTTTCATGAGTAAAAACAATTTTCCAAGAATTTTATTACGGAAACAGAAAGGTTGATTGTTTGTAGTTTCCAAAAAAAAAATCTCGCAACAAATATAATCGTGCAATTATACTCGAGTATGTTTGAGAGCGGCTTTACAATGAAAAAAAAAAAAAAAAAAAACAAAAATGGCCATCATTTATTCACAAACATAAAAATTTACGCAATTCATGTCTAAAATTAAACGTAAAAATAGTAAATTTTTTTTTCAACAAACTACAAAGTCCTTTAATCATAGTTCTAGTTAGTATTATTCTGTACTAATTTTTTTTAGTATTAAAATGTGATTTACTCCGCGTAATGTTCGTATTCGATTCCACCTATACTTGGCGGTCATAGGCATGCGTAGTTATGTCCATTATTTTTTGATAAGCAAGTAAGATTATGTCCATTATGATTTAATCTAAACTATCGAAAACTAATCTATTATTATACATAACAATGTATTTTCTTTTATAGGTGTAGTAACGACCGAGAACAACAGGATACCAAAAGAAAATGGTGTAGTGTCCCCACCGCCAGCTTCTACAGGTATTTTATTGTTTTAAAATTACTCGAAAAAGACACGTAATCTGTCGTAACAGTAATCAATTTATCTTAGTTGTATTATAAGCATTGATATGATTGGCAATTTATTGTAGTCATACTATGTATAAAATCTCTTTTTATTATGATATTAATAAGAATATCAAAAGATCTCATCATTGCAACATCATAGTTTACCTTTATTTGACCGCTGTATGTCCAAGGTATGGTCGAAGGTGAGAATACTTAAACAAACTTTTCTTTTTAAATTAAATATATATAATGGATATAATGGGCGTATAGCCCAGACAACAGAGCACTGTTCATCACACATTATTTTTCCAGTAATTCGGATTCGAACCACTACCCACTGACTACTACTACTAACCAGTTTCACTATCCACTACGCCAATAGGGTAATATCAGCAATTTCAACGAATAACAATTTCATTCGACATTTCCAGATGGTGGGGGCGTGGTCGTAAGCGGGCTCTCACCGCTGGTAATGTCGCAGCCTGGCACGCATCTCCTGCAAACTCACACGCTCACACACAAGGTGTGGAATTCTTTTATTAACCATTTCTTCATATTTATGATGACCTGGTAACTGGCTGTAGAAATATTTTTAATGACAATCTTCCATTAATGACTTGTTTGCCTTACATATTGCGTTAATATACTACAGACTGTGGTGGCAGATGATAAATATCTGCAAAATACTATTTTTTTTCTTTGTTGTTATTAAAAAAAATGTTAATATGCTTTTTCATATCTGCTATAAATGGTTAATGCAACTTCAAGATTCTTACTCTACTCAGACCAATGTTTTCTTTGCGAATCTTAATATTAATATCGAGAACGCTACGCATAATCGGAGAACGTTCCCGAACGATACTGCCATCATTGCTTTTATTTTTTTTGTAATACAACGGTAAATTAAATATTGTTGTTAATTATGTTGTTAATATAAAAAAATATATATGACTAACCTAAACGCCTTCTACAACAGCGTTATCAATTACAAAATTCATTTATATAGAGTTAAAAGTAGCGAATGAAGCTAGTGAAAAAAAACCAAAAGCAATCGATTTTAATGTCTTTTTTGGCCAATTGGATTATGGAAGCATTGCCGACATGTTTTTTCGGGTAGGTATGTTATATGAAATAATATTAAAGCAACTAAAGCAATCCTAGAAGCGAGTGTCGTAGACTATTAACTCTACGTAAATGAGAATAGATAAGTTATACCATAAAGTATGTCTACTGCAGTTTTAGTTAAAAAATCCTCCCCTCACTGAAATTCTTCAGCATTTTGAGCCAATTATCGTATCACTCATAATAAGTTCCCCTAAAGAATTCTTAATGCATTCGTATTTTTTAAAAGAACCCTTATAGCTCAGTGTCTGGGCGGTCGCTCGAAATTCAATATACTCGAGCAATCTGATTTCAATTCCCAGTGCAATGCAATTTTACGTGCTGACTTATCACTTGCTCGGCGTTGATGGAAAACATCGCGAGGAAACCTGCATGTAATCGAAAAAAAAATGTAATATATGTGAAGTCTGGCAATCCGCAGTGGGATCGCCCTAACACACTGTACAGAGGGGCCTTTGCACAGCAGTGGGACTTACAGTCTAAAACTTACAATGCTAAAAACAATGCAGATAAAATGACGTTAAGATTTGCGTCGTTTAGCTTAGTGGCTAAAAGGGTCAGGGCACGGAATCCCCAAGACGATCTTTTCGTACTTTTTTCTACAATTTTTAAGAATTACTGTCCGTTTCTTTAATTTACTTTTTATTTCTTACAGATGGTAGAAACCCAGATGGTCAAGGGAAGTGTGGCGCCACTGACGGTGAGCGCTCAGTACTTGAGCGCTACTACTATCGTGAAGCCGGTAGTAGTGATGTCCAGCTCCCACTCGCCTCCCGCCCCATCCACGTGAGGGCGCCGCCTATACAAAGCCGTCCTGCGCCTTATTATCGCCTGGTACTTCAAGACTTTCATTGCTAATAATACAAAGGAAAAATGAAACAGAACGAACTCTAATTCTTCGCATAAAGAAAATCTTTTTTTTAAATATATCGATTTTGAAAACTACAAACATTGTTGAAGATAAAACAAGAGTATCTTATAAGAATATAATGATTGACAGGAAAAATACAAAACCAGAAAAGAAAACCGATTATTGAATTGTATTTAATATAGTGAACATTAGAAATAGGAAATACGCTATCCAGCATTACTGCGTGTACTGATGTGTTCTTAATTACGTGTCGATGTTATGAAGGAAGCAGTTTCATCCGTCTGTGGGAGAACGTTTACGAATACAATGTATTTATGTCCTGTACATGTTAAATAGAAATAACGTAATTATGTCTACTGCCAAATATATGAGCAATAATTTGATTATACGTCGTAATAGACTAAGAGGTCGGATGTCGGTATACCGTCGAGTGGGTGCCTACTACCTCAGAACTGCAAAGCGTACAAGAAACCATTCCTCGTTAATCGCAGACATCAATGATCGAAGGGCGTTGCAGTGATATATGCGCTGGTGCGACAAGTATGTGACTGTTGCGTTGCACTTACGCTAAGACTGTGTCGGATGACTATGTGAAAAAAAATATTTATGCAATATCTACGTTTAGTACTGTCCAGGCGGTGATAGCAAAGTGACAAATTGTGATGGACAAATGTGTTGTACGTTATGACGTTGCAGCCGGCCGAACCGTTCTTACAAGTGTTTACAATTCACTTCATATTTTTCTACAGACAACAGATTCCATATTGTGATTGTATACAGTAATGTAATCGTAACGGGATGGATGTAAAATATTATTTAATATTTATTTAATAATGTCAGTAAATGTAGGGAGCAAAATTATATACTACCAAATTGGCTGGGACGTTTGGATTCCTTTGTGAGTGGTGGCAGATTGTGGCTCTGGTATCATTGGAAGTGGAACAAATATAGTGTCATGTAACATGCTATGTTATTTGACTCGAAGTACACGCTTTTCGGAAATAATCGGTCTCAATTAATGTATAAAGCCTAGTTGTACAATTTGTGGGAAGATGCTATAACAACAACAAAAACTATCCACTCACTGTGAAAACGTAGGTTTAGACTAAAGTGTACTTGTTATTGTATAGATTGACAAGATGAAAGTTTATTTTTTCTATATATCTGTGATGTGTGCAGTTAGCTACTGTAGAACTGGAAACTCTGTGTACAAAGACGTCTTTAGGTATTGTCAATTTCTAATAACCGCGTGTTAAGAATAAAGTCAATGGAGTAATCATAATGGTTAGTTAGTAAAAACTATGTGGCTTATGAATATTATACGCGTCGTGGAAATGGGGAAATAAGATAGATTCAACATCATGTGATATGAGCTGGTTAGAAGCACCAGGAGATCAGAAGTAATCGTCGATCGTTTGAAAAGGCTGTGGTTGGTTTTATGATACATTTGATGGTTTCCGTTCATATGTCAATTGATGGGCAACGTAAAAAAAAGTTGTTTTCGCTTTCGTCTGGTCTCCGGGCGCTCTTTGGGCCGAGCGGCCGTCCTCACAGTGTGCCTACCTGATCTTAAATTAATTGTATGTCATTGATAATAATTCACTCAGTCAAGCTAAGTTCCGACTATTATACCTTACCGTATTTTTTTTATTACTCATCACATTTCCAATACAATATTTACAATCAGTCACACAAGTACATTTATTCATTGACAGATTGAATACGATTATTAGCTTGGCTGAATAGAAAGTGTGTAATATTGAATTTGTGTCTTACATTAAATTTACGGTAGCTCAGTTGTTTCAGCGATTGTTAAGTTTTGGCTGTAATGGACGTTATATTGTTAACTTGAAAATGTTACAGTAGCATATTCTGGTCTTCGACTTGTTAAATGACTGAAGGCTAAGCGATATGCCCCGAGGGTTCTATAAAGCAATATGTGCCAATAGAAATTGTTGATGTTCGTTTTCCACGAGTTGTGGGTAGTTCTTTAAATCACTCAATATAATCAATATTTGGTTTGTTCGTCAAAATTTTCTCTTATGAGATCGAGCTTATACAACATTATTGACGTGTATGTTAGTTACTCTAGAACCTTTCTCCCAAATTGTGCAATATAAAACAATTCGACCCCAAAGTGATCTAAAAATTACAAAAAAAAGAATGTTCCTTGTCCATGTTAAGATGTTTCATATATTATTTATTTTATTTATTTCATTTTGAAATCTTATTAAAGTTAGCAAAGTTATTGGGCATATCACACTATAACATCAATTCTAAATTTTATGCCATTGTTCTAGGAGACTGCAACTAGCCTTTTGATTTTCCTATATATTAGGATACTTTTAAAATGGTCACCTTTTCAATTTTCTGTAGGTAATGGTACTTAAAAACTCTTTAACATTAAACTTTTTCTAAAATGTTATATTTTTATACTATGACGCACAATATCATTTATTTTATAATGATGTATTTGAAAGGCGACTTGATGTTTGATGCTGGTAGCGTGTTTCGTGACACTGCTCCCCTTGTATGAACGGCTCTATGTCAGCTACCTCATTAGACTGTCAATGGATTATTCGCTAAGCGATAAAATCGACGACCTCATTTTTGCAATAGTAACTACTTACGGATATAATCTCCTAGTAACAATCTATTGAAGCGCTTTTTAAAAAAAAGATAGCTTCTCCTATACATTTTTTATAATTTTGTGTTGGCTGTGGATAGCTCTCAGTTATATGTTACTTTGTTCTTACTAAATCTGTTCCGTCAGAAAACAGCCCCTTTTTCTTAAACTCAATGCTGATAATGATTGTTCGCGAGAGATTTAAATGGTGTTCTATCACAAATTCAACATTAAATCTGAGGCCCTTATAAAATTAACCTATGTTGCAATTACTTTATTATTTCTAGAAAAAGAAATACAGTATTGTTTCGAGCCTTTGAAGTGTGAGTATTTTGTCACTTTGCCTATAAATAATAATAACATTAATTATTATAGTTCGAATAAAAATTGTAAAATAATATAATAAAGAGAGAAATTTATTTTAATTGTAATATTATTGCGAAGCGAAAATGCTCATGTAAATAAAAATGACGTAGTGTATAAAGTTCTAATATGTTAGAAATACAGGAAATTGCATATTTAAATATGGCAGTTTCATTTAATGCCGCCTTGTCTCGTCCCCTGCGATTTCATTTTCAATATATTTTCATCGGTTTATGTTTTTAGTCATTCCTAATAAAAATTAAAAGAATCATCGCTAATAATTGCGGAAACATACCGAAAATATACGCCCGTATCTTTAATTTTCAGACCTTGAAATCATACGATAGACTCCGACTGCCCATTTGTTTCCTTTTTACGACAAAACACCTTAATCGATTTCAATGAAATTCGGTGTAAATATAGCTGGAATTGTGATACAGGATATATGCTATTTTTTATCATCACCACGTGAGTGAAACTGCAGGCGTAGGTAGAAGAAAACGAATGGCCAAAATTTACTAAAATTATTCTTAATATATCTCTGCAGTTTCTTACAATTTTTATCCAATCATTGTTCCATGGTCGATTTGCTGTATGAAACCTATAAAAATAATCAATACTTGCAAATAATTATAAAGAACACAATGAAATATATTACTTTTATATTTGAAATATTATTATTCCATCCAGGATCAGATCAAAGCAATGATCGTGAAGTCCTTCATTAAATCCTCCGCCTCCCCCCCCGTTAAATGACAACGGTCGCCCATTGACATTGGCAACACCTGTGGGGTTGCAGTGCAGATTCCACCTTTTAATAAAGTGGGCCCCGGCTACCTCACTCTTCTTGTATTATCTTGTATTATCTTGTATTAACTGATGTTTTTGCTTTCAGTCCCGAGACTATTAAAGTTTCATCTGACGCAGAACCGGTGGGCTAGCCAGAACCCACGGGTTTGGACCCTCCGCTGTGGGTAGGGCCACGCATGTGCTTATGCGTGCGTTTAACTACGGCATGTCATCTAAGGGCCATCGAGGTCGCGGTTCGGACCGAAACCCCGATGGCCGTCGCCTGTGCAATTAGCTTATCGGTGGCTGGGGGCGGTGAGAACCGCCCCGGAACGCGGGTGTACCTTGTGTACGCGTTGTGTTGGTCTCGCCGTGCTCGGAGGCGAGGGCGAACTAGTGTGTTTGTTGTTGCACTAACTGTGGGTATAGTGTTATCCGGCGGGACCCCCGGCGATGGGTACGAGGTACCTCACTCGCCAGACGAAACGCAGAAGTATAACACTTCACGCCGGTCTTCTGTGGGGTGGCCCTACACAGCTGTTTCTTGTTCATACTATTCTTCTTTGAAACAACTTACTTTCAAAATTATGCGTTTACGACCAATTCATTAATCGTATCATAATCGTTTTTACATAAAATTAAAATTTATTTATTATATATATTATGTATATTTATGTATTTTAGTGTAAAAAATTATTTGTTGTAGGTACTTGTTGCATGCTTTTTTCTTTACTGTTATAGGTGTAAAAGTAAAATACTAGGATGCCGAGATAAAAAATGGTAAATTGATTAGTAATGAATGCATCAGGCATTAAGTTAAATATATACTTAAATAATTGGTTTTTTACTAAAATGTTATCATTAATGCAGTAAAATTTACTTGCTTTTAGATTAGTTTTTTTTTTTCAATTTAATGACTAAATAATACGGGTCTGCCATTTCCTCGTGTTATCTACTCCTATTTTACGATTGAGTCTTAGGGTTTACGTCTATTTTACTTGAGGAGTTGGTAATTAAAAGTTGTTTGACCCGCCTCCATGTCGATAAATTGACAGATAATTTAAATGATGTTCAGAATTTTATGGTTAAGCTACGTCTAAATAGAATGCTCTACCAACTATACATTTTAAGGTTAAGTAGAAAAAAAGGGCGGTATATACTTTTTCGATTCATGATGTGTGTGATAATAAGTCATTAGTTTTCATTTCCAATGTACTTATTCGAATATTTGATGATTAGGTTCTTTTGAGCCGTGATAGCTCAGTGTCCGGGCGCTCGCCTTTAATTCAATATACTCGAGCCACCCGAGTTCGATCCCCGGTGCCGGCACCAATGAAGTTTTTAACTTTAATTGCTAACTTATCACGTGCTCCGCGGTGAAGGAAAACATCGTGAGGAAACCTGCATATTTTCGAAATAATAACAAAAAAATATATATTTCGAAGATATGTGAAGTCCTCCAATCCGCAGTGGGGCCGCGTGGTGGACTATGCCCTGATACCCTCTGTATAGAGGAGGCCTTTGCCCAGCAGTGGGACATGTTTAGGCTGTTACTTTACTTCTTTTTTACTTTAGGTTCCTTTTTATGCGAGAACATGGCAAGCGAATTAGCGGTTCACTATAAGTTAAGTGACAATCGCTGACCATGCGATGGGCAAATGCGTTGCCACCTTTTGATAAAGTGGGTCCCGGTGACATCACATTCCGAACGAAATGCAGAAGCATAACACTTCCACCAGCATGAAGCTGGACTCCTTTGAGTCCGTGGTGCCTCCCCTGGACGATCAAATTCGTACAAAAGCGAAGACTGCTGCGTGGCCCTAGCCCTACTAATGCTTATTTTCTCTGATACCATAAACGTCTGTTGTTGCTGATTCACTATTGGCTAAAAGAAGTGTTTTTTGTTCTATTGTGAGATTCATGCAGACAATTTCTTGTCAATATGTCTTATGAAGAGAGAGTATAGTTTTCGCTTCATCATCATCATTTCAGTATTGAACATAGGCCTCCCCCACACACTGCCACGAAGCACGATCCTGAGCCGCCTGCATCCATCGACTTCCCGCTTCCCGCATCGATTTGCACAGGTCACTCCATCTAGTGGGGGGTCGTCCTTCACTGCGATAGCCTGTACGAGGCTGCCACTCAAAAACCTTTCATCCCCGACGGTTCATTTCTATTGGTTAATATAATAAAATTAAATCAACAAAATAATATCCAAAAATCTCTTTAGTAACAGAAAAAGAAATCCGACTTCTATAATATTTCACTCACTACACATTTTCTATGTTATTTTGAGGAGTTCGTTCGTTGATTTATCCGCGTAATCCGGATGACGCAGTTTATAAATTAACAGATTTTAAAAATTCTTTTGAATTGTGGATACGACCCGTGAGCTTACCCGAACTCGATTCAACAACAGTTTCATCTAGTTCTCAGGCAACAAACGTAATGAGTAATGCAATCGAATTGAGAACCTTCTCCTTTTTCGACGTCGGTTGAAAAGTAACTAATACAAAGTACAAATGACGTCCTTTTGATGCACGAGCGGATATGCATTACATTTCGATACGACACCTACGTTTCAGCGCCTTGTTGCTTTGTTTTTGAATATTTTAACATGTTTTAAATTTCCGTTCGGTTGTTGCGTATAAGAGATAATTGTTGCGTTTTGTTGTGCATCACATTCTAAGGCGGGATACTCGATGGATTTTTATCACAGCGACATCTTCTGGGTTACAATGTTATTTTAAACTGGAATAGGGTCCAGTAACAAAATATCGTACATAAATAACAAAGAAGCCAATTGAGCACGGAGATTTATAAATATTTTGAAGAAAATATAAGTTTTATGCCTGTAAATGATGTTTTTGCACAATATTTTGCGTCGTTGGCTTAGATCAATGTCAGAGTCGGCCTCTTCCGGCAGACTGCGGAACCTTCATGACAATGTTCGCTAATTAGATAAGATTGCTAACGTTACCAAAAACAACGTAACGAATATTGTACGATTTGCTTATCTATACTTAAATAATACTTCGCGGTCATTTTAGGTCATTGACGTTCCTATTAGAGAAACGCATTACATGAAATAAAAGAATTCTTTGTTCTATTTGAATTTAAAATGTTTGTTTCGGTTTATGTCTGCGCTTCGAGCAATTCCTAATATCACATGATTACAAGTTATCCGACAAGCTATTTAATAAACTTTGCTGGCCTTTCTTCACTTTGCAGACGTTAGAAAATGTTAAAAAAAGAAGTTAGACCATGCGGTGATAATAATATTTTTATATTATTATCACCTCATTATATTAAACATATAATTAAGAAAAACCAATCAATTAGTTTCAAAATGTAGTCTCTATGGCGTGACTTATATCATTACTAAAAGCATTTCCAAAATAACTAATTAAATTTAAAAAAATCTGTGTATATTTAGTAACAACTATAAACTTTGTTGTTGTTCGTAAAGTAATTTAAATTGCGTAAATAGGTTAATAGTCAGCATACGTAATAAGATTTTACTGCAGTTTAGATAATTTAATACTTTAATGACATTATGATAGCATGCAAATGTTGTAAACTGGTAATTCACGAGATTGACAAAATCCTAATGGTAGTAAATAAATTAAAAAGAAATAATAATACATAGAGTAATTTAAGAGGTTTCTTATGCGATGTCGAAAACAAAACTTCAGTATTCCACCCGTGCGAAGCCGGGGTGGGTCGGGGTGGTAGCTAGTAAAGTATAAAACATAGTCATCCCGCTGTCTGTCTGTCCCTTGTATGCTTTGATCTTTAAAACGACGCAATCGATCTTGATGCGGTTTTTTTACTACATAGAGTGATTCAAAAGGAAGGTTTATATGTATAATACATTGCACCCGTGCGAAGTCGGGGCGGGTCGCTAGTAACACATTAAATATGATGTAATAATTTATTAATAAAAAAAGCGCAAATGTTGCATTCAAAAAACCTTTTTAAATTTGATATTTTTGATCCTATTTCATATTATTCTTGTAGTTTTTTTGTCTATGGTCATTCGGTCCTTCGATAATTGTGTGAATACAAAAAAAATGTTAATAATGCCAATGAGGTGTAACTACATCCGTGTGCACTTTGCACACAAACTGTTTTTATTTCGTGCATCCTTTATCAGGAAATAGGAGGAACCTTGTAGGCGGTAATCTTCGTTATGTGTGTTTACCCTATGACAGGTCCTCGTGTTTCCTATATAAGATACTCGTGCGGTATTGCCTCGCAGACATTCGGGTGCTTTCTGGTTGCCTGGTACATTTTGGCGGAAAAATCGTTTCGTTTTTATACTTTACACTTTTTTTTTTAATCTTGTTTCTCCGGTGAATAGTTATAAAATGAGTGTTTTCAATATTGCCGTTTTGCTTCTATCAGTAACTGGTTCGGATTTATTGCCAGTAGAGGACAAGGATGTGGACATATTAGTTCCTGACGATTTTGAGTATAGTAATGGCATACAAGGAGGTGATGTTGGCATTGATTTATCCAGTCTAGGTCCAGATGCCTACGTTTCACCCAACAACAGCAGTGGTAAGTGATTTTTGATAACAAGTAGAAAATGGAAGTATTTCTTTGTAACTAAAGTTTTATGATTTACGTACAAAGGATAAATAATTTTAAAGAGATTTAAACATGTAATTAAATTTGCATAAGTTGGTTCTCTTTGACACTTCCTTTCGAAATTATGCGTTTACGATCAATTCATTAATCGCCTAACTAGTTACTCGTTTTACACTATATTATATCTATGTATATATGAATTAAGTGTAATAATGTATTTGTTATAGGGATTTGTTTTGTGCTTTTTTTTCTTTTACTGGATTTTGAAAAACTGTGTTATTATAAATCAAGACATTTGGTACAGTACCAAACATAACGCATAGTACAATAGAAACAGTATAGGTCATGATATTATGCGAAAACTGCATTGATGAAGGGCCAGAGAGCGAGTTGAAAGATATATGAAACAAAAGGCAACTTTCCACTTGAGAAAATACATATCCCATGAACTGTCGTAGTTAGACGGTTGACATTTTCTCAGATCATGTATTTCTGTTGCCGCAACAAATACTAAAAACACACACAAAAAACGCTACAACAACAAAGAATAAAAAAAAGAGTTAGAGTAGGGCTTCCATACAACAGACACGATATTTTTTGCCGTTTTTATGACGTACGGAACCCATTGTGCGTGAGCCCGACTTGCACTTGGCCAGTTTTTTTTTAGTATGAACATAAATAAGCCTTTGTTGTCCTCTTAATGTAAACAGAAAATTTAACTAGTGTGCGAAGATGATGGTGGTAACGACTCCGTGACGTGGGTCGTGGGTTGTGGGTTCGATTCCCACACGAGACAACTATTTCTGTGGCCCACTACTGTGAAATTTATATATGTAAAGATTTAAATATGTAACGTCTCAGAACGTGTTGTAAAGACGTGTACGTTTTTACATGTGTTTTAAAGACGTTTTACACACATAAATTTAATAATGTTATATTTTAGTATGGGAGCAGCTATTTTAGTATGGCCCTCTGAATGTAAACAGAAATAATCTCGATTCAAAACTGCATTATGAACGAGTAATTTGGCGTTTATTTTAAAGACTTTCCTGTGTTTTTGATATGGAATAAGTCTTGAACGATAAAACCCCGAACGACTCGGATTTCCTGCGAGTGACGATCCACTTCCTCACAATTATGATCCCCTGATAACTGTACAAAAGGCTCATTACATTTACGTGCTCTCATTAGCATGTTGCCAGATAAAATCTTCGTTAAAATGTTGTTTCTGGTTAAAACTGGTAGGACCACGCAACGGTGTTCACTGTTGCCCAAATGGGCTCCGTTCGGGTAAGTACCACGACCCCACAGAAGAACAGCGTAAAGTAGAAGTGTTACACTTCTGCGTTTCGTCAGGTGACTGAGGTACCAGGGGCCCACTTTATGTAGAGGTGGCAACGCATTTGCAACCCTACGAGTGTTGCAAATGTCCATGGCCGGCGTTTATCACTTAACACATAACATTGCCACTTTCTCACATAAAAAAGAGTAATGTATATAAATAAAGTCCCTTTTTGTGGTTTATACAAAAATCATGAAGTTATATGTAAAAAATATTTTCATAGGTAACGCTCTATCGGAATGGTCCGAGTCATCGCTGGTGAATCCCGAAGAATTGGGCAATTATGGACAGGGCGATATCTTAATGCCCCATTACCTGACCAGGAACGGTATGAAGGAACAGTCCTCGCGCTGGCCCAACGGAATTATACCATACTCTATAGAAGGAGGATTTAGTAAGCATGTTTGTTTGTAATTTCTTCCTTCATGGATTGTGGTTTTTTTTTATTTTATTTTTTTTATTTTTTTTTGGGCTGGATGAGCCACTGTTGGCCTTAGAGGCCTTTACAACCGGACTTGAGGTGGCCTGGCGCGCGAGGCGCCTAGCCTGAACCTCTTGGATTGTGGTGATGCAAGAAGCAACGTGATAATATACGCTTGTAATTAGTTAAGAGAAACGTAATGTTAAAAGCATGAGACTTGAATATATCAATGAACAGTTCTAAAAGTAATTGTAACAACAAGAGAAATGTCTTACATCAATAATGGCATAAGGTAAACCCGAATAGAGTGTGGCGTTCCCCTAGGCTCCTGCCCATCACACGGTTCTCACTGCTTCCAGTCACCGATTAATAGAATCAAAGGTTGTTGGGACTATGTTCAGCACCAAACCCTGATGGTACACAGGGGATAATTGCAACCCTAGTAGATAAGCTTTAGTCTGAAAGCGAAATAACCATCAGCTAAATAAAAACTAGAAAAAGATAGACTAGAGCAAAAGTGTTACTTAAGAATAAGGTTATTTTAATATAACTTACAAATCATGTTTTATTGATATTTAAAATATTTAGAAATAGAATTTGTTTAGAACAAATTTCTGTTTTTAGAATTTTTAAGTTATAATTTTATGTCAAACTTACAGATCAAGACCAAAGAGATATGATTATGAAGGCCATTGCAGACTACCACCGTCTGACTTGTCTTCGTTTTGTGCCTTACAAGGGACAGTCAGACTACATTGCCATAACCAGCGCAAATACTGGATGTTGGTCCAGTGTTGGACGGATTGGTATGCCTGTTTTATTTTTAATCGACTTCACAACGACGTGGTTCTCAATTCGACAGTATTTTTTATGTTTGTTACCTTTTGGATTTTTGGGGGTGGAGCTTTTGGAATGATTGAACCGATTTTGATGATTCTTCTTTTATTTGAAAGCTGGTGCTTCTCATGTGGTTCCATATTAATTTCATTGGTATTGGATCTTGGGCTCCGGAGTACTCAGGGAACTCCTGAAAATCAATTATAAAATGAATACAGAACGAGATATTTGAAGTCGGTTTTTTGTTTCGTTCGTAAAAAAATGGTTATTATCTATGTACATATTATACCTTAAAGTACCAATGTGGTACTGCAGGTTTTATTTTGGCAGGGCTTGTATGGAACTTTCGTATCAAATCTAGTTTTTATAAAACTTGATAAGGATATTGAATGTGAGAATATCTTATGCAGAGACTATCGGACCCGAAATACAATGTCCTGTACACTAGTATTAAATCCGAAAACAAGTCATAAATAAAAAAATAATTCAAAAACATTTTTAGTGGACTTAATCGTGTATCTAAACCATTTTCGAATCAACCTGAATTTGAACACACAAAATATTTCATCAAAATCGGCCCAGCTTTTTAGGAGGAGTGTCTCTGTACAAGTCGTAAGTAATAATGCAAAACTTAAATTCAATCTTAAGTAAATTAATGAAATAAAATTCTACTCCAGTAAAGCAGGCACAGTTTTAAAAGGACATTTGACTCGACACTCGATTCTTTCGTCGACGGCAGGCTAGCAGAGGACTAAATAGATTTTTATTTGTGTTATATGCTTAATCTGTATTTATGACCAGCTGTGGTATTTCACTATTTAACTGTGGTAGGGCCACGCAACAGTTTTCGCTCTTGCACCAATGGGCGGGCCCGTCCAGGTAAGTACCATGATCTCACAGTAGACCGGCGCTAAGTGGAAGTGTTAAACGTCTGCGTTTCGTCTGTTAGGTGTTCCAAATGTCAATGGGCTACTATCACTTAGCATAAGGTGAATCACCTACTCGCTGGCCACCTTCGCACATAAAAAAAAAGAATTTTGAGAATCGGTCACAAATGGGGGAGAAATCGGTGAACATACAAAAAAAATATATACAGCCGAATATAAAACCTCTTCCTTTTTTGAAGTCTGTTAGAAAATGAGTTAGTCCATAATATAACTAATATAAATCACAATACACATATAAATATTACCACCATGATGCAAAAATAATGGTTGCTGGTTATATGACCGAGAGCGAGATGAAATAATCTTTAACCGAAAGGAATAAAAATAACGTATATTATATACATTTCTTGTTCTGTTTTATGGTATAACAATAAGGTCTCGCTACGGTTCATATCGACCAGGAGAACATAATCACACGCTAATGGATGCGAACAGCGTCGAACAATTCGTTCTCAGGCTGTTTCATTTTTAAATCTGAGGACACATCAAACACTACCTTACGCTTTTGACAATAAGGTTGTTAATTTTATTTTACAACGGTTACGAAAAAATAGGTCGAGTGCTACCTCGCGTCGGATGCAAGTTACCCTTTTCTATTCAGGGGGCCGCCAAGAAGTGAACCTGCAAGCGCCCGGCTGCACCACAAAGAAGGGTACAGTGCTGCACGAAATCCTCCACGCTGTCGGCTTCACCCATGAGCAGAGTCGTCCCGAGAGGGATGACTACGTCACGATCAATTATAACAACGTGAAACCGGGTACAATTTCATAGCTCACATCTGCCTTTATTTAATATTAATAAACAGGTAGTGGCATCGGTGTCCCCTGCTCGTGAAAATACAACAGCCATTATATAACTTATATAAAAAGTTAGTGCAGGTTTAGGTGTCTCCTGCTCAGTTACTCGTGAAAAAATTGTAACGATCTTTTTTGTGGATTGTGGACACCCCGATGTCTGAGAAACTAAAAACAAATACTTCTAAGACATGTGAAGTCAAGCAAAGGAATCGCATCCGGCAATTTTCCCTTCTATGTACACTCTTCCTTAACGAAATCTTTCGGATAATTGATGATATTTATTGATATTTATATATTGTAACTGACGTAGGCCAACTTCTCACAAAAGTTGCATTAATTCTCCAAGATAAGAAGAAAATTCAAAGATTTAACAAAACTACTAGGCTAGCATAACGTGTAAAGATGTTAACGATAGCCGATTTCAGGTTCGGAGAACAACTTCAAGAAGTCGGACAGCAAATACGTTAGCGGCTTCGGCGTCTCCTACGACTACAACAGTGTTATGCACTACTCGGAGTACGCGTTTTCTAGAAACACTAAGAAAACTATTGAACCTAAGGTACGTTTTTGTACTATTTAAATAGCTCGTTAGCTATGACAGTTTTGTTGATTTTGCTTTTACGCCGACTTGCTTATAAGAAAACTTGCAATTGATATTAAAAAGACGAAAGTTGTGTATGCGACTCAACCGAGTTCGTTTCTCTCAATTGAAATACTCACGCCCGGTTTCTGAAACACTGATCATCGTAGAATTTAACTAATCAGCTGTCAAATGACTTTTCAAATAGCATTTGAGTTGCCAAAAGGATGGTTATAGTCTCTGAAATAATTCGAAAAGTCCAGTGCGATGAAAGCTACAGTCAAATTAAGATATTTGATCATAAATAAAATACACGTAGTTCTCAATATTTTGGCGACTTAAATATGTATTAAATATGTAATTAATGAATAAGATTTACTGCATACTCGAGCCGTGATAGCTCAGTGTCCGGGCGCTCGCTTTTAATTCAAAATACTCGAGCAACCCGAGTTCGATCCCCGGTGCCGGCACCAATGAAGTTTTAACCTTTTAACTTTAAGTGCTGACTTATCACGTGCTCAGCGGTGAAGTAAAACATCGTGAGGAAACCGGCATATTATTGAAATAATTACAAAAAGAATATTTTTCGAAGATATGTGAAGTCCGCAGTGGGGCCGCGTGATGGACTATGCCTTGATACCCTCTGTATAGAGGCCTTTGCCCAGCAGTGGGACATGTATAGGCTGTTACTTTACTTTTTACTTTTACATACTCAAGTTGTTAAGACACTGTGGATGAAAATTAGGTTTTATTGTTTACACTTAAAATTATGTACTATCCCTATGTGAGACTTCATGCAGTGAATTCAGGATACCTCTTTCTCTGTGCGTTTGACTATGATGTACAAGTAGATTGATAAGGCAAGAACATTTAAAATTTTAATCGCAGGTGGGAGGAGTGAAACTGGGTCAGAGGGAGGGACTCAGCCGCGGCGACGTGAGGAAGGTTAATAATATGTACAACTGTAAAAAACAGTAAGTTTTCGTCTATTTCTCTATTGCTGTTCCATTATACTTTATGTTCCCTTAGTATTATTAGGTATTATTGTACACAATGTTGCGACCAGTTTGTACTTGTTAACTACTACTTTTACTTCCTGGTACTTTTTTTTTGGTTATTTATTACTTCTCCTTCTTGGTCTCACTATTTACTCTTGTTTATTTTTTATTTATTTTTATTTATTTAAAATAAAGTACAAACATAAATTATTCTCTGCCAAACTGTGATTCAGTTTTTTTGTGAATCGATGTACTTCAACCTTACTAATAAGACACCTATGTATAATATCTATGTACCTATATATATATCATCTAAATACAATTTCTTAATTATAAGTACCTGTAATATATAAAGTCCACCAATTTATAGTATGTTAGAATAAATTTAATACTTATTATTGTTATGGGTATATTTTAATTAAGCTTTGACTATGCCCTCTCTGTATGAGAAGTCATTTTGTCTAGCAGTCTTGAATTTAATTTTATATGAAAAGTTACCAAGCGAGCAGTCTCTTCACATCATGTTAAGTGAATAAGGCCGTCTATGGATAGTACCACATCTGAGATGTGGTACTTCGGAGTAGTCTTTGTTGCCAATATTTAGAAATGGTCTTCGTCTACCTTACTCACCAAATGGAACGCGTAAGTATCTACTAAAGAAGCTGCTACGAGGCCGTACCATACATAGGCTGCGATTTGTAATGAAAACTGTGATTCTCTATTACATTAAAAACAGACTAGTTTAGAGTTATGGAGCTATCGCAGGAAAACCTAGATAATACACGATGATGCACACATGGGGTAAAAACTGCGGTAACTGATAGATAGGGATCACATTATTAAAAATTTCAAAAGTTATTCTACTAAGTAGTGTCCTTCCGTGTTCCCCAGGGAGCCTCAAAATGGGTGGTTAGCCGACATATGGCAAAACATCTTCGGCGGCGACAAAACATCTAAATAAGGGCATTGTATTTGGAAAGCTTGAGCATATGTTTTGTCTTTTCGAAAGATCTGTTATTTATCTTCCTGTACTAGTCTCAATTAAATTTTAATTTTATGTACGAGGATATGAAATAAAGGTGTTTTTGTAAAACTACTGAAGGATCTGTTTCCCTTTTCTCTTCCTTTTGCGCATTGTCAATTATTTTTAAGATTTTTAATTTTGACAAAATCATTTATACGAAATGTGACATTTTGAGAGCACTAACGCTGCATAGTTGGCAACATTGGACATTTTTAATTAAATCTACTCGAGCAACCCGAGTTCGATTGTCATTGCCGGCAAAAATGAAAATGTTAATTTTATGTGCTGACTTATCACGTGCTCAGCGGTGAAGCAAAAGTTCGTGAAACCTGCATATATTTGAAATAATAACAAAAAATAAATATTTCAAAATTATGAGAAGTTTGCCAATACGCAGTGGGGTTGCGTGGTGGATTATGCCCTCTGTACAGAGGAGGCGTTTGGCCAGCAGTGCGATATTTATAGGATGTTACTTTATTTTTAGTGCTAATCTGGCAGAGATTGGCAACGACAGCCGGAGCCGAAGACACCGTAGCAACTGCCACCGATTCATTATTAGGTAGAATACAAACTAAAATAGGAAATATACTCATACGAAGCAATTTTTGTTTTTTAAATAAAAGACGCGAGTAATATGCTTATTATTTATAATTGTTATGCTTTGTTAGTTAATTTTACAGTATAAATTGCATCATCCATAATTTATGCGCAGTCTCCTAGTTTTATAGTCCTCGTATTAACACAGCCGTCATCTTCTATTTAGCTTTCTCGAGCTTTTCTATTTCCTTCTCCATCAGACACTTTATGAACTGATACGACCTTTCGCACATGCACGTTTCCTCTAGAACGAAAAAAAAAGGCATATAAAATTACATAACTAAAAAGGAATCTTTTTTCTGAACAGTGCAGAATAAATACAACTAAAATATTTATGCATACTGCATGAATGTGATACAGGGAAAACGGGAAGTAAACCTAAAATTTTTTGGATGGTGGCTGGTGAGCAGGCGGCTTATCAGAAGATTATGCCACCGCCAATCCACCGTTCATCGCTCTACAATAACTGTGGAGTTGCTGATGCTTCACCATTAAAAAATGCGGGCTCCAGATACCTCACTCACCAGAGAAGAAAGTAATAAGTATTATACTTTACTTCACGATGGTCTTCTGTAAGGCCGTGGCACTTCCCCCGACAAGGCTGCCCATTTTTGTATATAGAAGCTTCACCATGAACAGTGCAGAAGAAATCGCTTCGTCCAGTTCATCCAACAGGCGTTACTGACGCTAATGGGTGATGGACAGTAAATTCCACAACCCAATCTAGAAGCGATCATACTCAATCGTCGACTGCATAACTTTAACTGTGGTAGGGCCAAGCAGCAGTCTTCATTGTTGCACGACTCGGTAGGTCCAGCCGGATAAGTACCTTGGCCGTGTTTGTACATAGTATCTCGGTACCTAGTTATACTTCTGCGATTCGTCTGGTAGGTGCGGTAGAGTACTTTGTTGAAAGGTGACTACGTATCTGCAACCCTACGGGTGTTACAAATGTTAATGGGCTAGGGTTGTCACTTAACATCAGCAACCGCCAGCTCGTTTGCCACCTTCTCACATTAAAAATGACGTCCCTGCCAACCCGGTCATAGTAGAGGAAGAAAGTATATTGGATTCAACGGTCTATCTAATCTAACCATCCAAAAATTAGATATAGATGTAGTTTTGGCACGCTATGTGGTTAAGTTTGACGGGGTACGGTGAGAAGAAAGTAATACGCACACTAGTTAAATCTCCAGGGCAGTCCTCATCGCTTCCAGCTAATAACTAACCCCATGTAAGATACCTCCAATTATCTGAACCAGTATTTTTCTGTCAGAGCCCGCATACGCATAAAGTTATAAGAGGCTTAACAAGCCCATTTAAACTGTTACCTATAACCTATAAGCAGGCTCCGTATGCCAGGAAGCTCGTCGCAAAAAAGAAGAAGAGCGTTCACCATTTATTCTTGAACTAGCGACCTACCCCGGCTTCGCACGGGTGCAATGTAGATATTAACTTTCTCCTTTCTCTACTTTAATATGAATATACATAAAACCTTCCGCATGAATCACTATCCATTGTTGAAAACCGCATTTAAATCCGTAGTGTAGTTTAAAAGACGTAAGCGTACAGCACCTTTAGCGACTTTGTTTTAAACTATGTAAAGAAGTCACGAATTTAGAGACTTACTCCTCTCTACGCAGTTCGAAGCCATTTCTTCAAGAGCATCGGTATCGAAGCCGCCCCTTACTTGCGCCAGCACCACGGCCGCCTTTCGAGGGTCGAATTGACCATCTTCTGATGCCACGCCGCTGCTCTCCAGCACGCAACGTATATAGCACTATTAAAGCAAATTTTGATTAGAGAAATGTATTTGTCTCTAACAACGCATGGCAAAAGCCGTGATAGCTCAGTGTCCGGGCGCTCGCCTTCAATTCGATTTACTAATATTATTTTTTATTTTAAGTGCTGACTTATCACGTGCTCGGCGATGAAGGAAAACATCGTGAGGAAACCTTTTTTTTTTATGAGCAAGTAGCAAACGACCCATGCAAGCAAACCGCCTACCCATGGACACATGGCAACACCCGTAGGGTTGAAAATGCATTGCCACCTTTTAATAATGTGGGCCCCGGCTGCCTCACTCACCAGACGAAACGGAGAATTGCAACACTTTCACTTTACGCCGGTCTTCTGCGAGGTCGTGGTACTAACCCGGATGGACCTGCCCATTCGTGCAATAGCGAACACTGTTCAAAATCAAAAATATATTTATTCAAATAGACGCTTGCGCGCTCTTATGAATCGTCAAATTTTACATCAAAGATTATGTATATAGGTTCGTAAGGTACCGGTATTCGGCAGTTTCTGTTGAGAAGAGGCCGGCAAGAAACTCAACAGTTGCTCTTTTTCAAAAATATCAGGGTACAATATAATATACAGGTATAATAGTCTTATTCTAATCTACGTGAGTATCAACAGTATAACTCCACACATTGGCGTCGTCGAGATATTCCGAAATGGTATAATATGCTTTAATCATTACTTGATTTTTAATTTTACATTTAAATTGGTCAAGCGGCAGACTTAATATCGACCGTGGGATTTTATTATACATGCGCACACTTTCCCCATGAACGACCTATTTACTTTTTGTAGACGAAACAATGGCGTAGTAAGTTTGTCCTTATTTCTAGTGTTTATTTTATGTCTGTCACTATTCTTTAGGTAATAATTATTATTTTTTTTACTTATTACTTTAGGTAAAAATATTACAATAAATGTATTGAGAAGCAACAGTGAGTATATTAACCTCTTTGAAAAGATCTCCGAGTGAATTCCGGGCTCTGATATTGTAGATTGCTCGGACAGCTCTTTTTTGAAGAATAAATATAGAATTTATATCTGATGCACTACCCCACAACAAAATGCCGTACGACAAGATGCTGTGAAAATAACTAAAGTAAACAAGTCTGGCAGTGTCGATGTCTGTTAGCTGCCTAACCCTTCTAATCACAAAAACAGCGGAGTTCAGCCTATTCGCAAGAGATGATAGATGGGGACTCGACTGGAGCTTTGAATCTACTGTAATTCCCAGAAATAATGCAGACTCAACTGGATTAATGGGTACGTTATTTAATATTAAACTAAAACTTTTCCTTCTTATACTGGGAAGGGTAAAAAGAATACATCTGGTTTTTTGGCATTTAACACCATATTATTAATACGTCGTCATAATTTAATACGTTTCGGTCAACTTTAAAAATTAGCGATCGCCAGCAAACAGTACAACATCACACAACCCACTGGCATAAAAGGGGAGATCATTAATATATACTAAAAATAATAATGGGCCCAAGATTGATCCTTGTGGGACACCCATTTTCATCGGGGACCCAGCGGAATTAACATCATTTATAGATACTTTTTGAATTCTATTACTATTACTGTTGCTCGGCCCTACCACCGTTGTTACTAAGGCATGGCGAAATAGGGCCATCATTATGCATGACTGCGTCCCGAATACATGTCTATTCTAGTGTATATATATTATCATATGTGCGCGCTATTTGAATCCATATTAATCGAGTTGGCCTGATTCTGCTAACGTAGCAATGATCAAAAGCATAGTATTTTACATAACCGTACTTCAAGAATTGTTTATGCATTCAACGTCTGTATGATATTATGATAATACATATTTAATATTTAATTAAGATACAAGAATTCTTGTCAATTATTTTCGTTTTGATACAATGAAAAGGCTGAGTTTACTCGGACATTCAGCCACGTAAAATAAGTTGCTGCGTGGAAGCTAGATAAACAGTAAGGCGGTAATTTAGTTAATAGACATAACATTTATTTATCACTTATTGTAAATCGAAAAGGTACGGTCTTGTACTGTGGTAGGGCCACGCAGCAGCCTCGTCTGTTGCACTAATGGGCAGGCTCGTCCGGGTAAGTCACGATCTCACAGAAAACCGGCGTAAACTGGAAGTATGACAAATACTTTCGCGTTTCGCCTGGTAAGTGAGGTAGCCGGAGCCCAATTTTCAAAAGGTTGTCAACGCATCTGTAACCCCCGGGTGTAGCAGATGTCCATGGGCGGCGGTATTCACTTAACATCAGGTGAACCGTCTGCACGTTTGGCAACTTTTCACATTAAAAAAATAACTAATGACGTAACTTATTGTGTGTACGCGAATACTTTACACATTTTTAAATTAAAGTAATTTGTTGATGAATTTCGTAAATACCAAAGCGTGACATAATCCCCTTTTAATCTGAAAGAGGTTGTATGAAAAGCGATTTGACACCGCAAATGTGTTGATCATTACAGGTACCAAGCGAATTCATTAGGTATTTTCGCAAAAATATGTAGATAAATAGAATAGTGGAAAAATTTGTCACCGCTGCAAGGATTCGAAACTGCGCCTTTACGGTAACGCGCATAGACGCTCCAACCACTAAAGCTATCCTCGTCGCAAGAAAATCTCAAAATACTACGTCATCCAGCGTGCTTCCTTTACAGCAAACACACTTTCACGAAATTATTACAAACGAATAAATACATATTTGAAAACTAGCGATGGCGCCTTTGGACTTAACTTTTAAGTTTACTTAGTCTCCGCACTTAAAATGAAACTTAAGAGCGCCTAAATTCAGATAAGTTGTATATGGTATTTTCTTATTCTTTGTTTTTTATTTCCTATTCCTATTCTATTGATGGGTCGTGATTACATCGGTTATAATGAACAGCTCACGATGTTTGTGAACCATTACGGTAATTCTGTTATATCGTGGTTAATTCCGCACAATGGTCCCCGCCATACATAGCGTAATGTCAATATAGGAAATTGCCGCCGGTTAAACTGTGTACCGTTAAAATAATTAATGACTAGCAAGTTATTGCTGATTAAATTGTTATCTAGAAGAAAACAATATGCATACATCGTATTAATCTGTTCCTGTTATTATATATATCGTTGCATTTATTATCTCAGCTTTTATAAGCTTATTTTTATCAGTTTTATTTAGTTTTATACAGATTATAATTATCTCTAAAATCATCATATTATCAAAAAAAAATAGGAACAAAACTCACTTTTGGCGTCCTGTCGGTCTCATCGGGAAAACTTCCACTCTCGTTCAGCTGTTCTAGGTACGCTGAAAAATATATATATATATATATATATATATGTTTGGTTTAAAATACGATCTAAATAGTGGAATATGTTAATAGTTGAAATAAGAACTAAAAAAACTCGATGCGTATGTATAAAATTTGTTTTTTATATACATATTGGCGCGAAGCATTCGCCATTTTATTTTTTTATATAGTTTTAATTTGATGATTCTAAGAAGATGTCATTAGACAAAATCGTCTCAGCCGCTTTATAGTTACGAGGGCACAGATAGAAGGACACATATGTACATACATATAGGTCTACACATAACCATTCTTCATTGGCTTCGCTGTAGAAGGGTAAGAAATATGTTTTCAAATTAAATTTATTTTTTTGCGATGGTTAATTTTTTAGTGTACGCTAATTAACGGAAATGGGTAATAGATTAATTTATTTGTTTCTTACGAATTCGTTGATTCATTTAACTATTTAGTAAAGGTATGCTGATTAAAAAAATCATATAACAAATTGAATTTGGCATTGGACGAAGATGCGAACCTTTTAAAAACGGGTCCCCGGCTACCTCACTCACCAACCGCAGAGGAAACGCAGAAGTGTAACACTTTCACTTTACGCCGGTCTTCTGTGAGGTTGTGGTGCTTACCCGGACGAGCCTGCCCATCGTGCAACAGCCGAGGCTGCTGCGTGGCCCTACCACAGCTTAACATCACGAAGCGGCTTTCTTCAATTTTCCGTGAACGGACACTCCGCTTTTTTGGACACATTACATTGGTCACAGCCTCGAGAAGCAGATGAACGGCAGACGTGCTCAAGGCATCGCAACGACAAGATGGGCTGACAGTGGAATGGCGGATGGAGCGCGGTGGGCGGCAGCATGCTACGCGCGGTTTTCTTTGGTATCGGGGGAAATCTTCAAAAGATACCCTGTCATGTCTTGACAAGGTTATGTGGGGTTCGTACCCACTAAAACCCTGGTGGCCACCTTCTGTACGTTTGGAGGGATTCCGGGATCTCCTACGGAACGCGCCGGAGTAGGATAAACCTTCCCCGATTCCCTCGCCATCTTGCAGCAGCTCGAGACCGCTTCTAGCTGCTGCCTATCAGAGTCCCCTTTTCATGCCTTTTCACACCGCCTATAACCGCACGGACGGAAGAGAACGACATGTGATCACGATCCCCAGAATTGAGGAACCGTGCAAAAAGAAGAAGAATGTTTGAACAGCTTTTGTACTTACACATTTCAATTCTAAATGTTTCGTTGCAATCCCTCATAATGCCTATTAAGTCTTTGTCGTTTCTGACATCCTGGTCCTCTTTAGAGGTCGGCGTCCTAGTAGTTGTAGTGGTTTTTTCTTTCGTTTTTATATCATTATCCTTCGTTTTCTTACTACATTGTATCGATGAAAACGTTAAGAAGACCAGAGATATGATTACCACGTATCTCAACATTTGTGATGCCCTAGTACAAATGATTCCATTTCATTCATTCTGTTCGGTATTTATACGATTAAAAAGACAATTCAATTTAGGGCTGAGAAACATTTTCAAAAAAAAATAAACGTAAAAAAAATTCTCTAACCTAACTGTTCAAGAAACAAATTAGTTGATTAACAAAATTGTTGTTTCAATTTCAGCTACAAAATAGTTGAAATTGAACAGTTTTGCTTTTAGAATTCAGTTTTATGTTTAATTAATGTTATTTCGTATGAAATTGCTTCATTTTACAGCTAAAATTTTGTTAAAACGTTTTCCAAATAGTTCGTAACTTGTTAGACTATACTGTGAGAACACGTAGATGGTATTAGCTAATATTATATAAATACATACAATTTAAAATATTTCAACTTCAATACCTATGTCAGCATGGTTGAAATCAACACAATCCTATCTTCACAGAATTCTACAGTTACTTTTTTTAAATTCATGTAATTGAAATTCAGCGGAACGTTGTCTAAAAAGACCCGTAAGAACATTAAAAAAGAAACGTCTTATGCAAACGCTGAATTAACTAACTATTACGTCCACGTGTTGAATGTATTATCATATAGAAATTCGGGATCAAGGATCGCATTTCAATGATATCGGTCCGATCCATGTCTATGTCTAATTACATGGCTCGGCAATCGTTGTGCCGCAAGTCTTTTGAATATTTTTATAATCTCTCAGATGTAATAACAGGCAATGTGTGCAATGGTTGTCGTCTCTATGCTCCCTCTATTAATATCAACTATAGAAACTAGTAAATGAAACTAATTTTACGGATTTATCGCGTTTATTTTTAATTTTAATTCCCGACGTTTCGAACCCTTTACAGCGTTCTGTCCCGTGAGCATGAACGCTGTAAAGGGTTCGAAACGTCGGGAATTAAAATTAAAAATAAACGCGATAAATCCGTAAAATTAGTTTCATTTATAATGTGTAATCGCGTAAATACAAGAAATTATTATATAGAAACTAGTATTCCAATAAGAAGAAGCATTGAATTATTGATGACTAGCGACCCGCCCCGGCTTCGCACGGTACATATAAACCTAATATTGTATTATACATATAAACCTTCATCTAAAATCACTCTATCTAGTAAAAAAACCGCATCAAGATCCGTTGCGTAGTTTTAAAGATCTAAGCATACATGGGTACAGACAGACAGCGGGACGACTTTGTTTTATGCTGAATAGTGATTATTATTCAATGTACACATTATGAAAAGAAGTTTCAGCTAACAATAAGCGGCCTTATTATGTATAGTTGTATCTCGTGATGTTCTTACAGGCCTACTATTTTAAGGCGTATTCAGATGTTTGAAATTAGTCAATAACTAATTAGAAATGTTTTAGTAAAAGTTCGGTTAAAAATGTTGTTCACCCATGTTCTAGTGGCCTCTACGTTGTCATATCATGTAGCAAAATGGTTTAATTGCCTAATGAATCCTTAATAAGAGTAGGGGGAGGGGGTTAGACGTTCATTATGGCTCCAGCGCTATCGGTAATTCGAATGGGGCTGTTAACGCTCCAAATTGGACTCGTTAAGATACTTTAGAAAATTGCAGCATTTGTTAAAAGTCTGGCTTTTAAAACTACTGCCACTAGAAAACGGATTTAATATCTTGTACAGGAAACTTGGTTTTTATTTTTGAACGAGGAAAAAGATTTTATTATAACTTTAAATTGTAAATATTTTTAGATAAATGAATATATCATAACTTTAAATTGTAAATATTATAAATTTTTAATTATAATTTTATATATATACGTATTATAATTTTATATAATTTTATTATAACTTTAAATTGTAAATATTTTTAGATAAATGAATATAATGCCTTGATGGCTCATACTCAAGCAACCTGAGTTCGATCCCCGGTGCCGGCACCAATGCAATTGTTAATTTTAAGCGTTGACTGAATTTATCACGTTATCACCAAGACAAGCCGTCATAGCTCAGTGTCCGGGCGCTCGCCTTTAATTCAATATACTTGAACAACAACCTGAGTACGATCTCCGGTGCGAAATTGTTAATTTTAAGTGCTGAATTGTCACGTGCCCAACGTTGAAGGAAAACATCACGAGGTAAACTGCATATTTTCGAAATAATAACAAAAGAAAATGTTTAAAAGATATGCGAAGTTCGCCAAACCGCCGTGGGTTCGCTTGGTGAACTATGCCCTAATACCCTCTGTATAGAGACCTTTGCCCAGCTGTGGGATATGTATAGGCTGTTTACTTTACTTTTCTGTACTAGCTGATAAGGTAGCCGGGCTTGCCTCCTTAACTTTGGTAAGACTACTGCAACCCTGCGTCGCCTCTTGGACGACCGTGGGCGGTGAACTGTCAATTTTCCGTCATAAAAATAGGGATGCGCCATTCTCCGTACCCTTGGCAGTCCAAATATTGTCAGCGAAGCCACAGAACATCATTGACCCAGACCCCTGCTGACTGTATTTCCATATAAAATATTCAGTCACATACATAGTGTAGTACATCAATATTTGAGAGATATCCCCTACTTCATCCTCCCTAACCATATCTACACTTAACTGCTTTTTTTTGAAGTTATACCTCTAGGCGCTTTATGAAAAAAAGACGAGAGTGAAATTTTAAGATGTAACACAAAAGTCACACCTTTGAAGCTGCTAGATGAAGACTACGAGATGAAGAAGCTAGATGGCAGCATATTCTCAATCACATTCGCCCGTTACAGTTCTCATCAAAGAATGTAGATGGCGCTTTCATAATTTTGCACTACTTTTGAACATTTGTATGCATAAATAAGTATATTATACGAGTATCTATATAAACTTCAGTTCACTATTATTCAACTTGTTTATATTTTGTTACGCAAAGCACGTAAGAAGTTATACTTTTACGTGCGTACATAAGTAACTTACAAACTTTTTTTTTCTTTTAAAACCATTGCCCTCACTGCAGAATAATATTGTTCTGTGTTGTTACTACGCTTTACATACATAAATTTCACGTGGAAAAACACTCTCATCCGAAACAATTATCTATCGGTCACACAAACAGCTGTCCCGTGTGGGAATCGAACCCAAGACCACCGGCGCCGAAGCCTTCGCAACTGCGCCACGGAGTCATGAACTATCAATTAAACGACGTTTTAAGTTTTCCCACGTCAATGGGTCAATGCAATTATGCTTCTTCTATTCCGACTTTAAATGCAGACACGCGAATGTCGCCCACAAAATAATAATAAATAAAAACCCTCTTAATCTCTTTTCATCAGCTGTAGCCGGAATAGATGTATAACTATTTTTGTAAATCCAAGAATTTATCAGTATGTTAAACATCTATATTATAATATAGATGTTTGACATACTGATATATTCATAGATAAGACATATATACTGAAATATAGGATATATTCTTTCTATTCGATCTATTTATCTCTTTCTATCTATTCGAAGCGGACACAGTTTTAATGGCCTATGCAGATATGCGTTAATCCGTCGATCAATCTTCGGCATGTCAGAATTTAGATTCGTCCGAATCTGCTCTGAATTAATATTAAATCGATTAAAAATTATTGAACAAACAATAATGCTCTGGAGATACAAGTTTCATGCGCTTAATGTTTCGTTTTAATGGTAGTGACTATTCTCAAGGTATAGAATACGAGCAGAGATATATCTTTTTTTTATATTGATTTGAGATAAGTATTTATTTAATTCTTTAAGATATATTACTTTTTAGTCCATCCAAAGGTTGCCTGGAAGAAATTAGTTTAATTAATAAGGCCGCCCTTGTATCTATCACTTTACATTGAGTTTCATATTTCAGTTGTATTTTATTTTTAATATATTAATAAAGTATATTCATTCATTCAAAGAACAAGAAAATATACGCTAGAATGGTTAAAATCTCTGAATTGACCAGAATGATCTTCTTAATGATCATGAGTTTAACCATCTTTTGGCAAATCAAATGACATTTGACAGCTGAGTAGTTGACATCTACGATGATCAGTGTTACAGAAACCGGGCGTTAGTTGTCTATAAAAGTAAAGTAACAGCTTCTACATATCCCACTGCTGGGCAAACGCCTCCTCTTTTACAGAGGGTATCAGGGCGTAGTCCACCACGGGGTCCCACTGCGGATTGGCGAACTTCACATATCTTCGAAATATTTTTTTTTGTTATTTCGAAAATATGCAAGTTTCCAATTTAGCACTTAAAATTAACAATTTCGCACCGGGGATCCAACTCAGGTTGTTCAAGTATATTGAATTGAAGGCGAGCGCCCGGACACTGAGCTAAGACGGCTTGTCTATATATAGTACCAACATATTATAAGTCTTCTCGCAGTCACCAACTTGATAATGCATTAACGACTTTAATTAAATGCATACTGCAGTTAATCGATATGGTAATAGAGATCCTATCATACGACAAACTTTCAAGTCAATTTGTTTGTGTTAATTATAATAAAGCTTTATTGTTCATTTCAGTCTGAGAAAATATTTATTGCATTAATGCTTATGTAGAAAATGTTAATTGTAGATTCCTTTATATATTTTGATGATTATTATGGTAATTTTATCTTCACGCCTTTACGCTTTTAGTACGCATCCAGTGTTTTCTTAAAGTTTCTTTTCGGCAACCGACATCACAGTCAGCTCTGTTATCTGAAACAAAATGTTTTTTATGAGTTATTGCGGCCTCGATAAACCGTGCAGAAATACACGCAGTTGAATTTTATCTACTTTGGCAATGGTCCAAATGTGCATAGAAATAAAGGGAATCCTTTTTTTCGGGAAATAATTTTTAGAAATAATTTTTACCCGAATCGTAAGGCAAGATGATAAGATGTCATTTTTTATGTGAGAGGTGGCACGCTAGCTGACGGGTCACCTGATGTTAAGGCATAACCGCCGCCAGTGGACATTTGCAACACCCTTAGCGTTGCAGATGCGTTGCAACCTTTTAATAAAGT